ATCTTGCAGTTAAAGTAATTGATGATTACTTATAGCCTGTAGGAACAAGAGGAATAAATAAGCTTTTGTTTAAGATACTGCTACTTACTGGTATAGCGCATTTTAGGTCTGAACTGAACAAGGTAAAATGTTCATTCTTTTCTCCATTTTGGTTCTTACCTCCAATTTTATGCAAGAGGGACCTGGTTTTGATGTATTTTCGGAGCAGCTGAAAGATAGGTTTTTTTACAGTAGTTTGATCAAGCAGTCAGATTGCATCAAGCACTTGTAATACCTCCCCATTCTCCATTTCCACCACTCATTTGGCAGTTATAGTGAGTTTTTAAATGTTCTTTATGATGTATTTCAGGGTTTTCTAACAGAGTAGCATGTGCCTGTTTTAAGTAATTAGAGAATATTCCATTAGAGTAAGAATAATGTTGAATGCATAGAAACATGGGCAGTTATTTCCATTTGCAGTTTACTCAGATCTGATATTTTTGCCTCACTAAACTAGACTTTAATTTTGTCTAGATTCTGTGCATGCTTTTTGTCGTTGTGCAGAAGATGATCCTGAGGAATAGACACACTGAAGACTGAACTCTTTCAAAGGAAGTAGCTGCCAAAATAAAAAATTAAGTGGCTGAATTCCTCTTAGGTTTCTTGACCCTCAGTGTGTGTCTCTGTTTAAAGAAAAGGAGCTATAATGATAGCTGAAAGCACTGGATCTTCAGATCATTGCAAACAGGTTATTCTTCCTGGTTTGCTTTGACATAGAAATAAATCTGCACTTGTAAAATAGGGAGCATTTTACTAATTTGTAATATAGGTCAACAGTGTGAAAAGGTTCAAGTCCTGTTCCAGCGTATACTAACAATATCAGCACTAGTGAGACCTTAGTGGAATATTTAGACTAGTTGTTATAAACTGTTCTTGAACACTAATACTGAAGATGAGAGACATTCTGAAGATGAGAAACAAAACTAAGTTTAGGAGAAATGACCTGCAGGGGAAGGTGGGAGAAGTTGAGGTGCTTAGGCTTTTAAGATTGCCTGTTAGCACTGCTCTCTTTTCATTCTCCTTGTCCTGTCAGTGGATCTCTCCTTTGACAGAAAGCCTCTTCATCATGTTCCACCATTCTCAAATGCTGCAGTTTTCTCAAAGTTCCCTTAATTATTTAGTCACACAAACTCAAGAAGACTCAGGGGAGGATTGAAAATTAAAGGAAGGAATTTAAAGGTTGTTAGGTAGTGCTGGAATAAGGGAACAATTGATGAGAAGGCAGGTAAAAAAGGTGGTGGTCTGCTTCATTTCTTGCAAAGGACAGGAACCAGATTTTCTCCATGGCTGTAACAAGAAAAAGGGTGAATTCCAAATTTTAAAATACTTACACTTGTTAATGGAGCAAAACCTTGCACGAGGCTATCAAATGGGCCTTCAAAACACCTCTCTTTTGATGTTTTGAAAGCAGACAAAGCAATAGGACTATTGCTGATAAATCAAGTATAAATAGACAGATGAAAGACTTAACTGCTATTGTCAAAGGGACAGCCTGCATGGGATTCTGTAGGGCACAGTATTGTATTCAACTACAGTTATAAAAATTAAGTGCTTACTAGTGGTGAAATAGTTTTTCAAAGAAAGTGTTGGAAGTTCAAAAATACAAAACTTACTCGAGATTTAAAATAAAATATGTAACATTGTTATTGAGATCAGTGGAGGTAAAAAAAATACCTTTACCATTATTTCTTGAAGAACTTCAATTTAATGAGTTTTAATTCTTAGATTCCTACGTTGTGTTATATGATTTAAACTTAAACAGGGGAAGTTCTTGTTAGATCTAAGGAAGAAGTTCTTTATTATGAAGATGGTGAGGAACAGACTGCCTAGAGAAGTGGTAAATGCCCCATCCCTGTCTGTGTTCAAGGCCAGGTTGGACAGAGCCTTGGGCAACATGGTCTAGCGTGAGGTGTCCTTGCCCATGGCAGGGGGGTTGGAAGTAGATGGTCTTAAGTCCCTTTCCAACCCAAACGATTCTGTGATGTATATATATATGCATTTATATGACACATATATGTATTATAAATTGCTGCAGAGTTCATTCTCTAACGAAGTATCTCAATGGCTAGTAAGAATTTTTTAAGCATGAATACATTTCTGGGTTCAGTATATCCAGGCCTATTGAACTCGAAGGTATTGCTGTTATTCTTGAGCTGCACTGTGGTGTAAGCTCTTGGTACATATCAGCAGAATATTATCCTATACTTTTTTTAGTCTTCTATTTTTTTTCCCTAATTATCCCCCACTGGATGTTGTTGGAGAGAGGACGCTGGTAGGGTAAGATGGACTCTTGCATGGAGGGCAGTTTTAATGATTTGTCTGGTTTTGCCCTCAACTCAGTTTATCAGTGACCCGCGTCTTATGATTCTCTAGTACTGAATAGTAGCATGTATTTCCTGTACTTTTCCCAGAATTTGAAAATACTCTCAGTCAGCAGTACATTTTCAAATGTCTGTTTTTCCCTTTCTCTAATCAATCCTTTATCTCACAGAAGAGCTTGGTGCTCTGCTCGTGGTTTCCCTTTAAAATATCAGTCATCCACTCAATTAAGAAAACCAGCCTTGATCTGACCACTGCAATGAAAGTGAAGAGATATTCCAGGTGTTTATTATATAAGGCATAATAACTTGCAGGGCTTTGCAGTCAAATATGGGTGAGCCAGCTTTGATTTCCATTTTGATTTTTGGATGGACGTCTTCACTAGTGAATGCATTTTTCCCTGCAGACCTAGTAATTACAGTAATTATTATAGTAATATAGTAGTTATTTTTGAGTGCGCTCATAGAGGGTGTTGGAAGATTTGCACTTAAAAAATAAACTGCAGTCATTGTCATTTTTTCAAGTTCAGCTTTGAAGAGGACCAGTATTTACTTTATGAAGGTAACTTCTGTGACTCTGCAGCTCATCATGGATTCTGGTTCGTTTTCTTTATGGAATTTTACTTTTCTTTATGGAAGGAGACATATTTTACAAATTACGCTTGTAACAGAAATGAAATGCGTGTTACCTTCTCATCTTTCTAAATGAAACATTTTACAGTGAAATCAATTCAAGGATTAAAATGAAATGGATTTAATGAATTAAATTCCCCCTAAGCAGTACTTTTAAAGGCATTAGAAATATTGGTGCTTGACGCTGCAGTTTGAAAGGAACGCGACTATGAGTTGATAACTTTTTAAATTACTAAATATTTTTGCTGGTATCAAGCATGATTCCTGTTTGGAAATTGATGGTGTGTTACCGTCTCAATTATTCATTGTATTAACTAGAGCTTATCCGTGGGCATCACTGCTACTGCCCTGCCTGCTCTTCTTCTGAAATTCATTGAGGTGAATACCAGCAACTGACACTAAACTAACACCTATTTGAGTTTCTGTTGCATTTAATTGCTCATGTGGTGCTGGAGGTCCTGTTCAGGTGGCCCTTTTGCAGAAGCTACAAAGGACTGAAGCAAACAGCTGGGAGAAGCCAGCCACTTTGGCCATCCTGCTTGAATTGCATGCTACTGTGTGGTTTCACAACCTTAATTAGTTGCCAGCAAAATAGTGTGCACAAGACTGAGTTAATGATAAAGGTTAAGAGTGGAATTAATGTGGTTTTATTGAACATAGGTCTTATGTTGAAAGTTGTAGCTTAATTTTTTTGTGGTTTATGTGTTAGATAGAAGTAGCTATGAACACCTAATATAGTTGTAATGTAACTGTTACTGTAATGTACTGATGTTGTAATATTGTACTGTACTCCATACACCATAAAATTCTTACTAAAATATTAGATTTTACGATGTCATTAAAGCTAAATGTTTGCTAAAACATTATTAACTTACTAACTGACATCTGAAAAAGTAGTTGTAGGTCAAGAATCATCAGATACCTGTTTCTTGTGGTTTCCTTTGGGGCATGTTGGCAATCTCCAGGGTTTATAAGCATCTGCTGCAGATTACTTGAAATTATCATCGCCTGAGGTTGTGGGATGCATGGAGACTGGGGTAATAGTGAGTAACAGGGAGACTGAAACAGCTAGAGAGCCCAATCTGGATTGCTCAGCAAGATGAACAGAAGCAAATAAACGTGTGAAAGTGTATAACAAGGTGACAGAATTGTGATGGAAGTAGCAATTCTGAAAATATATCAGTATTTAGAATGGACACCATGATGCTGTAGTGAAAAGGCTAAGATTTGATGTTCGATAAATTACAGTTAGGGTTAGTAAGGACTTGATTTGACACGTGTGACATACACGTGAGTATGTGTAATTATAGTATAGGTGGTACCAGTACTAGACTGTTACAAACTTACATTTTTTTAGAACTGTTCATGTAATTTATTTATATACAGAAATTCTCTGTCTTAAGAAATAATATCAATGTCCATGGTTTAGCATCCATAGTAAGGATTATTTATCTTGCAGTCTGGCTACACGTGCCGGTTTTGCTTGTAAAAAGACTGTTTAATTTTATTTATAAGCATTTCTGTCAATTGAATCTTGATGTGTTTGAATTGGTATATTGCTTCTATAAATAGTATAGTGGAAGGAGGTTGCTTAATCAGTATTCTTGTTGCCTGTAGTTTTGAGTGGATTTTAATAAACTCCGTTTTACTGAAGGCAATGTACTCCTCAGCAAGTGCGCCTTAGCTTTTGCCTGAAGTAGTTGTAATATGTTCAAATTCTGTGCTTCGTATATTCACCTTATTATAATGTTATTGCATCATGAATATGCATCAGGATGATGTTTTCACATGCGGAGTACTTGCTATTAAAAGTCTTCCATGCTATTCCATGTGATGTTATCTATATCAGTGAGTTCTATTATCTATATCTGTTCAATATTATTTGGGATTTAAAAAAAAGAAAAAAGTATAAAACCCAGTGCATCTTTTAAAAGAAATCTACCTGTATTTTTATGCTGAAGTGTGTACATGAAGCTCTTACTAATTTTTTTAATATCGTTTGCTTTTTAGTGAGAGGTTTATGGTGAGGTTAAACAAGAACGGAGGCCCCAGAAACCCGGAGAAGATAGATCGAATGTGTGCACTTTTCACAGTACGTGTCTGTTCCCTTTCTTCTTCCCTTACAGTAGTTTGATTGTAGATATAGTCACCCTGAGGGGAGAAAACCCGGTTCTTTCTTTCCAATTTGAGTGGAACAGAAACTGATTTTAAGTTTTGTTATGGTTATAATTAAATGTTAATAAAGAAAATGGACATATAAATTATTCTTCTGGCTAAGTAAATATACTGAAGTACTTCCTTTTAAGTGCATTTATTCCTGCTTGTAGTTTGAAATTTTGAGTATTTTCATTGCATGTATTCTTAGATAACAGGTCACAGGTTGGCCTGAATGTGAAGCAAGGCACTTTCTCCAGAATCTAAGTTTGTCAAACAACTACAACACCACACACAGAAACCCAGAAAATTCTCCAAACAAATTACTGTCATAGCCCATTCAAGAGTCCATGTAGCACCCCCAGGTAGATGGTGCTGCAGCATCTTCCCAGGTCTGTGGCACAGTGTGTGGGATGGAACAGAGCAGACCGGGATGTGCTGCAGAAGCAGCAGCCAAGTTGAGCTGCAGAGAGGTGGTTGTGATAAAGGAAACACTGTGACTTCCTAAGTTTCTGCAGCCGGTCTGTGCAATAGCTACCCCGTCCTGACACAAGGCAGATATGACCGACGGTACCAGCAGTCTTTAACCATCTGTGCCAGAAAGACAGGAGAAGGAATTACCCATCTGGCTTCTACCAGATGATACCTCAGTTGGGAGTAAAATAGCCAACTAAGATTTACCTCCTTTTAATCCTTCAGACTCACCTCTCACCTAACTGCCTTCTTGCTTTATAGTTTTGCTGCTATACCAAGATAGTAGTTTTAAAAACTTCAAGCCTCAATATCCATTCTGTGCTGGTCTTAAGTTCTGTTAAACATTGCTTCAGAATCATGTGTCAGACCGTGATTTTATCTGCCGCTTCTTCTCAGAAAGAATATGGAAATCTAGAGACACTGAAACTTAACAGCTCATCACAGAATAGCTGTAAGGGATTTCAGATCCCAAGTGTGATAAACACCTTCCATCGTGATGCACCTTTAGCTAGTGCACATAATAGAAGCTCTTTGACAGAGGTATTTTTACCTCCAGTGAAGAAAAAAACATGGCAAGCAGCTTTGGTATAAACTTACCTTCTGGCAGTGAAACCCTCTAAGGTCAGGCAGGGCTGGTTGCTGAAACAGGCATGGTTCCCAGCACCATTCCCTTTTCTCCTTTAGGAAGATAGCTGAATTTCTCCTTTTAAGGAACAGAATGTATGTAAGGATATAAGGATGCCCAGTTCTGCCTCCATCTGGATATGAGATGCAGGTCAGTCCAAGAATAGCACTGACACTGATGCTGACATGAGTAGCAGTTCTGGTTTTGGTATCATCAGTAAAGTGCTACCAGCTGATTAAACGTCATCAGAGGTAACAGTGTCTTAGTATTGCCCCTGGCACTGACTATACTGACTATACTGTTGGTAGCTCAAAACCAAGTTATCTCCCTCTTCTCAGAGAAAGGTGGCCAGGGAGCAAGCTTCAGCACTGGTGTCTGGATCATGCAAAACAGTGCAGGGTTGAAGAACTGCTCTAAGGATTATTCCCAAAAGGCAGCACAGACTGGTTCATATCAAGTTTGGCACTTTCTGGCCTCTAAGGTTCATCCTCTCAAAAAGATTTTCGCCAGCAAACTTCCCCCATCTACATTGGTGCCACACTGCTTAAAGGTCATGTAAGAACCATCCTGTTTCACACCATTCTGTGAAGTGTGAAACAGTTTTGCTCCACTGACCTGCAAACCAGTCTTTGCACGCTTTCAAAGATACAAAGAGAATAATGATAAGCTATATCAGGGGCACAACGTTCCAGATGAGACCTGCTGCATGTTGCAAACGGGGCTAGCGTACTATAAAAGAGGCCAGCCCTGAGCATTGCGGACTGGTGCCACTCTGTAGGACTTATCTTTCTGACCAGGGATCACTCCCAAGCTACCTTTCAATTTAGCTGTACAAAAATACCAGAGCTCCTGCAGTAGTGGCTCTCTGGGGTGCTTAGACTTGTTATCTATCACTCTCTCTGGTAGAATGTGTACTCTACATAACAGGAATAATGATAACTGGGAAATCTATTGTACAAAAAAAAGCACACTTCTGATAAGATATTTTCATCAGTGTATTCAAAGAACTTTCCAAAATATGTAGCAAAGGAGCAACAAATAACAGCTTTTTGAGTAACCCTTGTATCCACAATGAAATTATCGTAACTTCTATATATTATCTACAATATATTATTATATCATAACTATATATTCTGAAATGCATATAAAATAGGATAGTTCTACAATTTTCAGGTTTGTTCCTAAGGCTGTGTTAGTTTTGACTCTTGATTTCCTCACCCTCCCCCACCACCCCACAGTATCTTTCTAAGACTCTAATCTTTCCCAGAGGCAAGAAGCCCTATATCTTAGATGATTCAAGGTATGCCTGTCTTTTCCTGCCATCTCTTTTGCTTCTAGGGGTTCAGCTGTCTCCTTGTGTGAGATATCAAAATTACTTAGGTTGTGTTTTTACATCTGCTGTCATATCGCACTAAAGGTGAAAGACTGCTTCCTCCAGAAGATTAAAGCTCACTCAAGCAAACCTCAGCCTATGCATGCTTTGAAAACATTCCTGTGTCTGAATTAAAAAGTAACCGCACAGTATAAGCTTGCTGTTTTTGTTAAATACCTCACTCTGTCACCTGTGATGTTGGCAACTGAATTTGGTAAAGCTCTTAAAAGAACTGATCAGTGGCAGGCAGGTATCCTGGATTCACTGATTTGGGGGTGGTAGTGTTTGTTTTTTTAACATACAGTTAGACCTTTATAGGGACCGGCATGATAAAAAAACTAACCATTGTTATAGAGTAACATTTTTCCATATCCAGTATGGTGGGGGGAAAAGAGGTGATTTTCTAACAAGCCATGGAATTAGAATTATTATGAAATTATTTTGCTTATCAACCAGTAGCATTTAAGAAGCTCAGAAGGATATGGGAAATAATTCCCCTGTGGACGCAGTCCTAAGAGCACCTTTCTGGAAGTTGGTTTACTTATGCTGCACCCAGGCAAATAATGAACTTAGTTTGTCCTCTTCTGGTCCTAAGTCATGCGTGTGGATTCTCTAGAGAGAAGTTACCTGAAGAATTCCTCAAATGGGCTGGAGTTTTTTGGTGTTTGTCCATGTCATAGTAGGAATTTCTCGCCTTGTAAAAAGCCTCTGCTGTACAAAGTGAAATACAAGGCCATCTGGGCCCACATTTTTTTGTCTTTTGACTGTGACACAGTATATTTTTTGTGAAACTGCAAAGCGACGGAAGTGTGAACCCATCAATATGTTCATGCCCTCCATTTCCTGATATTTTGACAGCTGCCCTTTGAAAATAATAGTTCTCTAAATTGCTGTTAATTACAACTGGTAATCTGATAGTAATAAAATTCCCCATCAGATCACAGATACTTGCAAAAATCTGTTACTCTCTAGAGTATTAAATACTACCTCCAAGGTTTGTTGCTTTTTCAGTGTATTGTCAGGCACTCCTGAGATTAAAACTATGTCAAATCCCTTCTTAGCATGGAACTTCAATTTCTCCAAGATGTGCACGCTAAAGCCTACCATATGCTATGTTGGTATGTTAGGTGATGAAAGCCTGGAAAGTATGTTCCTTTATTCATGCAGCAGCAAAATAAGACTTGAAGAGAAAACGGTAAAGAAGATTTATATAGCTTAATTCTTTGGCTTCAGAGAGACATGATCTGCTAGCTAGTAAGCATACCAAGCAGTGTGTTTGCAACTCTGCATATGCTGCCCAGAGAAACACAGTGCTCCTTTTAAATGGAGTCAGAAGATACAGCCATGAATTTATTACTTGCCTGCTGTAATTTAGCAATATAACAGTATTTGAAAGGGACTGAAACTTCTCCTTAGAATAAATTCTCTTTATGCCTAGCTCTCAGTCAGTGAGCCCAGATTTTATTGTGCTATATGTCACTTTAATCTGAAGCTCAGTGTTTATGTGCATTGCCATCATAATCTCAGTAGTTGAGATTTGGTTTCTCAAGTCACACGGGTAAGGAATTTTCTGTGTGACTTTTAAAGTTCATATCTTAGCTTCCAGCAAAATGCAATTTTTAATTCACTGAATTAGTTCAAACTAGGAATGACAGAACTTAGATGTCCACAGTTTAAAATTTCCTCCTCTTTATGTAAAAATTGGATTTTTTTCATTTTACAGCGCTTTTAATACATTTAATTGTGTTTTTTTTCTAAAGGAAAATAGTAGATTTTATTTGAACCTGGTATTTTTCCAGTTTTTTGCATTGCTTTTGCACAAGAAAAAATAGAGTATTAGAAGTCCAAGCTACATCTGTGCATAGGCAGATCCATCAGTGTTGTCCCCATACAGCTGTACATTTTAGAGGGGATGGGTACTTCTGGGATATGTATCTTTATTCAGTTGAAAAGGGAACAAAAAAAAAAGGTAGAAGAACACATAGCTATCATCTCAAGTTGTTTGTGAAGTCATATGTGAAGCCCTAGAGCTGTTTTTAAAAAGCCTTATGTTGAAATCATTTTGTACAAACCAACAAAAAAATTGAGGAAGATGTGAGGTGATGTCGGTTGCTTCAGTGTAAGGGGAGGAGTGGAGGAAAACAACAGTAACTGAGCTGAAGCCCTCCTTTTTGGGTATGTCTCTTTCCTATGCATTCACACTTCGCTCTCCCATATTCTTAGGAAGAATGCATTAATCATTTTGCATTTCCAGTTGCTCTTCTCCTGAGAAATGAGTGGAGCACCACCCTTTACCTCTGGGGAGAATTTGGAGGCTGTCTGGTGTAAGTCAGGACGTAACAGTAAGATGGTAGCACTTAGCAGAGGGAAGAAAGAGGCAACAGCTGTTGTTGTAGAGCTCAAAGAGCCCTTTTGCAACAGTCTGAAACATGAATATTCTCATAGTACACAAACATGTGGTGTTTAGAACCTCCTTGTCTTGGAGGTTAGTACCATAAGGAAAACTTGTTTAAACAATGCTAATGTTTTTAGAAAGAAGTGTTTCCTAGTTCTTTTCTCCAGTTAAAAAAAGAAGGGAGGGGAATGTCTTTGTTTATAATGTTATCAGAGAAAAGCACAACATGCCAAGGAAATTGCAATTAAGACAGCTTCAAACACGTGAAGGCAAAATGCCACAGCGGTGAATTGTTGGAAAGTACTTTATGCATATTTCTTAATTCATTTTCTTTAATAATAAAGCTTTGTCAGGGCCAGTAATACTGTTTTGTCTTCACTAGCTTCAGCTTTTTTTGCTCTGTAGGTTCTCCTTTTCCCAGTTTTTGCAGTTCTTCAAGCTCATTTTTAAGTTTTGACCTGGAACTTCAGAGTTTTCATCCGTGTACATGAATGCTTGCCATAAAAATAGCTTTTCAGAGATCTTAAAGTCCTGTATTTTGCTAAGCAATTATCTTAAAACTGAATTTATTTCTTAGTTTTCCCAATACACTATCACTGTTTCAAATGTCATTAAACCATTAGAATGGTTTTTTTGCCGAATGTGGCCCTTTCCAGCTACTCTGCTCCTCAAATCATCACTCGGCATGTTTCAGCAGTTGGAATGGGGCAGAGAGCGTTTCCAGACAGCAGTTTTGCATGCATCCTGCCCTGGTTTTGAATGTTAAAGCAGGTTAGCTATGAGCTAGCTGCCTCTGGCTCTCTGACCTCATGGTTGAGACGCTGCCTTGCTGCTTTTGTAGTGTAATGAACACATATGAAAAAGAATAGCACATTTACAAGCATTAAAATAAATCACGTCTCTTGACTCTTCCGCTTTTTGTCCTGTTGAGACTTTTACTTGTTCGGAGGAATTGTACCAATCCAGTCCTAAAACAGAGGTTAGTTCAAAATGCATTTTGAATCCGAATTGTGGCAGTCGTGCTGCAGACTTTTCTGGAACCATCATGTGCCACAAAGACTACACAATGAGAAGTCAAAAGACAAAAAAAGGAAAGCAGAAGGGAAGGAAAAGGCTTAGAGACAGGGCTGGGACCTGCAGTCAGGGGATGGGGTGAAGGAAGCCAGCAGAGTTGCAGTTAAGGTAACTCAAGGGTTTAAATTTACCATGTAAATTTAATACAGTCTAATAATGTGTTTGAATTAAGGGTTAAATGAATGTTTTAAGTGTTTGCCAGAATTTTGATATATCATTGGAGTCAGAAGCTTCAATTTATTTTCCTTTTAAAGACTATTCAACCAATTATAATCCTATACTCATAATACTTTCACTTATTAAAGATGGAGGAGCTAGATGAATGGAGTGTAGTACTGTGTGGTCCTTGCTACTGTTTGTGGGAGTTTTGCAGGCCCTTATTTTGGAAGTTAATTTTTTTTAATGTCTATTTTTTTCCAATCTTTTAGGATCTCAGCAGTAAGGACATGAAGAGAGATTTGTACATAGTCGCCCATGTAATCCGAATAGGTACAGTATGATTTAAAACTTGAAATATATATAATTAACTATGGTTTTACCTTACTTTTAGGTGTGTTTTTTAATTGACATTATAATGATTTAACCAGTGATAAAACTCAGTTATACACCAGACCTATCTGCTGAGATTAATATTCAGACCATATGTAGCTAAGTGTTATAAAGTTACTGATGACTGTTTCACAGTGATTTTTTTTTTTCTCAGTATGAAACAAAATACTTGATTAAATGCCATGTTTGAGGGAAGATGGAGAAATTAAAAGGCTTTTAGTTTAATGTTTCAAAATTTAAAATGAGGTCTTTTTACTGATGATACGTACTTAGTTTGCAGGACGGGACATCAGCGTACCTGGCCATTCACGTCTAGTAAATCAGAGGCTGTTAGACAAATACACATAAAAATCCGGTTTCTGCTGTGTAGGAGTCTGTAGTGCTTCCAAGAACCCACACTCAAGTTTAGGAAGATGCCTCTAAAACACAAGAGCAGGGAAGCTGTCACACCTGTCAGGTGTTCTTCCTACCCACTGATGCCAGAGAGGAGCATTAGCAGAAGTACCTGCCTGTGGGAAGCCTGTCAAGCTTGCAGCCCGACATTTAGCAGCATACGCTGCTGCTTTTCAGGTTCTCTTGGCTGCTCACGTACAGCTGTCTGAAGGAGAGAGCTGGATGTGTAGTGCCTGGACCTGACCCTACCCAGGGAATAAAGCCCTTCCTTGCTAATTCGCTTGACTAGAAACCCTTTATAGAGTGGGTTTCTCTGAGTGTTCGTAGGCCAAGCTAGGCTTAATTTGTTCTTGTTGAGATTTGCAGTAGCAGGAATGGAAAGTGTTTATGATTGAAATTGAATTTAGAATGTATCTTTCAAGGCATAATGCAGTGCTGAAAACTAGTTCATGGACAGCTAGATGGGCTTTTGAGCCCAGTAGTGTGTTTGAGTGACTGTATGACTGTATAACTTCTGGTATTGGAATTAAATTGCTACAATCTCTTTTAGATGGAAGGTGTTTGGTAGAAAAAAGCTCTAGTTAAAAAGGGTATCATTAGTTAGTACAGGGAGTTGGTAACAGGGTTAACTACAGCTGCAGTTAAATGCTTCTAAATTATGAATGTGTGTACTTCCATGGAGAAATGAGCAAGTATGAATTTTACCTATGTTAAGTGTGTCTTATTTCAAATATTTAGGCTGAAGCTGTTATCAACATATAATAGGAGTAACAGTCTCTTCAGCTGTTTTATTCTCAACAACTGAGTAGTGCACTCTCTTTCACGTGTTTCAGGTTTTCAGTTAGCTGAAAAAAGGCTAGGTAGTGTTTGCAGTGAAAGGGTATTTAACCCTAATTCCAGCCCATTCACTACTTGCATCCACTACCAGTCACAGATACCTTGTCTGAAATACAGAAGGTCTAAACGGCTTAGTGAAACTGTAGCTTTGTTGTGCTGTCTTGTGACTGACAGTGTGCCTTCTAAGTCACAAAGGTGGTGGAAGGCTTGGTTTTTCATTATCTGGCTTCACTGTGTTATAAGGTGTGGAAAGGTTAGAATTACTCTGTATCACTGGAGATGATAAGTGAAGCTTGCAGAAGGATACAGTGTAGTTCAAGCTCAGGTTTTTAAGCTTGACGCAAGAAGTGCTGGGCAAATTACTATGTGTAATGGTACCAGTTGGCTTAGATTATCATGGTGATTTTTCTGGTCTTGGTGTTTTTTACTCCATTAAAAAATAGCTTTAGCAATAGGAAGTTGAGCAGGTTTGTACCTCGGAATTCTCCTTTAGGCACTCCAAGACAAGTATGATAGATGACACAATATATAATACATTTCTTTAAAGCAGCTGTATAAAGGGAAAATTAGTGTAAATACTGGACTGTAATGGGAGGACCAGAGTGAATCCCTGTGTGGATGCTGGGAGGAGACTACCAGCTGTATTCTTGGCTCATTATACAGATGACTTGTAGTCAGACAGACCAGCTGAATACAAATATGTGTCATGGAGCTGCAAATCAAAGATGGCCAGACATGATGCTGTTCACTTTGCCCTTGAGTGTTCTGTTAGCTGAAGGAGGTGATGTGCCTTATTCAGAGTAGCCCAGTCAGCCAGGTGGGTTCACGTGGACCTCTGGATTTGAAATAGTGTAAGAAGAAAAAGAGTGAGAAGTTGTGGTGTGTTGACTTTGGCTGGGTACCAGGTACCCACCAAACTGCTTTATCACTCCTCATCAGGACAGGGTGGGGGAGAAAATAAGGTAGAAAACCCCTTGTGGGTGAAGAGAAAAGCTGTTTCATACAGGAAAGGCTGTGCATGGAAGCAGAGCTAAACAAAAGATTTATTCTTTACTTCCCATCAGCTGGCAATATCCAGCCACTTCCTGGGAAGTAGCACTGTAGTACATATAGTGGTTGCTCCAGAAGACAAATGTCATAATAACAAATGCCCTCTCTCCTCCTCCTTTCTCTTAGCTTTTATTGCTGAGCAGACATCATATGACCCAGGAATATCTCTTGGGTCAGTTTGGATCAGCTGCCGTGGCTGTGTCCCATCTCAGGATCTCACCCACCTTCAGTCTACTGGGTCAGGTCGGGGGAATGTTGGAGATACGGCCTTGATGCTGTACGAGCGCTGTTCAGCAGCAGCCAAAACACTGATGTGTTACCGACACCTTTTCTAGCTGCCAATACAAAGCACAGCACTATATGGGCTGCTGTGGGGAAAATCAAGTCTGTCTCAGACAGACCCAATGCAGAAGGATAGGAAAGGCTGCAGTCTGTAGCTGAAACTTGCTATAGGTATGCATGCTCAGAGGCATAACAGAACAGACAAAATGGCTGCGTGTGAATCTCTAATGTTTTAAATTTCTGTTAATTTTAGGTCGCATGTTGCTGAATGACTCAAAAAAAGGGCCCCCTCATTTACACTATCGCCGCCCCTATGGCTGTGCAGTGCTGAGCATCATGGATGTACTTCAGTCAATCTCTGAAATAAAAGAAGAAAAGGATTTTGTTCTCAAAGTTTACACGTGAGTAACTCCTAAAGGAAGAAGGTTAGGAAAAATACTTTGTATATGTTGAGTGATGAGAGACTAAAGAGATAGCGAATATCAAGGTGCCGTTAACTGCGTTTGCTGCTTTATCCTCCCCACAAGGTGAACTAGTGCTGCTGGCACTGGGTTTTGCTCCTTTATTGTTCCAGAAGCTCATAGAAATTAATGAATATTATCAAAGATGTTTCAGGTATGTGAAATGCTTCAGAAATTACTGAGTATTTCCCAAATCCGTGTGATGTGCAGAGCTTCACTTTTATTAATGTGATTTATTTAAAATCTGCTAAACTGAAAATGAAATAATTATGCAGTATTTCTCCTGATGAAGGGAGTAGGTACTCATGCCCCATCTCCTATTCATTATCAGTCATGGTGATCAACAAAAGAAGTAGAAAACAGCTGAAGTCAACAGCATGTGACCGGAATCTCACCAAAAGCCAACATTTTTTGAGCAGGAATCTGTCTACAGTTATTGTGATTTTGAACTTTGAACTAACAAATTCTTATTATGAAATGTGGTCTCACACTTGTAATAAAGAGGCAACAGACAAACTGTCTGGAGACTGCAGGGAATAGTTAAGTCTCTTGTCAGTGAGGATAAATACTGGCATGATCTGCTTTGCAGATTGCCCGAGATACAACTGACATTATTTAGTGGTCTGTAGTCACTGTTCTGAGTCCTAAGATAACTTGGGGGGGTTATTCTTTGAGAAGTGCATTCAGCAGCAGAAAATTTGACATTCAAGGGAGCCTGTAAATGAAAAATGGCTTTTGCTGTTCACTGAAAGATTCTTGGGTATTTCTTCCTGCATTAGAAATCTGCAAGTCCAAAGAAAAGTCTCTCAGTCAGTTCTTCCATTCTTTTTTTGCCAACAGTTATGAAAACTGCAGCAAAAAAGTTACAGGGAAGAAAATTGTCATCTTTCTTCTTTTTGTCAATAGAATCTGCATAGTCTTGGCGTTCTGTCAACGTTCAGTTTCAGCTTGTCTCAAACCAGTGGTTTTTGGTTATATAGTTTATGTTAATATTGGCCTTGTAGCTATGGTGTTAATATACTGGAACTGCAGCATTTTGAATATTTACAATAATGGAACATTCTGAATATCAGATTTCTTTTTTGATGCCCTTTTAATGCATTTTCAGCTTCTTACTCACTGAAAAATCAGAGAAAAATCTAAACTACTGGATTTCTCTATCTGCCAGTGACAAATAAAAGTACTGCAGCCAGTTAGAGCAATCCAAAGTCCTGGTACTATGGTCAACAAAATCACAGGATAGAGAGCTTCCCTTTTCTTCCTCTTAATCTGAAGTGCTTTGTTAATATGGATTCCCTTCGCACCACCGAAAGGACAAACTGAAATGGTTAAGTAGGTTTATACCAGCTGTTGTTCTTCATGTCTGTTTCCCCACACTTTGTTTTCAACATCCACACACAGCCATTACTGCCATCCCAGAGAGGAAGTAGAACCCATAACAGAATTCAGCTCTGTAATCAGGTGCTTGTAATTTTTTATCACTGTTGTCATTTCTTTGGTTTGTAATAAGTCTTGTACATCATTGTTTTATGTTACTGCAGTTTCTTTGTAAGCATCTAATAAAAATGTTCAGAAGGGAAAACAGATGTATCTGAAGGGCACCAGCTTATCCATTTTGCAGCTTTCATAGCTGTTGGTCTTCCATGACAGAAAGTTTTCACAGGTTTACCCACTTGCATCTTCTCTTTGCACATTCTTTTAGCTAACCTACCTTTTCTTGCTTTTATAGGCTAAAATTGAAATGACAGTTTTTTGTTCTTCGTAAGTTTAAAGTTATATATGTGAATGCTTAAATGCTGAACTGATTTTTTTACCTGCTGTTCTCATTTTGATTATTGTTAAAATGCCTCAGGCCAACCCAAAAACATCATAAAGATGAAATAAAGAAGGAGGTGTATTTGTATTTTTAAAGAAGCAGTAAAAGACTTTCTTTTTGTGCACTACCTAGCTAAAGCTAAAGCTTACAGCTGCCACAAATGAGGCAGTCAGCATACAGCCAGAAAAGCCTTTTCATGGGGAGAAGCTGGAAAAAATTTGAGGGACTGAAAACCTGACAAAGGCTGAGACAAATAACATGGTGTTTCAATGGAGACTTGCTGCATCCGCAAGAGGGAATACTTATATGAGGAAAAAAAATCAATTTACTTCACCAGTATTTCTCAGCTTGCCTTATTATTGTTAAAGATTTATGGCTGAAAAATACTTCCTTCTCACAATCCAGATTTTCCTGTTTGCTAATCCCACAGTCATGTTATAATCTTACTAAGAGGATATAGTACCACAGCTCTAGTTATAAGCTCATTATGTAAAAGCATGAAGGTTTACTTTTATAATTCTTTTTAATAATATACATATAAAATATTTTACAAGTGAGATGGAAACTAAATTGTCAGTCCATTTTCATGTTTCTTATGATTTTTTTGTCTTTAATGGAAAGTTTTCATCATTGAACTCTTTGTGTCAGTCTTCCCATTCCCCTAAAAACTTTCCCTATTTCTGTTTCATATTATCTTGTCTTTATTTATTTTGTCCTATTTTCTCACAGTCCTTTTATTTCCTCCTTCTCAGCACTAGCTCTTAAAATTCCCACCTCTTAATGTGGTGTATTGCCTGAATGCCTTTCCCTTTTGTTAATTCAGTTGTTGCTATTTGCCCAGCTGGATGAGAATGTACATCGCATTTCTGTCCCCATCTGTCTGACATCAGGGTCTGATGTAGTATGGCAAACATTCCAAATGGTAAATTCACTGTAGAACCAGCCAACCTGAAAAGGTGATGGATGGCTCAGGAGAAAATTCTTGTTTGAACGAGAAATAGATTTTGTAATGTATTTGGTATTTAGACAAGTAGAATGTTAACACAATAAAATGCATTACAAGCAAGTGGGTTTGGGCCAGCATTTCAAACTTGGGAGAATATTATTCTTCTTTGTGTTCAGGAAATGTAAAGTGCAGCTTATGTTGGTAGTTGGTACAAAACTAGCTTTAAGCTATCTCACAGTCCATTGATTTTGGGTTAACTTTGTTCCAGGTTAATTTGCAGGCATAAGTCACTGGAGGCTGAAATCTATTTTAACTTGTTCTCCAGAGGCTGAGCAACTAAAGAATTTCCAGAGGTTAGAAACTTTCTGTAGTCTCATCGGCAAGGATGGAGGATGGTACAGAATTTGTCCTAGAGGTTATCTCTCTTGCCTTAAGGAGAATACTGTTTGCAGTAGGAAAAATTACTTTTAATGTCTTGGCAGTGTGAAGATAATTATTATTTTTTCAACAAGTAAGTTGAACATTGGTCCAAGTTCTGAGTTGACACAGAACACCACAGTTACTGAAAGGGGCTTTGTGCTGTCCGTTAATGTCTTAGCTCTCTTGTGTTTTGGCTTTGAGAGATTGTTTGAGCGAGTACAAATGTAGTCAATTTGCCATACTCTTAAGTTCTGGAAGTTTACTTCAGTGCTGATCTGTCTTGAGTTACTGTGTGGATATCTGTTTCTGTCCTCCCAGAACGGATATAGTAGTTACAGAGGGTATGGAGCAGAGCAGTTAAAATGTTTGATCTCATAGTGTTGTTTATGAGAGAGATTAAGCATGGGTGGAGCTTCAGCTTGGAGAAGAGTGGTAGTGGGAACAAATACAACCAACCAAAACTTAAAAAGTCGTGGTGGAGGGTAAATTGTTGTTCATGGAATACAACTATACAGGAATTAGGGATGCTCAATGAAATTGGTAGGAGATGACATTAAAAAAGATGGAAGAAAGTACTTTCTGGCTTTGGATCCTAAATACAAGTGTGGCACTTCTGACTCAAGTGCCCAAGATCCAGAAAGATTCAAGCATCCAGGTGAACTTTTGCTGCGTCCTGCTTTGCTGGCTCTCTGCTCATGTGTTTTTTATTCCTTTTTTGGGGGGTTATTGTTAAAAGGAATCTGTAGTTCTCCACGACTGGAAAGGAAGCTGAAACATCTGCTCTGGTGCTCTCAGCCATCTCTGTTGAGTGTAATTTCCAAAATGCTGCAGTGTCCCTAATTTCTCTCTCCAGAATCTTGCCATCAGAGTAATGAGAATATCCACAGAGCTATAGATAAAGTCATTTACAGAAGGCTTTTTTATTTTTTTTTGTGATGTTGCTCCACTTCAGAATATTTCTACATAAGGCATGGACTGGAGCAGTAAGAGATAATGGTTTGACTTTAGACTGCACAGTTATACCGTCTGATTTCATGGTGATGGAGTAGCATCATGCTGCAGTAGAGAACGTTGCCCGCTCTTTGTTATATCTCGTTGTTGTCATCATAATTCTTATTAACTTGTTTTTTGAAGATAATACATTTCACTTTGAGAAAACAGTCCTGAGAAAAGTGAAGAATAGAGGAGGAAATTGGAAGTTAGCCATAAAAAAAAACGTACAGAAAGAAACTCTCATGTAAGTGCACACAATGTCATGCAGTTAGTCTGAAGTCTCCAGAATTACTAAAGGCATTGGAATGGTGATGGGAGACGTTAGGAGCTGCTGGATCCAGTAGCCCGACAGAAGTAAGGCTGCCACAGCTCCATGCCCCCAGGTCCAGCCAGGTACAAGGCTGAGCCTGTATTCTGTGTGTGCATACACACCATACATACACTTAGAGCCTGCCACACAGATCAACACAGGCAGAAAGTACACGCTAATACTAACACATACACCACCAAAGGCCTCATCCTATTTTCCTTTCTAGCTTAGTAGGGTAAGAACTTGTTAGTGGAAAACATACGTACATATGCACACTACAGACTCCTCCAGTCTGTTGTTTTAAACACTCTGTTCCATCACAGGGCATGGCCAGGCAAGCATACTGACAGCAAGCTATCCTCATATGCATGGGCTATTTTATACCATTATCCTTCTGTTTCCCTATAGTTTGTATATAGTCTTGAACAACTCCAAATGCTCTTCCCCAGCATCCTGTAATGAGTCATGTATCACCAAAGGCAGGAGCCCATTTCAGTCTTTAAAGCTAACTGATCTTGCTGGATTTCAACCTGGACAATGTACTGAACATCCTTCTGCAGCAGATGTTGTTCCCCAGTTGCCATTGTTCCTCTTCTCCTTTGTGTTCCAGATGAGCCTTTAATTGCATATCCTAATAGGAAAGATAAAAGTTAGTAGGAAATAATTAGAACAATTTTGTTTATAGGTGCTGCCATTAAGTGGTCATCTTGGTACGATGCACATCCAGCAGGTTTGAATCTGATTGATCAAGGGCAGCCAGCTGTCCTGCCTGAATGTTGCTTGTGTTACAATCCACACACCAAATTGTTATGTGCTCATGGAACTGATATTAATGACTGAATTTTTCCTGCTGAGAAAGTATTGAGTGGAAAAATGAGACATCTATTGTCAAATTATTACATTGTAATTTCTGTCCTAGGAATTGGTTGAGGATTTACAGATGGTAACATAAGAAATGAAATATAACAGTATTTAAAGATGCTTTTTAAAATTACATCTAGATGAGCAGAGAGTTGTAAAAATGCTCCTTCAGAAGATGATGTATGTACAGAAGTATACTTTGTGGTGTTATATATCTTCATCTTACAGCTTGGGTGGGGGGGATGCATCATGTTTCAAGGAACTCTGTAAAATATGTGGGTAAGCAAAAGACTTAGATACTAAAAAACAGGGCTTGATTTATTCTTTCGTATTTCACTTATTTCTTGATTTTAACTTTTTTTATCTTACTAAAAAAAAGGTAATAAATGACAAGAGTTAATTTCAGGTTAAAATTAATTCATGCAGAGAATTCAAATAAGATGTCCCAACTTTTCTTCATTCTGTCACAATATGAAGAGTGAAACAATGGCTTTGGTAACAGAAAAATCACCACAGGTTCCAAAGTGTCCATAAAAAGGAGAATAACCATTTGGGAATGTTTTGTTTGTGGAATGTCTTCCACTTTTAAAACCAAGAGTTATGTGGGATTTCTCTCATTCATAAAAAATCCCACAACCTTTCCAAAACCTTTCATGCTGTCTCTGCAGCAAAGTTGACTTCCCTGACCTAAGGTGGTTCAGCATAAAGCATTTTAACTTGAATTAGTGTTCTTTTATTTTAGGTGTAACAACGAAAACGAATGGTGCCAGATCCATGAAAACATTATTCGCAAGTCCAGCACCAAATACACAGCACCCAGCTCAAACTATGGTAAATATTGACTTGTACATTTTTGTCGTAGTATCAGCTGAAGATTTGCTTTAGGAAGTTGTTAATTATTTATGGCCAAGAAACTCAGTGAGTTGCAGGATTATATATAGCCGAATTTTTCTTGTGGTGATTTAAAAGTTCAGCTGAAGTTAATTCACATTCAGTTTACAGGTGATAAGCTGTATCATGTCTGTCAGTTTAACCAGGAAGTAAGAAAACACCAACACCTGATACTTCTCCGTCTCTGATACAGCTGACAATGGCATTAATTCAGCATGCTAGATTTCCTTCATGGTTATACCCATAGTGTTATTCTTATCCTGAGAGAGGTCAGCAATGAAGAGAGAAAGTGGCCTGTTACAGTATTAGCTTACTTTGAGTATTCGTTTATTGGCTGTTACAGTTACTGAGTGTAACCATGCTTCTGAAAATTGCTAGCCCATGGGAGGATACAGCATAAGCAGCAATCAGTATTGGCAGAACTCCTTTAAAAGGTGTTTTTTTGTGACACTGAACTAAGTCACTGTGACCAGGCTGGGGTCCACAGGAAATGAAGAATTTAGATTTTATTCATCAGAGTTCCCTTGAGTGAAACCGTCTTCCTTTTCATCCTGTATTCCCTTGAAAATTCCAGGTATAACACATATCCAGAGCTTGCTCTCCTGAGGGTACCATGCATTCTTGTCAAAAGAAGCAAAACCAGGGGTTCAATTTGCCTAACATTTGTCTGACTGCTCAGAAAATCCTGGCTCTCCAGAAAACAAGCAGTGGGTTTGTGCTGACAGATTAATTGTCAGGAAGACTCTCTGTGATAGCTGCAGTGCTAAATGTTTCAATTCATAGTTCATGAGAATAACTGTCTTGGCAGGGGGTTTGCCACCTTTCAAATCCCTTTTTCCTAGCTAATGACAGGTAACTGTGGAAAGTGAATTTTATCTTGTTACCTTATTTAATGATTTCTGCAGTTTGCTAATTCAGAGAGATCATTACTGTTCCATCCCAAATGACCCAGCCCATAGGATGCGGATCTACTTCATTACAGCTCACTTTGCATTCATTACCACATGCCTGATTTATCAGCCTACTGATGTCCGAATACTTTCTCTCAGCGCACTGGTGCCTGAATATTGTCTTAATTTCATTTGTTTGCATATGGAGTTTATTGAGGTGTTGTAGTGGAATATGCAGTTCACACTCCTGTAGAAGGTATTAAGTACAACAGCAAACAAAAAAACAGTCCTCGGGTTTGGAACTTTATTATATGCAAAGCAGGTCTCCTTCCCTGCTGTTCTTCCTGTTCCAGCTAAGGTCATCCGCTGCTTATCATTAAAACATTTTCCTGAATTATTTATAACTTTGAAACCTGGGCTGTTTGCATTGATTTCCAGGGCCAGGTGTCTGCCTAAAACTTTCAGTATTTTTTTTGCCAAGCATGAACTTTATTGAAGAGCAGAAAGAAGGGCAAATAGATAGCATTTTACTCTTGCCTTTGGCTTTTACAAATAATTATTTCAGCCGTTTCATTAAGATCTAGTACATCTCTGGGGCAGGAGGTTGGAACTTGATAGAGGTCCTGTGGGAGGGGCACTATTGCAGGCTGACATGATTTAAGCCTAAGTAGTACAGTTTGGGCTTCTGAGAACCTGCTCTTACATGGAGGAACTGCTCAGTTCACAAGTGCGATTTTTCCCTGAAGAAAAGCTCATGGGTTGTTTCTCTCCCAGCTTCCCAGGTCTTGTAAAAAAAGTCAGCTCTCAGACCTGCTACAAGAAATAGAAAAAACCCAAAAGGATAGGCTGGGTAGGAAGGAGGACTGGAGAGTGCATTTACAAAACCTCTTAGGGAAGTTATTTGGGGTGGAATATGTGAGAGGATATGATGTAAGTAACGTATGTAATATTGTGTTGGAAAATCGCATTGTGTATTTCCTCTAGTGACTGATTTTTATAAGTAATAGATTGATTCTAGTGCTATTTGTTAAGCACTGTGGGTGCTGGGAGTGGGGAGGTCTGAACTTCCAAATTTGCTCCACTCCTTTCTGCTGGAATTTTTAAAAATGATTTTCATTTATTTGGTTTTGATAGCAAAAGAGGATCAAAACCGAACAAGTTTCTCCTGTAAGTGGCAAAAATAAGACTGATTTCTAAAGAATTTATCTCATGTTCTGTTAAATCTTCTGTACACATTCACACACAGATGTACACGCCTGGGTGATACTCAGTGAGTTTGAATTTTTTCCATGGTTACAAAGCCTCTGTTTTCCCTGCAGTGCTTTGCAGTGTTCTTCTGCCTACTTAGCTGGACAGTTGCAAGTCCATGTTTTGGCAGCCTTTGAGTACATACATGCTGATTGTCCAGCTGGCTGGTTGGCCTCTCTTTTCCTTTGCTTTAAAGCTCTATGCTCTTTTTTTCATTCCAACTCCCAGTATTCATAAAACTTGTACAATCTCCATGTTATCTAGGTGTCTGTTTACTTGCCAGATTTGGCTGAAGCTAAACAACAGGCCTGAATATTATTCCAAGGGAAGAGAGCAGAAATTGGATGGGAGGTTCATGATGTTACTGGTTCCATTCGCCATGTAACTAGCCTAACAAAATGGTGATTAAATATTTTTTGCAAAGCCCATATATTAAGTTTAGGAAATGGCAGAACTTTAGGTGTCTCTTGCAAGATTATGTATACAAGGCACTGTTTGTTTCAGTATGTGCTGTTCCAGTCGGTGAACAGAGAGGGCAGAAAGAACTATTGACTAACTATCATTCATTGAAGGAGATAAAGATTGTGGAAAATTACTATGTGAGCAAAATTCTCATTGGTATGTGAAGCTGGTAACGTATGCTCAGCAGATGAGGCTAAACTTGTTAAGCTTCATTCTGGCATTTTCTGCTATCATAATTCTTAACTTTGTAACTTTACCAATATACTGTACTCCTTTTAAGGGGGTAGTGTGCTATAAATTAAAAGCAACAAGGGAAAGCGATTGGACTGAGATTTACCATGTAATTTCTCCTAGTCAAGCTATATATAGTTGATACACTAAAAGGTTGCATTGAAAGAGCTGGTTGATAAACTCAGTGTGACCAGTTGGTACTCTTGAAATATGTTAACAAAGGGAATTCCATTAAAATCAACATTCCTGTATGAAGTAGTTAAAGAAACAAGTGAAACAGGTATTATACTTTTTTTGCAGTATGAAGAAGGACTCTAGTGTTGTGTGATGTGGTAGTTCAGACAGAGATAGCGTTGTTCATACCTGTGTTGTAACCTGCTGTATGTGAGGAGTAGAAATAATGCTAATTACTTCACTGTAACTTCTGACATGCCTGCAAAATTAAGTAGTCTGGTTTTAATATAATGTTATGCTCTCAACTGGTGCCTTAAAGCAGTTTTGTTTCTTTCATTTCAGTTTTAAATTGCTCCAAGAGAGAAAAGAACTCTGGTTTTATATATTTGTATCAAATTAACTGTGGAGCAAAGCATTATTTTTACCTGCATGCCTTGTATATACAGACATGTCACCTTTAGGTCTGAAATAATGAACATCTTTGTTTTTTTTTCCCAGGACTTATAATATCTCTTCAGCTTCTTCGTGGTGACATGGAGCAGATTCGAAGGGAAAACCCCATGATTTTTAACAGAGGTGTTTCTGTTACCAGGAAGCTGGGATTTCCTGATGTTATCATGCCAGGTAAACTTAACAATTCTAATCTTAAACTGTTGGTCATTTTTTTTCTCATACTCTCCTAGACAGGCTCCACTGGGATGGGTGCTTTACGTGAAGAAGGTTAATAATAGAAGAGTGGCCTTATTTATCAGTAAATGCCATTTCCAGGTTCAGGGAGGCATGCTGAAACATTTTAATCAACAAGTATTATAGTAATAGAAGGTGTTAAGTTCACATGTATAGAAGGTGATCTAGAAAGATTGATTTGCTATTTCTACTCCCTCCCTCACTGGTTAGATGTCTGTCATGTATGCTGAGCATATAGATTTTTGTCTATAAAAATGATTTTGTATCCATTAAATTAGATTTTAAATTAGATTTTTATCTTTTAAAATGCATGAAATTTCTTCTTCCCAATAATCCAAAGCCTGGAAAAAGAGTTTCTACTTTGCCACCTTGATTTTTGGAGTTAGTACGATGCTTTTGTAATGGCTGACGATAGGTGAGGCTACAAATCTGGTGGGATTTCCCAGCTGGCCTAATGGAGCACCTAGTCTGTGCAACAGCTGTCTTGGCTGAAGCATTGCTGTACTTTGTTTGCTCCTTACTTCTGAAGCAGCAGCTTGAGATGCTTCTTGTTTTGGCACAAGTTGAACCAGCCCCAGCATAGCCAAGAGTTCACTTAGGGAGGAAACCAGAACCTAGCCAGTCATGCAATCAGTCAGTATAAAACCTGGCATTATACAGTCTTGATTTTCACAGTGAAATAAGAAATAGGCTTACTAACTTTATTGCATGTATAGCATTTGAAATAGTACGTTATTGCTATGCATTATAAACTAAGACCAAGGATGACTTTGCAGACATGGGAAATGTTATGAAAGCATAATGGGAAAAGTACCTCATTTTATTACTCAGAAGACTGCAATGACACATCAGTGTCAAAAGTAGTTGTTGCAACCTCATTAGGGAAGCTCTTCAAAAAGCACAGTAAGAATAGGGAGTAGGTGTGAAGAAGTTCTGGAAACTAAAGTAAAAGCATTTAGAACAGTATGTGTTTTATTTACTAACAAACTTGAAAATAATAGTAATAGAACAACACGATGTTGGCTTTAGAGCCAGTTGTAAGTTTTACTTTCCAGTGACCTTATAGCAGTTCAAGTCTTAACCCTAAGCAATCAAATAAAAGTTTAAATATTGTCTGTTGATATGCAGGCACAACTGCTGCAAGCTGGTCTGCTGTAATTGAGATCACAGCTAGAAAAGTCAACTTAAAGAGTAACATTTACTTACCTGTGAATTGATTTGCCTGCAAGAATTTCCTTGTCCTCCACTTGTATAGAGGTGTTCCTCAGGTGCTTCAGACCACTGAATTTTAGCAAGCTGAAGGAACAGCTTTATGGTCTCAGCATTCCTCCTAATGGTTTGGGTTTTTTTCCTGGGCCCTAGCTTCTTTTTGCAAGCTGGCATAGTGAGCTGTCTTCCCTGCAGTTCCGCTGGGTTAGGCAATGCTTTGGTCCAGGGCTTGAACAAGCAGGTCAGCAGCTTTCATGTGCAAATGTTCTCACCCTAAGCTTTAAATATTCATTGAACCTAATTGAAATTTCCAAAGTGTCTTTCTCTATTTAAGAACTCTAGCAAAAGTGCTGCCTCAGTGCAAAAGATGTCCACCAAATCTTAAGTATATTGTTATGATCTTTGTGATAATCAGCATTAGACATTTAAGTAAATCAAAACCAGATTCCTGCGTGTGTGTACAGCACTCCTGTTGTAATGCTCACTGTACAGGTACAGCAGTGATCTTCCCAGCTCTGGCCATCCCCTCTGTTTTTCCACTGGTATTCTTCGAAGGACCATAGCTGCTTGCTAATGTCATGTTTATGAGAACCACAATTCTTTCTTGGAGAAATCATAGAGATTTGAAGATTATAATCTATTTGGAATTGGGCTCATATACATATAGATCTGCTTAAAATACTGATTGATACAAATGAATATGTGAAAGGACAACCACTCTGCTCTTAAACGCTCATTGCCTCTCTAGAGGTGCTGGACACCCAGAACTTCTCAATTCAGAGGGAGCTACACGAGGTCTGCATGTATAGAGTTTAGAGGCAAAGCTTTAGGTGTTTGTATTTGGGGCAGAAAAAAAAAGGCTCACATTTGTGGATAAAGGCAGTTTGTGAATGTCTTTAAACATAGGTAAGAAAAGAAAGGCAGCCATGGAAGTGTGAATAGGCTTTCAGTGTAAAGATAAATTATAACATTGCCAAGGTAGAGATACTATGTGAGGAGAAGTAGCCGTAGGTGGTGCTCTGAACAAGAATTTTCATTATCCTGGGTATTCTCTGGGATAATGAAATCTCTGGAAAAATTAGGAGATTAAAATAAAATGTAATGATGCAGTGAACAAATTTTTATCCCATTTCTTAAAACATTTCAAACAACAGCAGATACTTGCCTGTTGTTTGCTTTTAAAACAACAGATGAGACTGGAGTTTGAGTTTACCTGATGTCCAGGATGGAACATTTGGGTAGGGTAAGTTATCTTGCAGGTCGATGAGCCAGGCTATACGAACAAGGAATGCTTGTCAGCTTACTTTCTGCTTGTTGTTGGCAGCCAGGATCAGTCATTCTTTCTTAGATTTACTGGTATTGTCTGAAGTTAGAAAATATTTCATGGGGGAAGGGAGAGCAAAAAAACCCACCAAACAAATGAGAAAACAACTCTGTCATGCACGTTAGCAGTTCTCAATCACGTCTGCTGCTTTAAATGTCTTTGTCAAACTACCTTTTCCTTGCTTTGCTTCAGAACTGCTTCTTTCTCATTAAAGATAGGGTTTCCTCTTCCAGAAGGAGCACAGAAAGTTCATGACTTGTATTTTGCAAGTGGATGCAGATTTTTCAAGGCAGTATGATTTTTAAAACGTTTTTTGAATAAGTTAATCAAGGCTACGTCACCTCCTATTGTTAAAATATGCAGTGATCTTGCTCCTGAACCAGGAAATCTATTTTTAAAAAATACATAGCTCTAACATTTCAAATTAATCTTCTTGGTCATAGGTTTTAACATGTTCATTTTCTTTTTTAATAGGAAATCTTTTCAAATGCACAGAGCCATTAAAATTACATAGCTGTCTTATCCCCCAGTTTTCCTATACATTTTGTTTTCTAAACTGTAACATCAGTTCCTGTATTGAGCCCTCTTTTGCCCTCACTCAGGTATGAGCAACAGAAGTGGTAGTGGTCGTTACTAAGAAAGAAGGTGAAACTGGTCTTTTTGTGCTTATATTTGGCATGGTTATCCAGAACAAGGTTAATGTTCTACAAAATCACCATGCCTGTCTTCAGTTCTAAAGATAAAATGTTCTTTGTTTCCTACTGTGTTGTGATCTGATAAGGTCATCATAAAGCACTGAATTCTTTTTTGTCCTCAGCAGAGGGATTCAGTCAAACCAGCCTCCTGAGGAGGTGTGGAGGGGTTTTGTTCATTTGTGGGTTTGGGTTTTTTTTTTTACTAAATTGCTACTGGGTTTAAGACCGTCCATCTGACCCTGACAATTTTACCTTTCCCCAGAGATAAAAGCAATGAGGCATGTGCTGCTTGCCTTTTGGATTGCAACTTTATTTGTATACAGAACTTGCTGATCAGAAATCTATTGCATAGGCATGGCGTTTGTCAGTTCCCCAAAGGACATCCCTTCCCTTCCCCATGTGCTGATAAGTATTCTGTCTTTTACTTTGATCCTCTGATGAAAAGTGCATGCTTCATCTTCTACTTGTGAGTGATGTTTGTTTCTCTTTTTTTTTTCTCTCTCCTTGTCTTAATTTCCTGGCTTCTCTCCCTTTCCTTTCCCTTTATTCCCTCCTCTTTCTTTCTGATGCAGAGATGAAGATAGTTGGGTGTAAGTGTCTGCTTTTTTGTGTAATGTCTGCTTATTGCTTGCTTTTTCCCATTTTCATATCTCTCATGTAATGTTGGGGACTGGTAAAGATAGCAAATCATGACATCATAGGGAAGCTTTGGTAACAGAGAGGCAAAGATTCATCTTACCAGTCTCTCTCCATACCACAGTGTTCCAGACAAATTTAGTAGCTGTGACAGAGGAATCCTTGTAAATGCAGACAAATGCAAAGGTGAGAAACATCTCAGCATCTGTGAGCACAAAGGCATGGCAAAAAAAATACGTTAAGAAATGGATACAGCAAAATCCATCAGCTGTTCTCAGAATATTTATGGCAAGAGAGTCAGTGAGACTTAAGACATAATTATGTAATAATTATTCCCCAAAAGCATTTACAAGAGTAAAAAATATTTTTATCATAAATAAACTTGCAGAGCTGAAGGAGATAAAAAAAATATAGTAAAAATCAACTTTATACTACTGAAAGGAAGGCGTTTTCAGGGAAATAATTGAATTTAAAAGAGCATTGTGTGACTTCTTCTCTATACACAAACAATGGATAGCAAGTGATCCAAGTGTCATTTGTTCCTTTTCCTAGAAACAATTGAGTGTTCTGTTCACTGAAAGCTAGAGTTAAGCTTAAATAATGGGGGGGGGGGAGTTAATTGCCATAGAGGCAGTAGGTAAAAGCTAAAGCTGTTCCCCCTTGCTGTTGTAATATTACTTACATGTTAATAGTTGCATACTACAGCTATTTCCAGAATATAGGCCTAAAAATAATTAGTGACTGGTGAAGGGTCAGAGAAATAAGCTGCTGAAGTGGATCTAATGTGATTCCCAGAGGCTGTCAGATCACACCAGGCTTCTTAACAGGCAAGTAGTAGTACAGTGGTCAGTACAGAGAATTTACACTAGTGTCAAAGGCAACTTCACTGTTAAGGGAGAATCATGCAGCATGAGGCTGGCACTCTTCATCATTTGAGAAATGACTGAGAAGAAGTCCATGATGGCCAGCCAGCAAGAAGGCCAAGAGCATTTGAGACCCATCCCATGCGTCACACTTTGTCAGTTTTTCCTTTAGTCTGGTTTGTAAAAATCACGTGGTGATCACAGTGTGATTGTGGACATCGCTCTGTTAACCTTGTTTGTGTTGAAATTACTGCATCTCAGGAGTAGTTGTGTGGGTTTTATTTGGAGAAAGTTACAACTAAGAGCAGGGTGTAGTGTGCTGTTTGAGAGCAGAATCCAGTTGCTGGCACCCTGCTCCTGTGCAACAGCCTCCAAAGCTACCACGGAGAAGAGCTGTCCATCAGAAGAGAAACAGGTTTGATATACTTTTGGCCAGGAAGAAGAGCAGTTACCATTGTAAAGAACTAGAACAGATACAGCTAAAGCGCATTGTAACACTATACGTGAATACCAGTAATTCTGCACTTTCCAGTTTGTTTCCAAGACCTTACTTGCTGGACTGAGTCTCCTAGAGTCAAACCCCTGATTGTTTCAACTGCTCTAACTTCATTTAAGTCAGTGGGGTGATGCTGATTAGTTGGGGGGGGTGTTCATTTATGTACAGAGCATAAATATATGGGCTTGTTTTATCTTCAGCCATTGTGGAATATACTCTGAGTGTCCTTCTTGCCCGTTGATGCTCTGCAGGCTACTAGTATTATGTTAAACCCAGCCATGTTAGAGAGGCAAGTAGATAGTGTGTCATAGTGTTGGGCCACAATTGGTGAGGATCATCTCAACAATTCAACAAATATAGACATAAATACTAATTTTTATAGATAGCTTTTTAATATACTTGGCTGCTTAGACTGAAGTCTCAGTATTAAAGAAAGAACAATTAGAATTTCCTGGATAAGTATAGTTATTAAGTTACTTGAAACTAGACCTGCATATCCTCAGTGTTGTGAGTTGCCACTTTTCCCCAGCTTACAGGTATATGTGTCCTTTACAGGTTCACAAAGTCACAGAACACTGACTTCTTAAGAAACAAATTTGCTAGAATCAGGAAGTCAAGGATCTGTTTGGCTTTCTCCTGTTGGAGGTTCTATGAATTATGTAGCTTTTTTTTGACACAGTATCCATCTGTATAAAACAGGGACAATTTCTGTCCTCAGTGTACAGAATCTTGCAGGATCCCTGAGTAAAAAGTCTTAGATTAAATGCAGATGGTTTCTATAAATTGCTACCGCTTTGCAGCTCAAGTTATGGGTTAGTTTTCTAGTGGAAAACCTACATATCTTATCAGGATAAATCTCCTACCTATTCTAATAGATACTAGGCAATTATTGGCCGTTGGACTACCTAATGTTATTAAGTCTTGAAGGTAATCAATAACCATTTGGAAGTCTTCCAGTACATTTCTTTATTTTGTAAACACAAAATCGATATTTGGCTCCTGTGGCCTTTTCCACTGCTCCTTTTTTTCCTTTTTGCTGTTAAAATAGTTTCAAGTGATTGGGAGAGGATTTCATTTCAGTATAAGCGAACCCCCAAAGCTGTAATTTATTCTTTATAATTTAAACCCTTGTGCATTTGACATAAGGCTTTGTAAATAGATTAAACCAAAGAAACAGACCCAAAACCCCATGCAGGTGAAGGGAGAGTAAAGGAAGAGCCACATAACACATCAGAAAATAAATATTTTATATGATTGTGAAAAATACTGGTGTCCAGGGTATTTCATAAAGAATGACTCTTGGCAACTGCCTATGTAAAACTGCACATATTTTATTCTAAAAAGCAGTTTGTTTGTTTTTAAATTGAAAACAATTGTAGAGATGGGCTTTAAACCAGATACCATTCTCAAAGCTCATTAGGTTTTCAGTTCATCCTTGTCAGCCATCTAACGCAAAGAGACATCAGCTTAAGCTACCATCCGCAGGTTTTAGTCTATAAACGCTTCTGGCCTACTGGCCTTGTAGCACTTTTGTATTCCTATGCTAGTGCTAGGAGGCCACAGCTAACCCAGTTTTGTGGTCAGCACTGCTCTTTGTGAAGCTGTGAGGCCTGTGGGATGCAGGTTGGTGAACCACGCTGGTTTGCTCTCAGAATGCAGTTCTGCCACACAGAGCCAGTACTGTTTGTATGATGGTTTGCCGGAGAGAGGACATGAATTGTCTGCTTTGTTAAACAAGTTCTTTATTTATCATCTTTTCACGATGGAATCAAACATGGGAAAAGCTCTGTCTGCCAAGATTTTTGACTTGAGATGTAGCTGTCATTCCGTGTTAGAGCTGCCAGGGATCACTTCTCGATCCTACTGACCACGCTTTTTGTTCAGTCGCATCCAGGCAGCACTGCGCTGTCTGTGCACTCGTGTGGTGGTGTGCAGGCTGCCAATTGCATCCTCAAAATAAATCTGTTACTAAACTGCTCTCTCTGGTCAAGCATGTGCTCTAGTTTCTGTGCAGCCCGTTAGTGCAGCTGAGCTCAAACCCCTCAAAACCAGTAGCAACTGGAGGAAAAGGGTGGCTTGAGCAGACTCAGCAAGTGATGTCATTAATGATGGCAGAAAGATACATCTTTGTAGTAAGGTTATTTTTGCTAACTAAACAGAAGTGTTTGAGTTTGTAGCTGGAACTCCACTTCAAAGAAACTGATGGGCTCCATAACTGAGAGCCAAATGCTTTTTATCTTGGCCAGATACTTTTCTGTTTTTTTAAGACTTGCAAGACAGTACTTTTACAAGAGAAGATGCACCATTATAGTTCACTAAAATACTTTTTCCCTTCTTATTTTCTTCATTTTGATGTAAATCCACTGTTTTTTAGGTCCTTTACCCCCCACCCCAAAGGCATATTTTTAATTAGTGCAGTAATAGACCTCCTGTTAAACTTAATGGAAGATAAGATGCTATTTATAACCAGATGCTGCCTTTAATTTAGGCTGGAAAATTATTTGCTATCTGACATTGGACTTTGCGTAGCCAAACTGTCTTTCAGAAAACAGGTCATAAATAAGGAAGCTCCAAAATGCTAATTATAATGAGTACAATTAATTTCTATTAAGATTCAGAGCATACAAATGGAAACTTTTTTCCTTATGCAAACTGCTAAGGAAAAAGGATGGAGTCTGTTAAGCAGGATTTTCAAAATGAAAGTCCCTATGTAACCTATCTTTTGGGATGAAATTTGTATTTCCTTGATACTTCTATAGTCAACATACAGATAGCTCAGCTTGACTGTGAACAGCAAGATCAGTTTCTCTGTTGTTGTAGACCGTGGAGTATTGCTTTTGATGACTATTCGTTGAGAAGAAAAACCAGATCAAGTATTTGAGGCCTTTCACCAGCCTCTTGCTGTCATCTTTTTCCTGTTAATGAACCACAGCATTTTCAGACCTCTAACTGTGAGGTGTTTCAAGTAGTCAACTCTGTGTGAATCCACAGTGAGAGAGAGGTTGATGGAAAAAGGAGGACATTTTGCATACAGATGCCCATTCATAGAGAGTTCCTAGCAAAAAGCACTGAGTGTCAGCTACAGGGCTGTATTTCCATGCTTAAAAAGTTGTACTTTCCTCCAGAAATAAAAATGAAAATAAAGACAGGACTGAAAGCTTCTATTGTTTGTCCCTACAGTAGCTTAAGGAACAAATTCTGGGGGGTTATAGACTTCAGGAAGAATTTAAAGTGCTGCTTTGCCAGACACAAAAGGATATCCCACACTGCCTGAAAGCAAATGCTGCCTATTTCATTGTGCTTCTGATTAATAAACAGATTTAACTGCATCAGTTTCTCCAAGTGGAAGAAATCAGACACTCAAGGAGTCTCTGCTTTGCTGGATAACCATTCCATTACTTCATTATTTAGTCTCTTGAGACTGCTTAACAAAATATTGCCCTGAAAGGGTTTAAATTTTTTTTTATTTTTTTTGTAGTTTTATATATTGCCCTTTAGTCTGTTTGCCTTTCTGACAAGTAAATAAGAGCAAGTGCTAAGTGCGAACCATCATGAAAAGGTGACAGCAACTAAATCTTACAGAAGAATAGGTGCTACCTGCTATCCTTTTAGTGCATGATTTAGGGCTGGCTGCATTAGTTTCAACAGCAGAGTTTCACAAACCAGATTCTTAAAAAAAACCCAAACCAGTTGAGCTAGAACTGTGAAATTCAGGATAACAAGATGCTGAGAGGGATGATAGCATTTCTATTTCTGAATATAGTCATTTGCTCTGAAAGCTCTTGAAAATGAGAAATTGGCAAGTATCCATACTGCCCGCTTTCTTATCCATGCATATGGATACCAGAGGCTAGCCAGGAATCTAGCAAAAAAAATAATTTATGGTTCCTTCAAAACCCTTCTGAACTGAATTACAACCAGGTTCCCCAAAAGACTGCTTTTATTTTGGTGTTATGATAAAAACATATTATGAAAATACAGAAAATCCTAAAGGGCTAACTGAACATAATTTTCTGCTCATCATCACAAGAACACTTATTTTTCTTAAAATATATTGGAAATAGGAAGAATGTTTTGTCAGGCTTAGCCTGATGCTTCCAAATCAGCTAACTAGGCAAAGTAGTAGAAGGTTTTCTCCCTTCCCACTTACACAATAAAAGCAAGTACTGATTCTGAGTTCACATTCAATAAAGGCATTACTAACAATGGTCTGATTTTATGCATTGATATTAAAATGTTCATCTCTATTAACAATTAACTTGCTGCTTGGAATGATTTGAGCATCAGCCATGGTCTTGCAGAACACAGAAAACGATTTGCACAATCCAGATATATTGCACACAGGCACAGAGTGTTCTGTGTTGAATTGACATGTGTGACTCCACTCTTTTACTGCAGGTGATATACGCAATGACTTATACCTGACGTTAGAGAAGGGAGACTTTGAAAGAGGTGGGAAAAGTGTGCAGAAGAACATTGAAGTGACCATGTATGTGCTCTATGCTGATGGGGAAATCTTGAAGGTAAGCGCTTATTATTCCTTCTTTGAGCTTCAGGTGCCGTCTGCTTGCTCTACGGACATGTTCTTGTTTCCTTGTCCCTGCTGCAAGGGAAGCACTAAAATAAAACTAGATCTTATTTTTTGAACCATGTATTATGATGAAGTGGTCAGTTAGAAATTTGAAAGCATCTGGAGCAGTTCCCCTTTACGGCAATAGAGGACTTGGAGAAAATATTCATAAACTGAAAAGCTTACGTAATTTCAGATGTGATGTTGGTGGCTATAGAAAAAGAAAAATCAGGGTAACTGATCAGAAATAACTGAAGAGTATCTGACAAATATCTAAAATTATATAACGTGTTCTGTACAACATGATGGACTGCGATTACAAGAGAGACTTTTAAATCTGAGTTGTTGGAGTTAGTTTTGGGAAATAAATTTGAGTAGCTGTATTGCCAAGGTCTTGATTTACACCCTGGGATGGTTCCATTCCAGCTGTGGATGGTGATGGTTAATGTTTTTCTTTCTTCCTCCATTCTTTTAGTATTCCTAAAGAGTAGAAGGTAGGCAAGTCAGCTTGGGGGGGAGAAGGTGTGAGGACAGAGAAGTAAATGGAAAGTATTCCAATATAAACATCTATCAGAAATAACTCCCCCCCCCCCCTTTTTTTTTTTACCTCCACTGCCATTTTATGGCCTTCAGAGCCACTACCTTAGAAGAGCCTGAACACCACAGCGCTTGTGTACCAAACTCACTGCCACAGTCTGGTTTGTTGGGTTTGGGTTTTGTTGTGTTGGCTTTTTTAGTTGAAAGGATGTATTTTCCTTTATTACTATAATTATTTGTGTTTCCATTGAAAGTAAAGTATATCTCTTGTAAGGAAACGGTTTGCACTCATAGCTGTTGCAGGAAGATCACAATGCTTTTCTGTTGAATTGCATTAGGCATGCCTTTCAAACTGAGTGGCAGATTTTTAATCATGGCTTTGTTTCAGAGCAGTCTGCCAAAGACCAGTATAGGTCTTTTCCCTCCAAACTGCAATATCATCATCTTCAACCACTAATGTACATAAAGGTAGAGAATTTTACTGGAATTGTAAGTATAAAAGCCGTATAATTTCTAGACATTATCAGTCTTCTGTGGTTTTGGTTGGAATGGTCATACACAGTTACTAAGTTATCTTTTTCTTACCTTTTCCTGTAACAGTACTTCAGGGCTTTACCAGGGGATAGTGGAACAAACGTGGTACAAAGACTAGTGGAAGGCAGTCAATCCAAGCAGAAAAAAAGAACGGTGAATGTTTGTCATAAAAGAGAGACTTTGCATAGAAAGGATTTTTGGGATGGGTTGTTTTTTGGTTTTGTTTTTTTTTAAGCAAAAACCACATAGTTAAAATCTGTACCAGTTTTTATGTTACTGCTCCTCTGTACAGTTGTAGTTAAAGTAACAAAGATCCTTCATTTATGTCAGGGAGATCAGTTCATGACATCCGATGATGCCAAAGATCCATTGTGTTTCAAACATGCAGGCATTAGAAGTTTTCTACATAGGAAATACTTATATGATAGTGTAAGCTATTATATCTTCTCAAAAATAAGTAAAAGGGGCATCAAGGACACTAGAAGTTGAACTCTCCTTCCCTTTAATTAGCACTCCTCACTGCTTAGGTACGTTTTTGTTCTTTCTTAACTGCAGATTGGAACTAGGAAAACAACATGTAATACTGTCAGTTGAACTGACTGTAGAGGCATAGTTCAAAAGTGCTGCATAGAATAGTTAGGGTTGGAAAGGACCTTAAGATCATCCAGTTCCACCCCCCCTGCCATGGGCAGGGACACCTCACACTAAACCATCTCACCCAAGGCCTCATCCAACCTGGCCTTGAACACTGCCAGGGATGGAGCATTCACAACCTCCCTGGGCAGCCCATTCCAGTGCCTCACCACCCTCACAGGAAGGAATTTCCTCCTTATATCCAACCTAAACTTCCCCTGTTTAACTTTGAACCCGTTACCCCTTGTCCTATCACTACAGTCCCTAATGAAGAGTCCCTCCCCAGCATCCCTATAGGCCCCCTTCAGACACCGGAAGGCTGCTCTGAGGTCTCCACGCAGCTTCTCTTCTCCAGGCTGAACAGCCCCAACTTCCTCACCCTGTCTTCATACAGGAGGTGCTCCAGCCCCTGATCATCCTCGTGGCCTCCTCTGGACTTGTTCCAACAGTTCCATGTCCTTTTTATGTTGAGGACACCAGAACTGCACACAATGCTCCAGGTGAGGTCTCACAAGAGCAGAGCAGAGGGGCAGGATCACCTCCTTCGACCTGCTGGTGACTCTCCTTTTGACATGCACATAAGAGAGAGAATCAGCCACCTAGACCCGAGTTTGAAAACTGATCACGTGTCTTCTTTTTTCGTTGCTGCCATAGCTTCCACATGATTTAAAAAATCTGCAAATTCATCTACAAAAGTTAAAGCGCATGAAGCAGCCATCTGGGATTGCTTCTAACTTAGTGGGTTATCTTGCCATTCGCTGGTAACACCCTTGTAGAAGACAGTTGACCCTGTTAAGTGTATGTATATGGTTGCTATAAGTCTATAGAAATGCTCTGAAAATGGTAAGGATTCAGTTCCTTAAACTACAGATTTCCGATTTGTCTCAATTTCAGAATGCAAATTTTGGTTGTAAAATACAGGCAAAATTTATGCTTAGGATCTTGCCATGCTTCAGGTGAAAAGCCCACTCAGTTCTGACCATCCCACCTGTGCAGTGGGCTTTGGGAAGTCTGGGTATCCGTTTGTCTAAAACTTTGCACAGCTCTGTTAGTCAGGCTTATTTTAGTATCCCAAATAGATACTGGTTTATCTTTTGTGTTAAGAATTTAGTTTTACATCCTAGGTGGCTTGTTTTTCACTGCAACCATCTAGTTTATGTAATCTTCAGTATGTACACCTTAGAGCAGTGTTCTGTGAGGAAGGAGCTGGTTTACCCAAAGGCAGAATGTAACCATTCCTAGATGAAGCAGCTGTGAAGAGACTGATAGATCTGGGCTTTCATCTCAGTCATTCAGCATAATTTAAAAGAAAATACTGAAGAGTGCAACAAGATGAGTCTAACAGCTTTTTAATTTAAATGTTAAGAATAAGGTTTGTGTTGGGTAGGGCTTGGTGCAGAACTGAAGGCAATTGCTTTCTTTGGATCCCCTGACCCCCAGATGGTCACTTGCGTGACCTGAGGTTGTTTTCACAGTCAAGTGTAGCTATTTTATTTCTTCTGTTTTCTTTGTGTAATGATGACATTAATTTGGTAACTTTCAGTAGGTGATAGAGTAGAGAAGTTAATAAAAAACTCCAACCTTACAATAGTATGGGCAGAACACTGGAAGTTCAATCACTGACCCAAAGCGCTGCTCTTGGTTGAAATATCTTTTACTGTTCCTGATGTATGCCTTTCCTTAGTAGAGACTGCCAAATGGGATAGAGCATGCTGAGTTATGCCATACAGCTGTGAAATTGCCACACAATATTCATCTGATACTAGAATAAAATCTCTAAACTTTGCCTGACCAGCAGCACAATCCACAATTACGCCTTTGTGCATGAAAGTCTTTGTGAAGACTTAAGCAGAGCCACACACAGTGTTAAAGAGATTATTCTGTCTGCCTCAAATCTTTATTGCTGTTGAATATATCTTGGTCCAAAAATAGTCCTATTGAAAGCAGTGAAATTATCCCCCGAATATAGTGCTGTCCAAAATGAAAATGAGTATTTTCTTTTCAAAATGGTCTTACTCAATTGTTAGCTTCTTTCCATACAGTCTGAAAAATAAAAACCCTTGACACATTTCTCACTTATTCTTCTCTCTGTTCCAGTGTCAGGAATATCTTACTAACCGCAAGGCATACCTTAAATGGTAAAATTCTGACCTAATACTGCTTCTACTTCAGCTTCCCTTACTTGCCTCTGCCCTCTAGTTCACCTACATACTTGGTTCTCATGGTAACTAGGTGTACAAAACCTATTTTCATAATGATATTTTTGCCAGTCACAACTCGGAAGGAATTAAAGATGAAACCAGCCTCCCTCCTCAGCCTATAGACTGTAGTATAAACATTTATCAACTATATTAACAACCGGAAGGAAAGACTCATCTGGTATTTGTTCATCACTCAGCAACTGACCAGTTGTCTGCCACGCAGGTAATTTTTTTGAGGCAAAGGAAAAAAGCTCACATTAAAATTAGAATTCTTCTTGTACCTTACAGAAGAACACAAACACTTATTGTCTCCTAAGAACCTCACACAGAAGGAGGTTTCAGTTGTCGTGTTGAAGCCCAGCAAGTTACTCTGAATACAAAATGTAACTGGAATGTTGCAGGCATTCTGTTTTTACTGCTGCCCCCACTAGGCTCACTCCAACCTGTTCATATCTGCAACAGTTAATTCTTGTTGCTGTACAAAAAAAATAATCAACTGTGTGCTGGGATTGTGGCACATCCCATATGATGGCTACGGCTTACGTGAAGGGACTGAGTTTTGGGAGTGAATGCTAGTCACTCGGGTTGGATTAGAGCCTTTGCAGTGAATCTCCGTCCAGGGAGGCTGTTCTTGCTTTGAATCCTAAGCTTCCAGATAGCTTTTATTTCCTTTGGGGCTCCTTCACAAATTCTTAACTGTCCTGAAGGCAGAAGAATATTAGCACAGGCCAAACTAACTGAGTCTGGTTGATGGGATATGCTTGATTTGGTAGTCTTCTGATTACAGGTGAATAAATCAAGTCAACATTGTTGGTATTTTCTTGGGATAGAATTTAGAGATGCCTTGAAGAAATGACCAGTAGTTTTTCTTGTCATGGGTACTGTTCTTTCTGAGGTGTTTTATACTGCATGTGTCGTTCTGGGTCTGCTTAGCTTCTGTTTCTTTGTGGATTCTTATCCTTACAGATGCTAAAAGTGAAGAATCCCCTAGCTCTTTTTTCTGCATGGTTTTGTAAGATGTCATATCTTTTGGATCACTTTGTAAGTGCCAGGTCTAGAACATGGGGTAGTGCTTATATAAATAAATGTGCTTCCTGCTCCATGTCTTCATTTAAAAGGACCTTTTACTGACCGTATTTCAGGATTTCTCCTTTGCTCACGTTTGGACGATAGTCACTTATGTTTTCTGTCATCTGTATTTTGAGGATGCATAGATTGGTCAAGATCTCTGAGCTTTTTATATCTCAAAGCAAAAATTTAGATCCCATTATATTTTTAGGTGATGACAGTTCAACAGAAATTCTTTGCTTACCAGGAAGAAAGTAGTTTGATTTTCTGGGATTTTCTGGGATACTCAGTGAGGCTGGATAGTTGTAGTTTAAAAAGACCAACGTTTTTAAGAGCTTGAAAAGTTCAGGTGTCACTTCTGAACCGAGATACTGGAGCAGAAATCTGATTAAACTGTATTTTCAAGAAAGTCTAACATTACAAGTGATGGAACTATTAAGAATTCTTTTTTATTAATCTTTATACATTTGGATTTACGTGTTTATTGTATCTGTTCTATACTTGATAGAAAACTTAGCTTAAATATATAAGTTAAGATGCAGTATCATGGGTCTCCTAGCTTATCCTTTGACCCAAAACACAGTTTAAAGAGCTCTTAAAAAAATAATGATTTTATTGTGTCTGAGTTTCTGCTTCTGACTCTTCCTTTGTGTCTACAGAAGGATATGAATTATATAAAGGTTATCCCTGTGCAATAATATGACTCATCCATAGTGATGTGCTGTCTTTTAATCTTGAACTGTTTTCTTTTCTTCCAGGACTGCATCAGCCTGGGCTCAGGAGAGCCGAGCAGGAGTGCATACCACTCTTTTGTGCTTTACCACAATAACAGCCCTCGATGGGGGGAAATCATAAAGTTGCCCATCCCTATAGACAGATTCCGTGGGTCTCACCTCCGGTTTGAGTTCAGGCATTGCTCCAGTGAGTGCCAAATGTAACCAAGAGAAATCCAGCAAAGCTGAGGTCTTTCCAGTGTCAATTTATAGTTGGATGAGTCTGTAACTGGGTGGAAAGCAGGAAAGGGCACTGACCTAAAATACAGCAAAGGTGCACTGCTAATTAGCCAGTTGCTATGTTTATTACCACATTTAAACCACCATGATAATCGGTGCAGGGCAAAACATTCTGTAAATGTTCTCCCCTGCTGTGCTTTTGCTGTATTTTCTTGCAGAATGTTTTTGTTACAAGCATGTATATTCTATATTTCACTGTGTTGGGCATGTTTGTTTTGAGGCTTGCCGATCATTTGCATGGAATTAGATAAAGTGTATTGTATGTTGTTTCTTAGGTAATCTGCATGCTTTTTGTTAGGCATGCAGAGAAGTTGGTGAATAACCTTGGGGTATATATAGACAGAATATGTACAAATATGATTCCTTGCTTCTGTCTCTTGCTACAGCAAAAGACAAGGGAGAAAAGAAGCTCTTTGGTTTTGCATTCACTCCGTTGATGAGAGATGATGGCACTACTTTGTCTGATGATATCCATGAGCTTTATGTTTATAAGGTACCAGTTCCTTTGCAGACTTCCTACTCATTCCTACTCATCTCTTCTTGAGTTTAAATATGTAACAATCATTACATTATCTTCCCCCCCACACACACCCCAATTGGAATTATGTGAGGAGCAGGTTAGTAGTAGTTTCAAGACTTTATAAGCTCAAACATGGATGACCAGATACGGACAAAGCCTCCTGTTCTAAGGACAGATAACGGTGATCTAGCGTCTGTTAATCCTATCCGTTTTGAATTCAAATGTAGTAGTGTTTATGAGCATTCAGGAGTTTTACCTGCCTGTGGCATTACTCTATGCCTTTGTAGTATGAAATCATGCTACAGCTTGGCAACCCTGTAGCAAGGGGTTTGGGGTGGGTTGTTAGGGTTTTTTCCTCCTGCTGATTTACCTCGGTTTATTTCTTCAGTATGATTTTCAGACAGCAGCACTAAGTTCTGCAGTTGGAAGACTGTGATAAGTTCTAAAGAGTCATTGGGAAGGAGACCACACTTTCTAGAGCTGGGTTGGTTTGTGTACGTGCAGGTCCTGAAGGCAGCAAGCACAACTTTTTCTTAGAAGTGTTTTTGTGCACCCAGAAATTAATATAAGTAGTTAGGCAGTTGCTTTCCGGGTGTGAGTGTGTGGAATGAGATAGACTGGGTGCGATTCCATTTCTTGTCCTGTACCCACAGTGTGATGAGAACAGCACATTTAACAATCACGCACTGTACCTGGGGCTGCCTTGCTGCAAAGAGGACTACAACGGCTGCCCCAACATCCCCTCGAGCCTCATTTTCCAGCGCAGCACCAAAGAGACCTTTTCAGTCTCCACACAGCTTTCTTCTACCAAACTGACCCAGAATGGTAAGTAGTGCATCCTTCGAAACTGCCCAGAGAAACAGGGATTTTGAAAAAGAGAAATAACATGGCTATGCTTGTGCTGTGTTTATTTTACTAAAATATTCCTTTGTTATAATTTAATTATATGTAGGCTTTTTTTTTACTAACATGACTGAAACGAGCAGAAAGGTTTTTTTGAGGAAATAAGGATATTGAGAGACGGCAGAGAAATTACAAACGCTACTGTAAGTGCAAGAGAAGGGTTATGACAGAATATGTTAAAGCAAAGTTTTCATTAAATGATTGAAGAACAAAAAATTCAATGCTGGCTCTTCTGCACAAGCCAAAGGTTTTGTGCATCTTTTGTTACACGGTTGCTAAGCAAATAAAAATTTGTTATGGCACATCCCTGAAGCATGGGAAGGCAGAAATGGATTGTCCACAGTGCAGTGTGAACTCACATAGGGAAAAATGCAATCTCTGCTCTTTCTAAAGTACTTTGCCATTCCTCCCTTCTTTATTGTTGTTAGTAGTATTGGACTTACTCCCTGTTTCTCTCTCTTACTGTGTTTTTTGCCCTGAGAAGTGTGAACTGCAACAAGAGCCGAAGTGTAACATGCACTGAATCTCTGGTGGGGCTGGGGTTGCCATTCTTCCTTCTGTGTATGGATTCTAGCTCTTTCTCTCACTCCTCTGCAGTGGATTTGCTTGCCCTACTGAAATGGAAAGCTTACCCAGATCGTGTGATGGATATTTTAGGAAGACTGAGACATGTCAGTGGCGAGGAAATTGTCAAGGTATTACATGAAATAACAGGTTTTGGATGTATCTGTGATAGCAGGGGAACTCAGACCTGCAGGGCACTTCAGAATGTTCCCTCTTACTGTACTTTTTTGTTCATGCTGTGAATTTAGAGGGTAAGAATTGGGATTTTATTTTGACATGAAACTGAGCGGGGAGGTACACTCCAAAAATTGATGAGCAATTAGTCCTTGGGATCAAAACAGAGCTAATCTTTAGTAATTCGTTCACTCACATGTGCTGCAAGTATCAGCACCAACTGTACGGCCACTCTTGTTGAGCCATGCTGCTTGCTGATGTAAACGCAACCACTGGCAGTGATGGTCTGTGCAGACTTACCTGTTCCAGTAGTCTTTTCTAGAGGACCTTCTCCAAAATGGCCTCAGTGTGGTTGGTCATTTCTAGAGTGAAGAAAACAGAGTTGACTCAGAAAACGTGACCTTTTCTATGTTCCAAACAAGCGTGTAGAGGAGAAACATGAGATGTAGAAAGTCAAGTTTTGCTCAATAACCAGGGAACCATCCTGCAAATCCATTCTCCTGTCCCCAGCACTGTGAAGTGGAGCTGTTGCCTAGAGCACCAGTTGCTCTGGTGTTGTCTCCACTGCTACACTACATGCCAATCCTTTGTGTGACCTGAACTTTCTTAGGTCAGATGAACTTCTGCATGCATTTGCATGCTTGTGGTTTCGGGGGGAAGGTGGGGGGGTGTGAAGTGCATTCCAGGTATCCTTCTGATAATTTTAGGTGCTGAGAACTCTCCCTAGAATTTGCTTCTATAAATCTTCTAAGTAAAAGCAGGAGATAATTTGTAACGGTAAACAACCAAAGAGAAGAAACCAAAGCAACATCCAATCATTTAATTAGTAGTTTCTGATTAAATTCACTTTGCTGTAAGTCATTAGAATGTTGACACATCTTGAATATTAATGTTCCTGAGAACTTTGTAATGGTAACAGAAGGGAATTCTTCAAGAATGTCACGTTTTGTACACGTTGTTTGCAGGGTAGTGCAAGTATCTGTTTTTTTTAATAGAGAAAAGCATAAGATGTGGGTTAAATTATTCCAAGGGGAGAAGTAATTGATTCACTCCCTAACTCACCTGCTATTTGGCACTGGGATATGCAATAATTCAGAAAAAAAAAAGAAATTTTATCCTTCTGGGGACTCCATAAATTGTTACATTTTATTTCTTGCTTTCCACATCAGAAATTTAATTAGAATAGATTACAAAATCATGGGAGAATATGCAGTTGACTTGATCTTCATCATTCTTCACAGTCATCCTTTCCAAGGACTGTGCTTTCAGGAAAGAAAATCGCCGAGTTGTTTGCATTCAGTAAGCCTCAGTGTGAGGGAGAAAAGAAACAATTGGCAGTATGTAACTTGTCCCAGTTAATGCTGTTACAAAAGCTTTACTTTGTCATACAACAAAACTTTTCAGTATTAAACACGATTTGAAGCACCGGTTAATGTGCTTCCAAGCCTTAAATTTGATGATAAGCAGTATGTGATCCACAGTAACGACATCAAAGTAAGTTGTTTTGCCACTGTTGTTAGGCAGCACTTTAAGTCAGCTTACAGTGAAAGGAACACTGGGTTATATTTACAGATCAGTCATGCGGTACATATTTGTGGTTTTCTATTTTTTCTGTCATTTTTGGTTTGAAATACTCATTTAAAGAGGAGAATTCTTCTTCATCAAAACAAATGAAAATCTATCACGTCACATGGATGAACCTGAAGTGGTTCGTCTTTGGCAAGCGTTTCACAAAAATACCAACGTGTATGAAATAATTAAAGCAGGGGGAGAATAACCTTCATTTGAATACGATTTCAATTTGAAATTCTGTGTTTATTCATGTCATTTTAGTTCCTACAAGATATTCTCGACACGTTGTTTGTAGTTTTGGATGACAACACAGAAAAGTATGGTCTGTTGGTCTTTCAGTCTTTGGTAAGTTCCTGCGTTGTTACTTTATTTCATGGTCAGTGAGTTTTAAGTTTCTTATTGTCATGTAACTGGTATTTTACTTCCATAAAATATGAAATACTTAGCTGGATCAGGCCTTATATTTTCTGTAGTCATCTTGGGTGAGGAGGGCAGGTAGTCCAAACAGATCTGAGGTAGCAATATTTGCTGTCACTTGGGAGAAGCAAACAATAACACCTAATAACACAGCTACTGACTGTTTAAAGAAACTCATGTATTTCTTTGTTCCTTAGCTTGTGTGACTTGCTTATAGAAACCTAGCAACAATGTGCAATTTCCTTTAGTATGGGTTCACTTTTTCATCTCCCACAGGTATTCATCATAAACCTGCTGCGTGACAGCAAGTATTTTCATTTTCGACCTGTGATGGACACTTATATTCAGAAGCACTTTGCAGGAGCACTTGCTTACAAGTAGGTGTTGTTTATCCATCACTTCAAGAGATGGTATTAGCACACTTTTGAGCAATGTCGCCATCAGAATCTTAACCTTCATGTTAGTCGTGGTTTTCAAAAGCAGAACTACTCAGATGAAAGTTTTGCAGCACAGTTGCAGAGAAAAGAGCTGAATGTCACCTGTGGCTAAGAAAGACTTTGGAGTTTGGCTGAACTGGCAAAACCTATTTTCGTTTTTTTTTTAGCTGAAGAGACACTGTCACTCAGCAACAGCTCATTATCAGGCTGTACTAATGAGCTACCAAGAGCATATACATCTCTTGTCTTAAAGGTGTTTGGATAAAAGACTTGTGTGACAGCTTAGGCAACTAACAGTAATTTCCTCTTCCAAGGTAGACAGGTATTCACATGAGATGTTCTATTTGATTACAGTAAACAATTTCAGGAGATCAGAAACTTACTTTCCCTGTCACTTTGAAGATTCTCCCTTGCTTTCTAGTATTTGAGTTTTGCATCAGGGAACAGGACAGATTTTTGAAAGCAGTAGCAGTTACCATTCAGGGTGTTGTTTTTCCTTTCTCTTAGACCATTTATTTATTTATTACACCATTTGAGCATATTCTATCTATTATAAACTATTAAAAATGGCTTATAATTGACTGGTTTAAGCCATTCACATTTTAGTGTAATTAAAACAAATATAAAAATTCAATCAGTGGTAGGTAAAACTGTAGATACTGTGCAACACAGGAGAGCAAAGTAATCTTCAGAGGGTAAAAAGATGTTCTGCTTCGTGTTAATTATCACCTCTTTCAGACAAAACAAGTGATTTTTTGATAGTCTGATGTCTGAAATAAAACATGCTTTTAATACAACCCTTGAGGTTAGCCCAGATGGTATTGTTCACTTAGGAAATGGGTACATGTATTTTCTTTGTGACCTTTGTTTCTAAAAACTTAGAGGAGATCTGGAATTTCTTATCAAAAAAGAAACAAGAGGATGCTTTGGTCTTAAAACTGTATTACATGCCTTTATCAAAGCTGTCTCTTTAGTAACACCTCTTTGATGTTCTCCTAGTCTGCCTCATGATGTAAGTCAGTTACAGAGAAGAAATTGTTTCTGGTTTTGAAACCTGACTAACCATACATATTTTGTGAATTCTGCGGCTGGGACAGCAGTAGGTGACCACTGAAAGGGAGTGATATGAGACTATTTTATAGATTTCTCGCTAAACCCAACGTGCTTGTTGCCTGTCTAATTTTAAAGCAGTGCTGAAGTTTCCTCTTCTTTTCACTGTTTGTTATATTCAGAGAACTGATCCGATGTCTGAAGTGGTACATGGACCGCTCAGCTGAGCTTGTGCGCCAGGACCACATCCAGGAAGCAATGCGAGTGCGTATTCAGTGGAGTGTTTCTGTGTCTGTTCCATCTGTGGCTACAAAAACCCCAGGGAAGCTGTAAATACAACTCAGGGTAGTCTGGCACTGAGTTCTTATTTGTTTAACCAGATTTTATATGTGTATATATATATATTGCCAAAAAATTTATTTTGGAGGCGATTCACTCTTGTGCATTAAAAACTAGAATTGTGTCTCCTTAAGTCCTTTTGAAGCCCTATGGAGAACTTAAGCGTGACTTACATGGGACATATATGCTATGGCCATTTATATATGCAGTCTGCACCATGCACTTCAAGAAGCAGTTATTGTGAAAGTATTTGGCAGAGGTGCTGTGGATCAGAGATATGCTTTTTATTTCTGGCTGTGAGACAGGGTTTTTGTATTAGGAGTTGAATTTCTGGATTACTTTAAGGAGGAGAAAAACGAGCTTTTAAGTAGATGGAAATTCTAACTGTCATTGCACAGGACTGAATCACACCTCTGTGATGAGGGCATAATCTCGCAGCAAGGCACAGCTTCCCAATGGTGTGGAAACAAAGGGAATCGTTTTGGTGCCATTGCAGAGAAATCACAGAATAAATAGAGTGTTAAATACATAGTTTAAAACAAAAAGACAACGTGTCATGTACATCCTGTACACAAATACCAGGTTCCAAAATGTGTGGCAAGATACTTTTCTCTGTGTGAATGTCCATCTGTACCTTCTTACTCTGAGCAGGCTTGTGTCCGAACATTTGAGTCTGAGCACTCTGAGAGCTGGTAGCCATGGCAGAGATGAGCTCTTCCTTTGTCTCTCTTTCTCCTGTCAGGACAAATAGGTGAAGCATCTCACAGATGAAGCACGCACACATACATACACTATTCCTTTAATTTCTGGCAACCATTTGGGAAAGTCAGAGTTTGTTCCTTGTAAATGTGTTTATGCTTGGTGTGTGTTTCAGGCTTTCTTGTGGCTCTCTCTTTCTTGTGTTATTTTTGTTCTTTGTTTTGCCTCCTTTAGTCTGATTTAGTCAGCATTTTAGAGGAAGTAATTATTTTTTGAGAATCCTGGTTCCATTTGAATGGTATGGCATCACTGCCATCAACTAGCTTCCAAGCTCTCCTGTTAAGATCATATCCTCTTACTTACAAGGGCATTATACCACTGTTTACTTTGTCTTTTGTAGCTATATGCATACTTAGAAACAACTTCTTTGCAGTACTTTTCAACCACAGATTCATAGGAAATGTTAAAAATGGGGCAAAGATAGCTTTTCAAGAAATTAACAACTTCCTCATTCTTTTTGTTTCCTTCCTTCTTTTTTTGAATTACAAAGAAACTTACTAAAATTACCAGATGAGAGGAAGATCTCTAGCTGGAGTGACTTTTAGAGGGTTTTGTTCCCTCTCAAACCACCCATTAGTGCTCTGTGCAGTGCAGCAAGGAGAGATATGTGATACTGTCTCTATGTGATCTGCATATTTTGAACCTCATAGTAAACTTCTTCAGAAATTATAAGGAAGAAGTTCTTTACTGTAAGGGTGGTGAGGCACTGGAATGGGTTGCCCAGGGAGGTTGTGAATGCTCCATCCCTGGCAGTGTTCAAGGCCAGGTTGAACAGAGCTTTGGGTGAGATGGTTTAGTGTGAGGTGTCCCTGCCCATGGCAGGGGGCTTAGAACTGGATGATCTTAAGGTCCTTTCCAACCCTAACTATTCTATGATTCTATATTAAAAATACGAATGCTGGAATGGCTTTCAGGAGCTGGTTACTCAACACAGTTTGGGAGAAAGGTACGTTCTTTCTAGGATTCCAAGGCAGCTCTTTGCTTACTTGGACCCTCAAGTGCTTGCTTAGAAAATAGCTGTTGCCTCCATGAGCAAGGTCAGCTGGAAGACCAGACAGCCCAGGCCTTTCCAAGCGCAGGAATTATAATTACCACCAGAATTTCTGCAGACCCAACAGCGCATCCTCTGCCACAGACACTGCTGTCACATCTGATTTGGGCAGTTGCTTTTGCAGGTTTATCTTGGAGACCCAGACTGATGTCTTTACCTTCTTCCATTACAGGAAAGTGATTGATTCTATTTCCAGATTTTATTTCAGGCACCAAAACCATTATCACTGCTAACTGTATTCCACTGTTGGCAGTTTCTGTGGTCTTGGATATCTTCACTACATTCCTTGGACTAGTAGTTCTTCAGCTGAGAAAACAGAATGGTTCTCTATGCCTTCTGCCTTGGATTAGCTGTTAAATGTAGTACCCTGAAGCAGGTGTTGAAATCTCTCTGCACTCCTTTTTGGCTCTTGACTGCCCATGCACATTCATGATGGATATGCAGATGCCTCAGTGGATTCTGATTTTCAACCTTGGCATTAGCAAGCAGTGCCCTAGGCTATTTCTAAAATTACTTACCTGCCTCAAGACTGCTCTTAATTGTCAGAAAACTTGTATGAAACCTGAAGGAGTTTATAACTGAAAGGACATCTGTACCTGGATTTCTTCCCTCTCAAGCTGCTCATCAGTGCTATATGCAATGCATCGAATAGAGATATGTGATACTGTCCCTATGTGAACATATAAACTGCATCGAGGTACAGCTGCCTGTGACTCCACAGGCAGTTTTACTTTCCGCACCAGTCATGGCAAGACTTAGGTAGCGTCTCTAGGCGATGCTCTCAGCCTCGGTTATCTTCCAGTGGTAGAACCACAGGTGATTTTTGCCTAGATTGAGGAACACACTGGAAAAGCAAGACTTTTTCTTCCTTAGGAAGTCACATCTTCATATCAGTATTCTGGAGCTGAACTGCACGGAACAGGCATCAAACTTAACTTTAGGGACTTTGAGGTACTGCATACCATTGCTATGGGGCTTTACGTGAGTCAGTGATAGGGAAATGGTCAGTCTTCTGAGCTGATTCCTTCAAGCCGCTGCTCATGCTTTCTGAACCATGTCAGCCAGGGAGCTAGTGAATGAGAGATTAGGAATTGCATCCTCAGCCTGAATTTTGAGACTGGGCACTCCCCAGAATGGTTTTCTTCACCCTGAATTTAACAAAGAAATGCCAGTCAGTTGCATTTGAGATCAGTCTGTTTTTGGAATTATTAATTACTTCATTCAGAAATAATTACCAGATTTGGTGACTTATATTTTATGCAGTCTCACCTCTTCTAAGAATACCAGAAAATTGCTGATGTAATTGTAATTGTTCCACCCTGGTCAGCCTGTCTGTGGGACTTGCTCCTTCTTTTCTTGCTGATTCCTTGAGCTTTGCCCTAGGTCATTTATCTGCTCTCACAAGGCTCACATTGGTACCTTCACTTGAACCTTTGTACTTTTTTCCTCCAAACTGCATCATAAATGCTTATTGTACTTGATGCAAGTATGCTGTTCTCTGGAGGAACACACTGACATTAACTGGAAGAAGTTTTCCACCTGCTCTTGAATGGTGAAGTGGATACTCAGAGACTACTGAAAATGGCTTTATTCACTTGTTAGGAAAGTGAAAGAGATTCAGACCTTCAGAGCTAATCTACTTTACGTACACTGTACTTCTGATAAGGTTACCCTTTCTATGTACTCCAGATTCTTTCCTAAAGTAATCTTCGGGTTTCTTGAGTGCACTTCTGTGTCTTTAGGCACCGATATGCTTCATATCTGTGATTTTTTAAGTAGTAAGAGACAGTCCAAGTGCTGATTTTTACTAACAAGACTTGATTTGTGTTTTTACCATCTCAGCCATCTGCCTGAACCCTTTGTGAGTTCATTCTAGGCAGCAGTTTAAGGTTGTTTGTGCTAAGGGTGTGGAGTGTCTCTGAGCCTGGAGTTTCACTTTCTACAGAAGATTATAGAACTCCATAAATAAATCCTCTGATTCATTGCAAAACATAATCTTCACATTAAAGATACAAGCTTTCAGGTTAGAATTATGGTTGTCTATACCAAACCTATAAAACAGCTTCTGTAATCCCTTGGTTTGCTGTTATTTGGTGTTAACAACAGTGATGCTAACCTTAAAGAGCTGACTCTCGTGAACCAATTGACCTTTGTCTGGAAACTGTCCATAAATACACAGTGCTATTTCCTGATGATGTTCCTTGTTGAAAGGAAGCTTCACTGGGGGAAGTTCTAGTACCGAATTATAAACAATGTACTGCCAAGTGGCCCAAGTTGCCGTCATTCCTGAAAGAAAAATGCCTGTAAGTATCAGTTGCATTTTGAAATCTGTGATGGCTTTATCAGGAATTTCACATTCCCCTTCTCTCTCCTTAAAGCTGCAGCATTCTAAACCTTAGAACATAACGTTGCATCTTTGTGCATATAGTGTGGTGGTTCAATGAGAGGTGCCTTAGGAATGCAGAAACATCTGATGAGGGCAAAATTTGTCTTCAAATGAACTTTACTTTTCAAACTGTGAAGGAAGACAAGAATACTTTCCAGCCAATACAGTGCAATATTACTAATATTTCTGTACAGACTATAATGACTGAAGCTCCAGCCTGTTTGTTTCCCATGCTGAATTTTGAGGATATCATCAAACTATGCCTCATGATGTTTTCTCTTAATCCCGCTTTTATGGCGTATCACGTTAAGCAGTAAGGGAAGGAGGGAAGTCAAAATGTCACTGGTCCGTAGTGCAGTTCAGTGTTGACAGTTGCACACACCAAATGATCAAAAAGGCCTCGTTACTGTGTAGAACGTTACGTTGCTGTGTTAGTGCCTGTGAGAACCTTTGATCGGTTGGTAAGCCTGTTAAGGGCTGCACAGAACGTCGTCTTCTTCATTGACACTGCTGCCAAATAAGTGGAGTTCTGAATAATGCCCTTTACAAACTGTTAGTTAAAGATATTTAGTTTGCAAATTCAGACTTAATGCAGACGTGTCATTGAGCAAGTTACTCTACTACGGAAAGATAACAATTGCCAGCCCTTTGGCACTGCATCATTTCTTGCACATTGTACAGCAGTGCTAAATGCCATCTTCTCTGCAGGTTACTCTGCCTCTGCTGGGTGCTCTCCCAGTTTCATGTGTGATGGTAACAGAAAGATGCTTTAACTTATCACAGCTCGAAGTTAAAAGCTGCTCGCTACAGTACTGCTGCCTGCTACTATTTTGATCTGCCAGAGGGCATCACATGCTGCTCTTGTCATCTTCTATTTCTGCATCTGCATTTATTTCTGTTTGTACATGTAGCTGCCAGAAATAAAAGTGAACCTTGCTGTTGTGTTCATAATAAAAAGTAGATTCTCCTTTTTCCAGGTAATCCTTCCTCTGTTCCACTGACAGTCCACTTAATCTAAAGTAGCTAACTCAAGTAATTGAAGGTAATATTTGAATGGAAGCAGGAGAATAGCTTCTTCAGGCATCTACAGGCATTGTGCCAAGTCATGAGAAAACTGGAAGCCTGTTATCTTCACCAAGATTTTCCTCAAATGACCCAATTCAGATTTCTGTTTGACTTAAATGTATGCTAGTTTTGCTAGTGGGACATACTGGTAGAAAAGATTATGGGTTGAGAATGGGTACTTGCGTGTGAGTGGCTCTTCCCTAACTGAATTATGTAACTTGCAAAATCTGTTTTTCTTTCTCGTTTCTAAAACTGAAGAATTTAGTTTTTATGCACTTAGAATCTTTCCTGGTTCTCTTTAAAGCTCCTTTATTTTTCTTTCTTTCTTTTTCCCTGTCTTAATCTCCTCCCTCTCCTACTCCTTAAGGCTTTGGAATATCTTTTCAAGTTCATTGTCCAATCTCGGATCCTTTACTCCAGAGCTACTTGTGGAATGGAAGAAGAACAGTTCCGCTCCAGCATCCAGGAGCTTTTCCAGTCCATCAGATTTGTGCTCAGCCTGGACAGCAGGAGCTCTGAGACCCTCATCTTCACACAGGTTTGCTGTTTTCTGCACTTCAGCGGCAAATGAAAAGGCACAGGTAGTATATACAGATACATGACAGTTAAATGCAGGTTAGTAGGATTTTCCCCCTCTAACTAGCTGATGATACTGGAAAATAACATAGCCAGTTAATGTTATTAGACAAACACTGCAACTCTTCACAGACACAGGTGAGCTCAGCTGTGAACTTTCAAGAGGAAAGTGACTTGTCAATGGGAATATAATTTTTGCTCTTCACTAAACTGTATTTTCAAGTCTCATATGTCTTATGGTTGGCTTCAAGAAATTTTAAATCCTTTATTGTAGTAGCTCAAGTCAATACTTAGGGTTATAACAACATCACAGTCGAGAAGTTCAATTGATGTACTCACAGTCAGGTAATCTTCATTCCAGCGTACTCTAAAATTAGAGTCAGGATCACACGCAGCCTGACCACCAGCATACTGTGATACCCGCACTAACATTGAATACATTATATTGAATATGGCCCAGGTGACTTCACGAAGATTTCATGTGGGCTTAAGATACTGCTCGAAGTAAGGGAGCTGCTAAGTTATGTTTCCTATTTTAAAGACCACTGTACTAAATTACATATCTGTGTTTAAAAGTTTTAAATAGCAATGTCACATGTTATGCGTGTGCCTTAGCTCAGAGAATGGCAAAATGGACCACCTAGAAGAAAGCGAGTTGTAATCACTAATTTACTGTTTACAGATGTTCTGAACACCAGTGTAGTTTGCCAAAGAAGCAGTTGCCATGAACATTGCAACAAAACAGGGTGACTCCAGTGGTTAAGGAAGCTGCCAGCAGCGTGATCTTCTTAAGAAGCTGCTCTGAAAGACAGTGAGAACAGCTACCCTAATCTTCTATTTAATCACCCATTAGTGGGTATAATAAAATAAGCCAGGAACATGAGAAATCAGAATTTTGCTGGCAGACTGACAGCAGAAACAGCATCCTGTGAATTCAGGCTGGCCAGGGATCGTCTTTGTTTTTCAGTTGTGTTGCTCACAAATGCAATACTAGATTAGGGGATGGGGTTGTTTTCCCTTCTTGTCTCTTTTTTTTTCTCCTTTCTCTCACTATGGTATTTCTTACCTTGGACTTTTGTAATTTGTAAAGTCTGTCCTTGTTTAATCTTTGAAAAGTTTACTTTTTGTTTCCCCCTTGCCACTATGTTGCCCCTTGATCCCAATTGCCCCATAGGCCTCTCAGCCTGGAGGGCAGGCGAGCGGAGCTGGGACTTGTGCCCCACAAAAATGTGGTGGTACTTCAAGGCCGTCATTTAATTCTGTAAGTAATGATCCCCAGAACTGCACAAGTATTTCATCGTGGATGTTCCCAATTAATCCCTTTTCCCTACCCCAAACCCTCTTTTCCTGCATATAAAGTGGAATTTAATGTTTAAGTGGCTCATACATTAAAACTAGGTAATGTGGAATATCTCAGTAATGAATGGAACAGCTTGTGGCATCCACACACAAAGACAGTACTGAGGATATATACAAGAGTGTGTATGTCAGACTGTTCAGGAGGACCAAGGAGTTTATGTACTAGTTCTGGAAACCTGGACAACAGTTAAACATCTACAGAAACGCTCGAGGCCCTAGGAGACATAATTTTCTTCACACTTGTCCTCTTATCTGGAATATTGGAGAGATCTCAGTACAGCTCTTTAAAGCAAAGAGATTAAAACTGATCGTGTCCTTCCAGGCAGTGAAGTTGACGTGAGTAATGTTTCAGCTTATTTTTGGGTGTTGTACAAAAAAAAAAGGGCCCTTCAAGGTACTGATGAGACATTGTACCTCTTCCTCAAGACAGCTCCAAAGCTTCCTGAAATGATCCCCTGCATATCCTTAGATAGCTACTGATACCCTAAATCACCACAGAAATCCTTCTGCTTTATCTGAATAGTTTGAAATAAGTTTAGGAAAACTCCTGTAAGGATTTGTTGGGCCAATACTGCAGTTTTGCTTTTATTATCCCAAACAATTATCCCAAAGGTAAAGATGATGACTGGATTTGCAGATGTTACCAAGAGTACCATGAGCAGTATTTAAATGATTCGTATTTGTTGATTTTGTTGGTACATCGTTTGTATGTACGTAGTGACAAATAGGTGACAACACCCAGAAGGCTACCTGTGGGTTTGTGTAATCTGAATTGGTTGTAACAAAAGACATTAAGAGAGAACAAGTGTGAAGAACAAAGAGGTAAATTCATATTCAGGATAATTTAATGAGCTCTGCAGTGTTAGTTATAAAACTAACTTAGACTTTACTCAAAGACTATTAAATAGATATCACCGTCGTTGGAAGGAAAAGACACTTTGTGGAAAGACTTGACAAAGAAGGAAGCTGTGTATTACATGGGATTAGGAGAGGCGTGCCAGTGTTAGAGCCAGCATGGGAGAGGTACAGAAACGTAGGCAATGAGGAAACAAATCTGCAAGCAGAAGGAGAACTTGCAGAACGGAAGAAAATGCTGACAGGAGGTGAGACTCTGGAAGGGCAGAGCTAAACAGAGAGGTTTGGTGAATCTGAACTTGTGCTCGAAGTCAGTGGGGTTCATGTGGAGAGCTGCAGGCAAAGGGGGCGGCGACAGCTAGGAGGGAGTTGTGCAGGGGTGCTGTGGCTGGGGTGAGGAGGGGTAAAGGCACCTGACCCAAAACCAGGCTGTGCAGCAGCTAAATAAAGCAAGCAGCCAGGAATCTTAGTAGTTTCAATGAGGAAACAGGCATGGACCTTGTGTAGGATGGAGAGGAAGAAGGAGTTTTAAAACCAGAGGTGTGTGTCTGCTCTTGGGTATGACACCAAGTCTGTGGAACTTGAGGATAGGGTGATGCAGGGAATTTTCTGCTGTTATGAAGAAATTAATTGAAAAAGTGATTAATTGATATACAAGATGGAAAGGGTTGGGTTTGTGGTTGTGCTGTTGTTTCTGCACTTCAAGAAACAACACCTACAAGGATAGCTCCAGTTTCTAGGACATACCTGTTACTGCAAGAATCACGTGAACGCTCACTTGCATGATGGGATGCCTCTTTCACATGAAATCACACCCACCCCACTGCAGAAATGCTGTAATGCCACATGACAGTGCTGCTGTGGTTAAGGGTCTGTCGACATGGTCTTCAAAATACTTCTGAAGAGTTTCAGCTGTCTCAGGTGCTTGCTTGGTACAAAATTTGGTGTGGAACTCTCATCAGAAGCAAGCTTAGTATTTGTTGAAAAAAGTGAATAAGCAGAAAAGGGCTATTTTCTGTTATCCCAGATTTTTTCTGTTTTATAAGCTGTGTCCTAAAATACAGCCTTCTGAAGCTTTGCAGTAGGCATGTGTTGCACTTACCAGAAGACTTAGTATTTCAGCAGCGCTTGATTTTAAAATACTGTGTGTGGTTTGCTCACTGTGAACTTTAGGTGTTGCAAAACATTAACACCAGCCGTAGCACCCTGTTCAGTAGCTTTTTGCAGACCCTTAATTCAGTTTTGCTGTTGTTTCTGTTTCACTGTATTTAGGTGCAGTTACGGAAATCGCTATTTTCAATCTTCAATATTCAGTTTCTACCTTGACTTTTCCAGGCTGCTCTGCTGAACTCCTTCCCCGCTATCTTTGATGAGCTGTTGCAGATGTTCACTGTGCAGGAAGTAGCCGAGTTCGTGCGGGGCACTCTGGGCAGCATGCCCAGCACAGTGCACATTGGGCAGTCCATGGATGTGGTTAAGCTACAGTCTATTGCACGCACTGTTGACAGCCGCCTGTTCTCTTTCCCAGGTAGGACAGAGGTATCTGAGGTTAAGTCTTGCTGCTAAGAACACGTTATATTTACTCGTCACTTGTGTAGGAACACGTTACATTTACTCATTACTGTTGCAGACAAGTCATTACTGAATGCAAATGATCTTGATAATTATCTTGGTGGCATCATTGTTACACATATTCACCGTGGCTACTCTTTAAGTTTCCCTGGGGTAGAAAATGTTTATAAATCTATTATGGATAAATTGTATTTACTAAAGGTTAATAAAAATATGTCCGTTAACAAATCAATTCAGTTATTAACACTGCCAGATCTCTCTTGATACTTTCTGTTACCGTCTGTGGTTGCATGGATAGGAGGGTAACCTCCTTCCCAGCAAGCTTATTGTCCGAGAAACGGGAAGATAAATTTATGTGAGAAAGCCACCACATTCTCTTAAAGTATGTATAACCTCCATTATAACTTTACCATCTCTTTAACTCAACATACTAGTAATCCTTTAGGAATTAATTGAACAAAGAAGGATTGAAGATTGTGAATTATTTCATACATAAGGAAAGAAGCTACGAAGGTAATAGTGCAAGATAAAAAGCACCATTTGGCCTTATCTTCCCTGTAGTGAAGTTAGTTCACTCAAATTATTCTACTTGGTGGAAGGTGAGAATGGGAACAACACAGAATTCTGTTTAAACATCCATTGCAATCGTTTATAAACATTTAATTGTTTTTTTTTATTTGACAATCATCTCAATGGTCCAAAGGTGGCTTTGAAACAGGCAGTGAAAATTATCTAATGATAGTGTTGGGAACCTATTGATAACAATATTTGTCTTTGTGGGTGCCATTTCATGGGCAAAAACCTCCTCTTCTGTCTTTTCAAGAAAGCCAGGTGTAACTTTCCCCCAGGGTCCAGGGCCTAGTCATTGCCATTAACCTTCATTTCTCCTTCCCAATGCCACTGGCACAACTAACAGTGCTTTTAGCTGCTGCAGAGCACCGTGACATCTCACTACAGCATCAAAAGCCAGAAAGCAAGCTCCTGCTGTGCGAGGCAGCCCTGACTGTAAAGATGCCACATTTTCCACCCAACCTGATGGTAGACCCCTATCCTGTTCCTTCCCGTGGAGACATGACTCCTGGATCAGCAGTCTCTCCCATGTCCTGTCTGTCCCTGGGAAAATGAATCTAGTTTCCCAAGTTCCCCTTTGCGTTCCCACCCTACCATCTTTTCAGGTCTTGCAATTTAAAGGAACATACATTCTCTTTTTCTTGCCTCCCATATGGTGATGACCTGTTTTCCTTCTCTGTCTCCTACCAGCCTGATTACTGACATGTTGCCACTTTTCCCTCTTCTTTTCTTTTTTCCAGTTTTGGCTACTGCTTTCTGCAGCTGCTACCTGCTCTCCCTTCTTTAATAAGATTAAGGTTTGTAAGCCAGCTAAAAGAGAAGAATTAGCCAGCTTCCAAGAGGTATACGTTGAAGAAGCTCTGTTAGCTGTTGGCAATAGAACTGGAAAGCAACACAAAGTGAGGATGGGTTTGCACTAAGTAAATCAAGATTAGAAAGTCTCGGTTCACAACTGTTGTTCCAGACTGAATCACTGTTGAGAACATCATGTACACTGCACTTACAGACTTTAGAAGCTAGGTGCACTGCTCGTTCATTAGATACAGTTCTTAGAGAAGTGTAGTGCAGTCTGTACAACAGAGGTTGCACCAGTTAATCAGACATAGGTTAGTTTGGATACCAAAGGCTGCTCATTGGGATGGTTGAAATTGAATTTTCTTCTGGAAGAACCTGCAATCTGATTTTCCTTCTTTCAGAGTCCCGGCGCATCCTGCTACCTGTAGTTCTTCACCACATTCACCTTCACCTACGACAGCAGAAGGAGTTACTTATCTGCTCTGGGATCCTCAGTAGTATCTTCTCCATAATCAAGACCAGCTCTTTGGTAATCTGCGGCTTGATTATTTATTTTTTTTTAATTGCACCACTTTTTTATAAAATAAAGAGTGAGGGATTTTTGTAGGATTTATACAGGTGGGGTTTTTTAATGAAATTGTGCTAACTTCTGTCAGCAGGAGAAGTGAGGGTCTGCTTTTGTGTGTGTGACTCAGAGCATTCTGATTACACAGTGTTCTTGCTGTTAGGATGGGAAAAAAGCGTATGCATTTACCGGGTTTGACACTGTTTAATTTTCTTCACCCAAGCCCAGAACTTAGATGTCAGTGGAGTTTAAAAGCTTTACACAGCTCTAGGTCTTGTAGTTCTGCAAGAGACAGTAACTAGCACTTTGTGATTCATGTTAAGAGAATACTCTAAAATTATCCAATCAATGAAATCACACTTACTTCTGGAAATTGCTGCTGAGTTTAAACACCCGGCGTTGATGATCACAATAAGCTGATCTCAAATGGTAACTTGATCGTTTAAAGCAGTGCTCACACAGAGAGTGGGGAAGCTTCCCCACCTGACTCTAAAGGAGGAAGCTCATGATGCTAAACATAATTCATACCAATGTGTACTTCCAATTGCAAGTTACGGTTTTGTGTGAAAGGAATGAGATGAAAGGTATCATGGTCATAAGCTAAAATAACAACTGCCATGGCATGAAGGTTCCTGAACATAACTTGATCCCGTTGTGTTCTAGAGTGTATGCAGACCTTTGATTATAGATTTACCTTTATGGCTGTGACCCTGAATGTTTCCATCAGAGACTGACGAGGTAACACACACACTGGCATCACAACAGTGTCTGGTACCAATGTGGAATTTGATTGTACTTCTTTGAATCTCTGTTGCGAAGCACTCGATCAAAACAAGTTTGTGGTATGGATGGCTCTGCTGCAGAACTGTCTTTGTTAATTCCATTCTCTCCAGTTTCTAACTGTCGTGTTTGCTCACCACTTACCGTAGGAGGGAGATGTCGTGGAGGAGGTTGAGATGATGGTGGAGAGCCTCCTGGATGTGCTTTTACAAACTCTGCTTACAATCATGAGTAAATCGCAGTCTCAGGAGGCGGTAAGAGGGCAGCGTTGCCCGCAGTGCACAGCAGAAATCACTGTTAGTAACTAACAATCAGTTTCTATTTCCTGCTTCTCTAACCTTTGGTTCAGCCCCTCACCATCACTGGCACCTCATTATCATCTCTGCTGCATGAATGCCTGGGGCTTTGTCTCCTTCCCTTAATAAGCCACATATCCATTCCTTCATCTGCACAGCAGTGAGGTCTGCAGGAAGCAGTGGAGATCAGGAAGGTTTTGTGGATTTCCCAGGTTATTTTCTTACTTGACTTTGCAGCTGTAATTGAGAGAATCTGAGGCATATGGTAGCTGGGTAGCTGCCTAGGTCTTTACCCCCACATAGGTGTCACCAAGGGCTATATGAGTATCAGTCTCTGATTCCTGATGTTCAGTGAGATGGGTCTCTGTTCTTAACACCCTGGAGAGCTTCTGTCCAGACTCACTGGTTATTTCATGCAAATGAAACAGAACATAAAATTAACAGATCCTAAATCAAGTGAGCTGTTGAGCTTGGTGGGAGAAGGGGGAAAAGCCACCATTTTGTCCAGACTGTCAGCATAAGCCACAGGGAAGAAATTTTTCATTGACATGCAATGGAAGAGGAGGAAAAGAATTCTGCTGTTCAGCTCTCTTCTTTTCTGGATTTGTTGGCCTTTTCTATTCTAGCTTACTGTAGGGGTTTTTTGCATGTCAGAGTTTCTGATGCAGCTTTTGCCCAGTGTTAAGCTGTTGTTCAGAACATCCCTTTTTTTTAGACTTGCTTTTCTATCAGGCTGAAACCTCAGAGGTGTTGCTGGGGGCAGAGGTGCACTAAGGTACACCTCTCACAAAAAGACAAGGTTGTATCTTTCCATGTTAACTCAGATAAAGTAACAAATGGTAGAATCCTAATAAAGAACAAGGCATTTAGTAGTTTTCAGACATGTTCTTTGATACAAAACAAGAAAGGTGCTACCTTGCCGATGTCCAGGAACATCTGTTTCCTTTTACTGCCACCATTTGACTTACTGTTATTTATCACATGCCACCTCACACATAAGAGCACACCTTCTTTTCCTAACAAAGTTCATCCCTGTAAAGTTTATTGGAGCAGCCTACATCAAAGCTTCCGGGTAGATGCTTGAGCCAAGTAGAAAATAAGATCAAAATGGGATGGAAGGTCCCAAGTACAAAATCCCCTTGTATTTGTTCCTGAATTTATATTTCCCAGCACAGTGATACATGGAATCTCACTAGATACTGCTTAGAAAGTAGTGTGCGTATTTTCCAAATGGAGTGCTCATTGTTGCAGAAAAAATCAGTGTTGTACAAGCAGCTGGCAATCAAAAGACATAGTCCTGACGTTCTTGGCACTGCCTTGCTTGTTACCTTGGACAGATTGCTTAACTTCTCTGTGCTTTGCTTTCAGATATATAAAATGGGGGAGCTCATCTTTGGAAAACACTTTGGGATACTGTGGTAACTGGTTAGGGTGCATCTGTTTTGCAGGCCAGAAATGTAATTGTAGCTCATTTAGGCTTACCCAAGCTATATTCAGAACATCTCGCTGGCATGCTGCTAGTCCTGTAGCTACGACAGCACATAACTTGGTGCACAATAATAAGCCAAGTATTTACAAGATTCCAGACACATTTTGTAGCCCATACTGATGCCATGCTGTCATCGTGGTATCAGTACCTAACCAATCAGTTTAACTAATTCCTGGTATGTCTGCGTGAGCTGCAGTCACACCTTTGATAGGCATAATGTATTAAGAAACTGAAAGAGGTGATTGACAAAACCTGCATGCTTGGAGGGCAATTCATTAATGTCTGTATTAATAATTTTAAATTGGTTTTGGTTAGACTACAACATTGCTTAGAAGACCTTTAAAACTGGCATCTATGGAGGAGCCTCTAAGAGGTGTATTCCTATGTATAACAGTAATTCAAGAACTGTTAACACGCAGTATTTTTTAATCTCTGTGCATGTCAGCTTTCCTCTCATAGGCATCGGGGCCATTTCAGACCCCTCCCTTTGTACCCTTCCCCAGGTTGAATTTTATCTTGAGGAAATTCCAGGTTGTCTGAATGAAACGGTTTCTCATTTTGGTCAACAGGGAGAGTATGTCTCCTGCCTTTTATCTTTGCTTCGTCAGATGTCAGACACTCATTTCCAGCACTTACTGGACAACTTCCAAAGCAAGGATGAACTAAAGGTACAACAGAACGTCATGTTTGTAGGGTGATTCACTCAGAATAGGGAGAGCCAAGGGGAATCCGTGCATCATTACTTGCTCTGCTGATCATTCCCATTCACTGGCACTCTATTCATGGACCTTCCTTTCACTTTTATAATAATAGGTATTGTAGTACAAAAACATTTAAGACCAGGGGGCACTGAATTATCTTCAAGTCCCAAGATAGATGTTATTTGACACAAAAGGATAATTTTATTGTACCACACAACATAGTCAAAGGAACAGGGGTTCTTAATCCTGTGAATGTAAGGTCAGTAGTTCTGCAGCATGTTACTAGATGTTCAGTATGCACTGGAGCTTACTAAGGGTGTTGATTTTATGCCAAAAGAGAATTTCAAGCCTTTTGGGAGATACAAATGTCTCTAGCAGATGAACTCTTTCTTGGCAAAGCAGTAGCTGTACTACTCCACCTGCTGCATGCTTCCCAAGTTTGTGAGCATTAACTTGAATCATGGCCTTTCAGGAGCAGGAGGAGTTAGTGAGGGGTACAGACCTCTGGTGGCCTTTCTGCCACTGGCACTCTGAAATAGCACATCTCCCAGCAGCAGAAAATAACTCAGCTTGCACAGGAAAGAGGAGAATCACCAACATGATGAGTGTTTAAAGGCAGGATAATCTAATAAAGATAAGATTTTATATAAAATGGTTTTGATTAGCATGGCAATAAAATATGGACAGTAAGAAAAAAACCCTGATGTAGCAGGCAGTTATGTTAACACATGAAAAGGGGAAGCAGCGAGAAGTCCTCTCTGAATAGGCTTTCAGCTTCTAAACACTGCATGTGCATAGAGAGGCTGAATAAATCAGGGAGATAAATTTGGGATGATGTTTTTTTTTACCTTTAGGTTGCAGGGTTCGGGGTATCTCAGGTTGATCGTTACCTGAGATTACTACCTTTCAGGCAACTTTCTAATTGCTCATAGGAAAATGATTTGCTAAGTTAATTCACATTAATTTTAATACTTTTTTTAAAAAGCTAAATTATAGTTCTTATGTCAGACCAGTGAAAAGGTTTGTCATTGAACTGAAACTGGTCGTTACACGTGAAGACCAAACACTGTTGTACCTCTGATAATCTCAAGGATATGTTCCAGGAGTATCACAGAGCCTGAAGAGTTTATAACCAACTTTATATATATATATGTGTATATATATATATATATATATATATATATATCTCAATTTTTCCCTTTCACATATTGATGTAACATTTCCAACACTTTTTTCTTGCTTGGAAGGGCATCGTGCTCACCTACTACTGTTAGCGAAAATGAGGCCAGGAGTCAGGGAGCTTCTGGTGCTTTACTCTTATCTCAGTTGCACCAAGATATTAACCTACCCCCACCCCAACACAGGAGCAATGGTTGGACAGTTCTGAAGAAGCCTTGCCCTGCCACTTCTGTGCTGTCTTGATTTTCTGTAGAAGAAAAACTAATAAAATCATAGCCTGCAAGGCCAGCAGCTGTGTGTGTCTCATCCTCACTGTTGTTGTTTGTAGACATAGGGATGTAGGTCACCAAAACCCAGGAATGTCTTCAGGTTTGGGGATTTTTTTGGAAAGCAAATAGCTGAATGTGTTTAAGGGATCCTTTCTGCTGCATTATCACCAGAAATGGGGGGTTCTGTTACTCTTTTAGAAAGTGTATGAGAAGTTGTATTGGGCTTGGGTGTGTGTTCTTTGTCAAATTTGTAACAGAAGTGCAAAGACATTTGGAAAGATACATTAATGAAATGAATGCATAAAAAGATGATTATGATTCCAGTATGTTTGAGAATAGCTGCAAATTGACACTGGAACTATGGGAAGACAAACACAATTACACGCATAAAGTTTTCCGTCCCAGTGTAGATGTTAAGATGCAACTTTAGTACATCTTAGGTGCATAGGAAACGAGTAGATTCATATCCCCATGTATGTTGTATCCATGGTTTCAGGTGAATGGCCTAGTAACACAAAGCTCCAGGGGAGCACACAGCTTAATTGTCTGTCTTATAATCAAGAAAACAGCTTAATCTGAGCTGCTGGTGGTTTTATTAATTTTGTTTGCCTACGTGACAGGAGTTCCTCCTGAAGATTTTCTGTGTATTTCGGAACCTGATGAAAATGAGTGTCTTTCCTCGAGACTGGATGGTGATGCGGTTGCTCACCAGCAAGTAAGTAGAGAAGCATGTACAAACTGTTGATGTTCTGTGCTGGAATTTTTTCTGCTTAGCTGGGCAGAGGAGACCTGTGATGCAGTGTGTCTCATCAGACTGAGATGTGGTGATCGGGACAGGAACTCTGTTTATCCTCATTTGCAGTTAGTTTAACACTCAGGACCAAACTGGGACTTCTGTACTCATTCTGTTTCTTAAACTCTCCCAATACGCACAGGTATCAAGAGTTAAAAGTTTAAACCCAAAGCTGAAGTAGCTGCATTAAGGGTAAGAGTGACACAGCAACTATAATAATGCATGGCAAGGAACAGCTGCCCGCACGGAGTGGTAGCAACGGGCACGCCTCTCAAGTCCCTTTCCCAGTAAACTAACATCTGGCTCTTCCCATGAACACCACTCCTTAACCTACCTAGCAGGAGGACTTTTGAAGAGGAGGAGCAGACCCTAGTGATGACACCAAGTGTGTTACAAGTAGCTCAAACTTTAGGAAATGCTCCTCTCTGGGGAAACAAACACAAAAAATCTTCATGTTTAAAACAGGAGGAAGATGAGTGTATGCTTTCATTTCAGCAGAGGTGACACGGCCCAGCCATGCAAAATAGACAGGATTTTAAATGCTCCCATGTAAAGTCTCAGTCTCTGTTACTTAATGCAAATTGTTCATTAAACCAGAGAAAGACACACAACTTCTATGTGAACTTAGCAGTGATTCTGTGGAAAATGCCTCTGTACATAAACATCACCCTAATATGTTATACACCAGACTGAAATGTTGTTTTTCTGTTTTCTTTCTTTGTCTCTGACTGCAGTATCATAGTTACAACAGTTCAGTACCTGTCATCTGCACTGCATAAGAATTTCACCGAAACGGACTTTGATTTTAAAGTAAGAATTAATACTCAACAAATGTTATGACATCTTGTCAAACTAGCAGTAACAACTCCACAAGAGCTGTTCTCTACATTAGCTGATTATACTTGCAACATTTATGTGAGTATCTGTGAGGAAGATGACCTAATGATAAAAGACTTGGACTTGAATCTGCTGTGGAATTAAGCGGTAGCAAAACAGGTACAAAGTGAGATCAAATCAGGAAGATTGAGCCCCCTCATAAAGGGAGCAAGTATCTTCATAAACAGTGGAACTAACAAAGTGTGGTGTGTTAGAGATTCATGGCTATTGAAATGTAAACTCAGTCAGTGCTTTCCCTGAAGCTGGGGCATCTGTGATCTTCTCCTCCCAGAGGTGTCTCTTTCTGGCTCTTGGCTTTAAACTTGGAGGAACACAGTATCTTGGAGAGTGTTTTCCCTATATGTGATGTAGTTGAAAATGGGCAACAAGTTCAGTGTTACTAAGGAAAAGCTAACAGACATGTACCTAGGCACATGTACAGCACAGCATGGTGGCAAAAGCCTCGTTTGGGGAAAAAAAAACAAATTACAGAGCTCTCATTCCTGATCTAATATACTCTCTGGGGATTTTTGACGGATCAAAACTGTTTAACCTACAGAAAAAAAGGATTTAAAACTTTGCTGAAGTCACCAAGTTTACTCATTTCTGAACTCTGGTGCAAAGAGGAAAACCCAATGGCATTACCTTCTTGGGTTTTTTAATTGTAGTTCCTACCAGGTTTTAACTAATCCCCTGGTATCCTTTAGAGTTTAGTATCTCAATAGTTAATGCATACTGACTAAGTTATGTCTTAATTACAAAAAGAAGCAGTCTGATTCTGCATATAAAGGAATGTGTGTCTGTCTTGCTACACTTGTTTAGAACTTAATCCTTGGAGTCTCATGTTGCAAAACTTCCTTCCTGTGTCACAGGTGTGGAACTCTTACTTCAGCCTGGCAGTGCTCTTTATAAACCAGCCAAGTCTCCAACTAGAAAGTGCCACACCAGCTAAGCGGAAGAAGATCCTGGATAAGTAAGAACATGTTTTGCTGGGTTCCCAGCCTCTTCTGCCACTTCAAAAAGGAGATTTCTTTTTCCACCACAAGTCCCTGTGATTTATTATGGAACTTGGGATGTGGAAATGCATGGGAAATAAGTACATCTCCTAATACTGTGTTCAGTGATGAGTCAAGTTGTTTGATATTCTTAGGTTGACTTAAATGTGAATTTGATTACATTTTTTTAACATCACTGCCTTGCCAGTTCTTGTTCAGTTAGGCAGTTGTCCATCTCCTCTCTTTCAGATACGGCGATATGAGAGTGATGATGGCATATGAGCTCTTCAGCATGTGGCAGAACCTGGGTATGTCTCTTCTCTGTCCTAACAACCAAAGCCTGCTTTCCTGTTGGAATGTTCATTTTTTTGGCTGTAAAGCAGAAATGTAATTTGCCACAGCTAAAAGCAACTTTAAAAGTCTGCAGGTGATTCAAAAGCCGAAGCTGTCCTGATTCAGAATTGCAGAATCAGGACAAGGTTGGAAAAGACCCTTAAGATCATCGAGTCCAACTGTAAACCTAATGCTGCCAAGTCCACCACTAAATCATAGCTGCGTGTTGGATAATAAAGCCCAGAAGTGGCATACACTGAAGCTTTTTTTTTGGTGTCTTCAGGTATCTGGTACATACAGCAAATTCTGCAGTACTACTTTAAGAACACCAAACAGAAAATCCAAACCAAAAGCCCTGTCCACAGTAACACAACGTTTGTGTTTTAAAATTTCACCTTCCTTTTCCTATATATTTTGATGAAGAATGAGGGAAATATATCTTGTCACAGGTCTGAAAAGGTAAATGGAGATTTTTTTCATCTAGGACTTGCACTTTCAGAAGTGTGCTGCAGCAGTCTCGGGTTTAGGTAATTTAGGTAATCAGGATTTTATTAATAGGAGAGCCACGTAACATCTGTATGGCATCGGAGCAAGTCCAGCTTGGCCAGTGTCCTGCCTCCCTCAGTGACCAAAAATGATACCTGTGGAAATGTTCTGAGGACAATCCAAGCATGTAGTTATTCTAGATGGAAATAAAAAATGCTTGCTGATAGGGATCACAAACAATAGAAGGTTCTGAGAGCAGGGAAATCATTAAGAGGGTAAAAGAATGATACAAATGAGATTGGATAACTTGATAATGTGGCTGCAAGCAATATATTAAAAAAGCCAAATACGAACATTTTACTTACAGGAATATAGGTAGGAGTGCTGTTCGAGAAACAGGGACTATAAATGCATCCTGCTGATAATGAGTGAATGGGAGCTACCTGTAAAATGCCATGAGTAAAAAAGACACCATAATCTTGGAGAAGATGTGTAAGACTCCTTTGTCAGAGAAGAGGGCTGATACTACTGCCCCATTTTTTGCTTAAGTGCACCTGATTCTAGAGTAGTTTGTCTGGTTCTGCTTTCCTGCTCAAAAAAAAACCCAAAACCAAACAAGCAAAGTCAAGTTGGACAGAGCTCAGAGAGCAGTCAGGAAGATGATTATGGAAGCAAGAAAACGCCTTATTATAAAATACAGAATAAGCCTGCCTCGTCTGGCACAGCTGAGATGATACAGCCAGACTTGATCACAGTTTCTAAGCATCTGTGTGGAGACTAGAAGGCTCTCCAATAAAACAGAGTTCGAATAACCAGAAGACAATGCTAGACAAACTCATGAGAAGCAAGAAGCCCATTTTAGATCTTTCAATACAGATATTTATCACTGAATGCTGTTCCAGACATGACTATTCTGATTTATTCTCTGTGACTGCACAGTAAGCATGCCACAGAAGAGATTCTTGGCAAAATGCCTTGAGTTTCTGTTGCTGAAAAGCAAAAGCAATTTGGTCCTAAGTCAAGGTCAGTTATGAAATTGAGACTTCCGCAGCACTGAGGATGAAGAGCTCTGTAGTTCTCTGAAATCTAAATATGCTCTATTAAATACCATTGTTCCCAATAGCCCTTTCAGAATCATTTTCTTCAGAAGTTAGAGGTATCTGTAGGCTCTTTTCCCCATTTTAGTGGTTAATTTTGACATTTCAATTCCTTTGCAAGTAAAATGCACTGACAGTCTTTGCTGAAGGCTTTCACAGTGAAATTCAGAATGCTCACAGAGCCTTTGCAAGGAATGGTATAAAGCAGATACTGTTTCCCAGTCCTTTCAGGAAAAGAATGTGTTTGCTTTCCTAATGCTCATGCCGAGACTTTGTATTGCAGGGGTTCCCTATTTTCTCAGTGACAGAGGCTTTTCTTTAATTACAATTGCTTTGTGTTGTACAGGTGAACATAAGATTCACTTTATTCCGGGAATGATTGGCCCCTTTCTTGGTGTTACACTTGTTCCACAACCAGAAGTCCGGAATATCATGATCCCCATCTTCCATGACATGATGGACTGGGAGCAGAGAAAGAATGGCAACTTCAAACAGGTGAAGTGGCTTCCCAAGTATTTGCAGTATTCTTTTCCTTGTTACTGTGTTTGGGGAAATACTGGGGGCAAGTGTCTGGATAAATGCTCTGAAGTAGTAAATTCTTTTCTTTAAATTGTCATTGATTCATGTGGTTATTTATCATCCACACACTCATTAAAATGGCAGATCTAAACTATCATGAGAGAATAACAGACCTTTTCCATAACCTGACCTTTTAAAGGCTGTGTGGAAAAGCATTACCAGGACCTTATGTTTTTCTTTCTCTTCAACTCCCCTAATTACTACTATTGTTATTATTTACTACTGTTCTTATTACAGTAGCATTTGATCATGGTGCTCTTTCTGGTTTAGCTTAAGAATAGAACAGTCCCTGCTGTGGCATGTACAGTTATAAGTACTGATACTGACAGTCAAGTTTCAGGACCTGTTTGCATTTTATGTATTAAGATAAACTCTTCACAATCTTCATTTAATTCTTATTCTCAGTAATGTATTCTAAACTAGAGCTCCAAGATATTTCTTAAATTACCTGTGGAGCAGTTTTCCACAGTGTTTTACGAAGCATATATGAGAACTTTTTAAGATTAAAGACAGAATAATCATGTATCTTAGTGAGAATGAAATAGTTAAATAGCACAAGATGTATTAAACCTTAATAACATCAGCTGCTGGAACCAGGAAATTACTTGTTGTCCAGTGCAGTGCCAGAGAGCTGACAGATAGATGCATTATGGATTTCTGTCAAGTCATTGTAGATCACAAGCAAGGAGAGGGTAATTTTTTTAATGTTGAGCTTCTCTTTACTTCTGGAATACTGAACTGGTTCTCGGCAAACACTAAAATCCTGGAAGTTCCTTTTCGAGCCCTTTTTTTATTCTCTCACATTTTAAGGTTATTTTTTCAGCAATACAGAAGAATGGTGCAGTCTGATTCACGGGCTAAATCAGGTCACCCTTTAATGATTTCCAGCAACAAGAGCACCAGCCCCATTTGTGTGCCACTGGGTGATTTGCTTTTCCTTCTCATCTTTACTTTCTTTGCAATTTGGCAGCTGAAAAACAGAGAAACTCAAATTATACTTGTCTGCAAATAAAAACAAGCTGTATTTCTACAAATGTTCTCAACCTTTAGGAACCTCTGTCTTCAATAGGACTGAAACTGTGTTTTCTACAAGATTTTCCCAGACTACATGAAATGGTTCTGTTTAATGTTGGGCACGTTGATTTTTGCACTTGAATCAATTTAATGGCAATGTCTGATATCAGACTTGATAATAGGTGGTATTAGACTAGGGGGGAAATGAATACATGTTCAAAACCTTTTTAAGGAAATAGAAACATAATGATACTGTTGTGTGAAAAGAAAATGCATCATATAATCATAGAGAGGCTCAACAAATCTGGATTTAATGAACACCTAATCTTCCAGTGTAATGATGTCTGGATGACTGGAAATCACTTACCTAGCAGCAGAACCATCACAACAGACCAGGGGCAAGCACGCCATGCACTGGCTTCTCTGCATGGGCATTCTGTGACAATACAGGATGTAGTTTATCTGATACACTCGTTCACAGAAGTGTGTCTGAGTGATTTATTTGGTAAGAGATAAACTTCAGAAGGTCTTTGAGGAAGAAGTGTTTCCTCCCAAAAATGTTTATTTAGACCCTGATAAGTGAAAGGATAATTTAGTATTAGTCCTGTTCCACTGAAAAATAAGAAGACTGTTCCCATTTAACTGAGCCAAGGAGAAATAAATCACTTGCACATAGAAGTGGGCAGCCCCAAGGCTGAGAAATAAAATATTCTTCCATTCTTCCTACTGTTTGGAGCTCATCTTTTTACATGAGCAGCTAATCTGTGACCAATTGCTTCTTCCTCCAGGTGGAAGCCGAGCTGATTGATAAGCTGGACAGCCTGGTGTCCGAAGGAAAAGGTGATGAGAACTACAGGGAACTCTTCAGCCTGCTGTAAGCTATGCCAGTGTCCGCTCACTCTGTGTGGGGCAGGGTCATTGAAAGAGTCAAAGGCAGCAACTTGTACAGTCAGAGCTCCAGGGCTGATCCTCACAGAAAGGAGTAATGGGCTTTCTGGCAGGTTTTCATGACATGGCTTAGTGAAATAGAAATACATCACTGATTCTGAATGGAATATAAACTCTAAATTCTCTCTTCTTTCTGTGACATCTGATATGCTGCACAGGTAAGTAGTTACCATCCTCCTGTCAAAACTTGCCAGAGAAACCAGTGCCTTTCTTTTTACATAGCAGTAAGTGAAACTGTGGCCTGACGATTGTTCAGAAGAAGCCTGTACTGTCAAGTAAGTCAGGCCTTGTTAGAGCACAAGAGGTTTTCCTCAGCATTGTCCTTTGCTTCTTCCAGTTTTTGAAGATCGTGCTCTGGTTGGCTCAGCAGTTGCAAGGTGCTTCCTCCACGGTCTGTAATGACAGTGTGGGTCCACTCCCTTTCACACACTTAGAGGATAAACTTACAGACTTGACATGTGACCCTCCCCTTGGTTGGTGACTGACCTGTCTCCAAATTTCACTTCCAGTGATCCTGGTTGATTTCAAAAGAACTTATTTTGAAATGAACACGGAGTCCAGAGCCATTAACCCTGAATCTTTTAGTGCTCCAGTGAGCCACAGAGCAGAATTTTAGCCATGTATCCCAGCCAATTTTATGTGGCCCTCAATAGCATGGCAGAAGTTTGAGGCTCAGCCTTTGTTTTGCTGGAGCCAATACCTGTATTTCTGCATTTACAATGGCACATACATTCAGTTTCAAGATAGATCAGCCTGCCCTGCCTGTGTGCTTACTTATCCTTAGGAAGCTCGTGAATGTATTCACTTTTGATTTGTGTATATTCAGCCTTGGGAAGTCCTCAGGCTATTTCAGGGATAAAGGAAAGAAAATATCTATCCATTCTTATTTTTTTTATTTCATTTACCTGGCAAGGGGAATATTGTGCATTTCTTTTGCTCCAGTTGAAGACATTTGTCACCTGAAATGTTAAGAATTCACGGACTGTAGCTTGTTAAATGATAGCAACTGGATGTAATACCAAGAAACAGCCTGGAAGTGCAGCAACCTTTTAGTTTATATTTGCTACTGACTTCTGAGAACAATGAGGAAACAGTTCCACAAAGTTAATAAATGCTGTGTGATAATGAACAGCTGACCCTGAATTTCTGCTGTCTCAGCTATGCTGCTGAAATGTGAATTGGCTCCCTCAGCTGGAAATCATTCCAGTACAGAAGAGTTTGCCTCTTCTGAGGACAGCTGTGGAACCCAACAGAATTTGTTTCTTCTTGCCAGTACGGAAGTGGCAAGTTCTGTACCAGAGATGGAGGTTCAGAGATGGAGTTTACTTCGCATGTAAATTTACTTCCTTTTTTCAGGTTTAAAACCTGATTTTCAGTGTTCTCACTCTAGCCTTCTCGCATCCTTCACAGCTGTCTCAGGGAGATGCTCACTGTGGTGTCTGGTTTGCTGAGCAGGAACAAATTGCCTTTATTTACAGTTTAAATAAATTGTGATTTAAGGTATGTTGGTGGCTAATTAGACAAAACTTCATGTAGGGATGAGCAATGAAGAGGTATTTGCAGGAGGATTAGACTCCTTTCCAACTCCTGACTGCTGTTTGCAGTTTCTAGGCTACAGGTAATAATGTGGGCATCAAATCTTGCCATGAGCTCTGCTCTTTCTCATAGATTTTATATGACAATGTGAAGATACTTTTCCCCTCTCCTGTCAGTCCTGTAATTCCCTTGTCTTTGCTTCATGCTGCCTGGAGTAGAACCCAGCTCTTTGGGCCTTATCCCAGGTAAGAGAGTAATTCTATGAATTTGTTTGATGAGGGAGAATCCAAGTTTTCTGTGGCTGAATGCATGCACTGTACCACTTCCTTGCAAGTTTCATCTGCTGCGTTTCCATCTCCAAACAGTTTGCTGGAGAAGATTGAGCAAGAAACATGGCGGGAGACTGGAATCTCTTTTGTTACATCAGTTACTCGTCTCATGGAGCGTCTGCTTGACTACAGGTACCTGGTTATATCTTCCAAGTGTAAGAAGTGTGTAAAGAGGTAGTACCAAATTTCTTTGCTACAGGGAGTATTTTTATTGTTTATCAAGCCACATGCTTTTCCGATGGCAAGTACTATGTAAGCAGGTCTAACCCACTGCTGTTGTACTGAGGTTTAGTCAGGTTGCTAAATAATTAATTCCTCCTATTACTGCAGTGTACTCGCCTAATTCAGCCAAATGGATCCTAAATGCAAGAACGAGCTGAAATGCCTTTGCTGGACCAAGATGTGCTGAATGCCTCATGCAGGGCTAGAAAACTTTCCATCTGAGGAGAGTGACGTGTCAGCTGGTGACTCATGTGTACAAGACTCCACTCTAAATTAGGTGTCCTTTGTTAAGTTTTAGACTGAAGCTTGCAGGACTATTGTGTCAATACAGCTGAGCTTTCATTCAGTTACAGGAGTATTTTAGTTTCATATATATACAGACAGACATTCAGAGATGTCTTTATGGAATGACAGACAATTTGAAACTAAATGGAACTGCCCCAAATATTTCTATCTTTAGCCTCCTGACAGGAGTGCAAATTATTTCTGCTCCTTCTGCTGCTCATTATAGGTGAACACCTGTGACTAGGCTGGGTATTCTGCAATCCCAGATCATTTTCTGTGCTTTCTGGTTTGCTGCTCTTGTTATCCTTACCAGTTTGATCGGATCTCCTGCTTGTTTCCCCACAACAGCTCCCACAGTTGCTATGCCAAGACCAGGTATTGCGAGACCTTTAAAGGGAATGCAGGGGAGTTTTTTCTTCTTTAATGACATCTGCTGTCAACACAACTTTGCTACACAGATACACCTTTTCATGCTTAATTGAGGAACACATACCAGGGTTTGATTTTTTTAATACACATCAAACCTTTTCAATCCCAGAACAGGATCTTGGAATCACACCGGCATCTCTTGGAGTCCAGCTGCCAGTTAGTCAACGCTGTAGTTCTCAAGGCCATTTGCTGTGTCACTGCTTTAAACATCTTGTCTCTTTTTCACAGTTGAATTTGACTTGATCTCAAGTCACAATTAGTAATTTCTGAAGCCTTTAACTTTTCATACTGCTTGAACAGGAATGATTTCTAAATTATTCCAGAAACTAAAGATAAATTTTGTGATTTACCTATGAAAAGTGAGCAGTCTAGTCAAAATTACCGAGGTTGGATCTTTCAGCGTGCCAGCAGTACACTGGATAGGTGAATTCATGAAGCTAATGCTTTGACTAGGAAACCACTAAATATTTACATCTGCATAAATAATATTCTTTCACTTTTATAGTAGATTTTGCATTCAGATGATTTTTGGCCACTATTACGTGATTTTTGTTCAGATTGTTGTGAGAAATGAAGTAGCAGTCATTACAGGTGCTTGTTCTCTGAAGCAGACATGTAAGAGGACACTCAGTTCCTGTATCATTTAAGCCATAATACGGAGTTTTTTCTTAGAGGAACTTCATAAAATAAAGTGTATGATGAACTGTTGCTTGTGATCTAAGGAAACTCTGGAGGATAAGACAGCTTCAGATTTATTTTCAAAGGACTTTTTTCGCAGATGTATGTTTCAACACTGTCTGCTTTCCTAGGGACTGTATGAAAGGAGATGAAACAGAAAACAAGAAAATTGGCTGCACCGTTAACCTTATGGTAAAGATGTTTCCTTTCTCTCTTTGTACTCCTGTGCAACGCTATCAAAACTGGGCTGGGAAAGGCTGGGATAGGAATCTGGTTCAGGCAAGTGTAGTAGCTTCAGAATCCAAGCACTGGGATGACAGAACAGAACAACAGGGATTGTGCTTGAATTGGAGCCAAATGGGTCAGGTTCCTCGGGGCCTTGTCCAGCTGAGTTCTAAGTATCCCTGTGACAGGTTCCACAACTTCTGTTGCCTTTTCTTTCATCTTTTGACTAGCTTTGCTTAAAAAAAAATCATGACAAGATAAAAATTAGTGGGTTCAGTCAATGTGAATGTGAAAAGAATTATTACTTCTCTTTCACACGAATAACACGTTCTCTTTTCAGTAACTTTATGCACACACAGGGGCTCAATAACAGCTCTCTTTTCTTTCACAGAATTTCTACAAATCCGAAATTAACAAGGAAGAGATGTACATCCGCTACATCCACAAGCTGTGTGACATGCACTTACAGGCTGAGAACTACACAGGTTAGTAACACATCGCACTGCGGTCTGCTTGAAATCCTGTGGAAGGTTTTGAGTTGCCCAGCGTTACGCTCTAACATCGGATTCATTCTTCGGGAAAGAATTGTATGAATCAGTTCTGGCAGTTGGGAAGGAAAGAATCACAGGATCACAGAATCATTTGGGTTGGAAATGACCTCTGGAGATCTTCAAGTCCAACCCCTGCCAAGGCAGCGCCACCCAGAGCACATTACACAGGAACGTCTCCAGAGACGGAGAGTCTGCAGCCCCCCCGGGCAGCCTGTTCCAGTGCTCTGCCACCCTCAAGAACCTGAGGTCCAGCTCATTCCCTCAAGCCAAATAATGTATGTCTGTGCCCACACAACCATGTAACTATCTGGTTACATTCTGAATTTTGCATTACAGTGTTCTAAGGGAAAAAAGGATCCAAAAAATCACAAGAGTGGATCAGATTTAGAGGAAGTTTAAAATCACAAAACCAGCATTATATTATCATTTGTCGTATTTCCCTGCACTGTAGTATTTAGAGAGCACTTAGAAAGTGTAAAGACTCCAATTTTGTCTTGTCTAAGTTCTAGTTACATACCAGCCTAGTTACATACGTGAATATCTGACCATGCATTTAAATCAAGGAGTGGTGAAAAGAAACTTGACATATTTGTATGTAAAAATCACGTTTGTAGGAAACAGCTTTTTGCTGCTATTTTAGGTAACTGAATAATTAATGATCATCTAAGACTTGAGAATTTTGTCTCAGGTTGTAAATCAGAAGTTACAGGCTGTTTAGGAAGCAGGTCTAGTGACCATTCAACTACCGGCTCTATTTGTTTGTTGTCATTGATTCAGTGTTCAATAATTCCATTTCCAACAGAGGCTGCATTTACTTTGCTTTTGTACTGTGAGTTGCTTCAGTGGGAGGACAGACCTCTGAGAGAGTTCCTGCATTACCCATCTCAGTCAGAGTGGCAACGTAAGGAAGGTCTGTGCCGTAAGATTATCCATTACTTCAACAAAGGGAAGGTATGCCAACTTCTTCTCTCTTCCAGCAGCTTCCTTCCCTTTTCCTGACTTAACTTAGGGCTTGCAAGCCTGTCCTCTCAGTTCTGGAAGTAAATTTGTATCAAAAGCTTTTCTAACTTGACACATTGCTTCTTGGCTTTCTGGACAAAAGAAAAACAGATGAAAAAATGGATATGGGTATTGCATGATGCATAACATTTGGAACTAGTTTAGGCAGGCCAACAGGAAAAACACCAAAACATGTTTATACCTTTAAACCAAACTGTGGATCACCTAATGTGGCAGAGTGACACCAGTTCCACAGCTTTCTGGGTCAGGACCACATTCGGTAGTTGTCTATGCAGATTGCTGTATTATGACTCACTTTAGGATTTGTTTTGTTTCTAAGCTATAGAAGTAAATGGCAGGCAGTGCCCTTTATTAAAGAAGACTTAAGTCTTTCCAGTGTCACTGTTCAAGTGGCTTTCAATCAAAGTGCAGTTCCATCCATTGCACAAGGAGAAAATCAATACATTCCAATTTCACATATTCAGTTTGGGTTTCCTACAGTAAGTATTTTTTTACTTGCTGCAGAGGTGGGTGTTGAGTCCCTTGTGTCATGTGCTTGGGGAACATTTCAGAGATGAACCTTACAAGTGATATCATCTGTCAGAATGTTTTCAGATTTTTCCTTTCTCTAGAAAAATTCCTGCAGCTTCTGTTACTGGAAGATAACATCTGTGTGTGCGCCTCGGGGTTGGTTTTGCCAGTGATGACAACGACAGTGGCATTAAATACAAATGTGATTCAGTTCTCATATGGGGCTGCCATTCCAGCTCCTTTCCTAGCCCTGATAATAGAAAGTTGCATTTGGCAGCGATATTCTCTGCAGAACCTACAAAAGGAAGTCAGATTCCTGTGTGTAGGAAGAAATGGCCTATTTATGAAGAAGTGATTCATTAAGAATAATTATTTATGGGGTTGTTTTTACCGGAATTGTTCTTTTGTAATAACAGTGCATATGGTTCTCTGCAGTTTCAGAAAGTCTCGGGGTTTTTCAGATTGCACTTGAATTACTGATTTGTGCAAATACTGCGGTCCTGCGCTGCCTGAGCAGGCAAAGATCATCTAGAGGCTATGTAAAGGAAATGAGCCTGTGTTTTTAACAAAACCAGGCGCTCCACGGATGCACTGAAGGGGACTGAAAACTTGACGGATGTAATTTCACTATAAAACTCCAAACCGATTATAGTGTTAACCTCTTGAGGGTTTTTCCCCACTGGATGTTTCTGGAGTTCTTTGACTTTGTCTTTTAATCCTCTTTTATTATAAATGGTAACCAGATAACTAAGTAATCCACTTAAGCAGTGTATATGTCACCCAAACTGTGGAAGTCAAAGATGCTGAGAAGCCAAATTCTGCTGCTGCTTTTCAGCACTCTTTCTGTTGCTGCGTAACAGGGAACAAACAGTTCAGGGAGTGGAAGAGATCTGCTTCCCTCACCTTATGTCTGATAGCTTCTTTCTGTGCTACCCTAAGATGGTCCCTTCTCACGTCCCAAAGACTGGAATGTGTTGTTCTGTGTCCTGTTGCATTTCTAGAGTTAAATTTCTCATGCTGCTCCTGGTATCTCCCACTAAGAAAGGAGGTCAAAGCAGCATTAAAAGGAAGTAAAAAATATCTGCATTTGTTGGTGGGACAATTTTCTCAGCACAGCAATGGGGTAAAACTATGGCCACAAGACTGCCTTGTGAGTCTGACATAAAGGCCATGCCAGTGGAGGACAAGGAGTGGTGGTATGGCCCATGGCAGGCCTGGGGCACTGCAGTGGGATGCAGAATTGAGTCACTCCTATTCTCAATATTGTTGGCTGCAGCTGTGTGCTGGGAAGGAACAAAGGTATTGAAAGCCCTTTTAGCCTTCACTCTGGTTGTGTGCTCCCTCCTATTGATTCCTGGTATGCTTTGAATTGGTTTCTGGCTCAGTCAGGAGAGTGTGCAGGTGCAGAACTGTAACTGAAGATTTTTATCTTTTTTTTTTTTTTAAACTCACAATTTTGTCTGTTAAAACTCAAAAGTTTTCTGGTTGAAGAAGACTGAATAGAACAGTTTGAACCCAGCTGATCATGCTTCTGGACAGCAGTAGCTTAAAAACTACACAACCCTTTTCTGTCCAGTTCACTGCTAGATTTTACTAACTAAAATTCTGACCAGCTCCAGTTGCAGCACCACTGTGTGTATTCTCCTTTGAGCCAGCCAAGTGCTGTGAGAGACCCAAAGCTGTATTTCCGAAGTCATTCAGTTTTAGATCGTGTGCTCCATACCCAATATTTAAATTTTTCTTGTGCACCCTCATGTAAATTGTACTTCCAAAAGAAATCTGCGCCCTGGGATGTGAGTAGATGTAAGCTGCACACTTACAGAAGCCAGTTGTCTCTATCTGTGCCTCTTTGTGTGCAGTCAGTAGCACTCAACTGAGAGTTCCTGGTGCCATAGGAGAAAGCTGCAATAATTGTCATATGAATGTGTTTTTCAAGAGAAGGACATGATATAGAACATGCAACCAGATCAGACCTCAGCAAGACAGAAAGTAGTGACGAGGGAAATGAACAGTGGAGACATTAGGAAATTATTTGAAGGGGGGAAGAACGACGCTCTGGAGGGAAGTGACGCTTGCACAGCACATGGAATTACATATTAACTTTCTAGACTGTGAGGATGGTACTCATGAACATCACAGATTTTAAAAGTGAGGATCCCAGTGACTCAGATACCCATTCATTCTTTTTTCCTTTCAAATGTCTTCAAACCCTTTTCTCTCTCTAAGAAGTTACCTGTATATTGTGTTTCTTTGCTTCTCTATCTCATGTCGTAGCTGCAGAATATCCAGGTAGCAGAGTGGATTTTATCTGTGTGGAAATCCAACTGAAACAAAGAGAAAGCCTGAGTTAGTGTGATGGGAATAGTATCAGGGTACATGTAAAAGAGCTGGTATAAAGAGAAATAAGATGTGAAAAGGAGCTTGAAAAGGTCACATCTTTAGGATCACCTTGAGGGAAGACAGCCAGGTAGCTTTCTGCTGCTGTCCACAAGGCAGATTAGAGAATTATATAGCATCCCATTTGGAAGTGAGACTCTGCTCACACTCTGTGTGACCAAAGCCATTTATTCTTGGCCAGATGTTTCAGAGAGACTTTCCCATTATTTCAAGTGAATATAGATCAGGTAAGGACTGAAAATCTGTGTGTGGTACCTCTCTAAAAAACATTGAAACCTGCTAAACAATGCAATGGTGCTTGTGTTTGCAAATATAAACATGGAACTGGTTACTGCTGTTGATCCCAATTCAGTGTATCAGTTTGTATGCCATGGATTTTGACAACTCACAGTGAAAATCCTGTTTGAGATCACAGATACCTGAGTAATATTGTGAGTAGTCAAGTACCTGGTCTTTTAGTTAATTTCTTGTAAGTATTGTATTTAGCTAAATAAACCTCAGGCTTCCCATCATCTCAAATTACTGTCAGAATATCCCAATTGATTCTGAAAGAATCTTCTATCTAGCAAATTCTTATGTAAGTTTTTGTAATTAACTGAACCTAAATAGATGTACAATCATTATTTTTGCATTTTTAGTTCTTACTAAATCCCTTGTTTTAATAAAAAAGTTCCTACATGTAGTAGTTTTGCTGTTCAGCAAATAGCTATTTGCTATTTGCCTACATGTAGTAGTATTTGCCGTTTTGCTACAATACTACATGTGGTAGTTTTGCTATGCAGAGATAAAAAGCTTTCCTGATGTTAAGGATGAGAGGCCAAACACTACAAATATGTGTGAAGTTTTGTAAAGTACTTAATACACTAAAACAGACAGTGTAGAGATTCGTTTTTAAATGCAGATACATGTAACCAGGAAAAGTATTTCCATATTGAGTGCTAATATTTTACATAATTACTGTTAATTGCTGTTACCAATAATTTACAATATTGCTACAAATATTCCTAAAACCTTAGGTGATAGTCTAACTCACACATTAATTTTGTTTTCACTGCAACAGAGTCCCCATTAAAACAACAGGCAAGTTAGCCCAGTAATGCATAAAAGTTAATCCAGTAGAGGTTCAACTGAGACCTTGGGGTTCCTTTATGTAAGTGTGGTAACAAGCAGTCAGTGCCCCCTAGAGGCTTCCTGTCTGCAAGATAAAGAGATGGAGTGATTTCAGATCAAGGTGTAGAATGAGCGCTTTAAGAAGCTAAGTGATGTAACAGGAGTCTTTCAGAGTGAGGTGCCCAAACTCAGTCTCTCTCTGCCTTACCTCTGAGGGTAATGTGTATGGTATGCTAGGGAGGATTTATTGTATGCAGACTGGAAGATTTTTTGCTTTCAGTTCTAAATACGGGTATTCACTCAGAGCAGTAATAATGGTCAGTTCTGAGGGTGTTCTGTCCGTCTATTTGAGTGTTTCCCATTGCTTGACAGTTTTGTGCTTTCAGTAAGAAGCAGCAGCCCTGTAAGTAGGGGAGCATTTTGCTGGGGAGCCCCAGCTCTGCTCCAGGGAGTTTTAGTGCAGAAATCAAAGGATATTGGGGGTAGGTTAAAGGGGTATATTATCTTTCTCTGCATTAAGTTCCCAGTCTCATGAATGAACTGTCAAAAGCAAGCAGTATGTGTGTGTGATTTCAATGGAACATATGCCTCCGTTACCATCTTGAAGAAGGAATTAATCTGATACTTAATGGAAACCGTTTCATCACACTGCATTTTCACATCTAATCCCTGGCATTTCATACCAGATGAATTCCCAAAATTGAGCTTCCATATTCCTCTCAGCTGCGCTGGCAATAACAGTCTGTTTGCTGTGAGTGTGATCTGCTTTGGTTTCACAGAGCTGGGAGTTTGGAATCCCGCTGTGCAGAGAACTGGCCATCCAGTACGAAAGCCTCTATGATTATCAGAGCCTCAGCTGGATTCGAGTAAGTAGCAGCAGTTTGTCTCGTCTAGTCCAACCTCCTGCTCAAATGGCCTGGAAACACATATTTCATTTTAATTCCAAAAGTATGACAGACAGCTTGTGTCTCCCTTGACATGAGAGGAACAAGAGAGAATGAAGGCAAACATTTCTGGTGTTCTTAGCAATTTACAAGAACCAGTAAAACCAAGCACATGATGAAATCAGGGCACATTTGCAGCATCGTGCAAGTCAAAAGTTCAGGTTGTTACTTAAAAGCTTTATGAATGTTAAAATATTTCATTCTGCTTTTGTCCCCTGGGGTAGCATGCATGTATCCAAATTGAAGATTTAGGCTGTGTGGATGTATTCTTATACACAGTGGTTTACATTCTCTTTAAAAGTCAAATTTATTCTTATCCAAATATACCTGTCTAATGAGGACTCATGAACTGCACTTCTGAAGAACCTGTTTTCCTCAGAGTGACCCTCAAGAGCGTTTAGGTGACCATCCTGGATGTGCACTTCTTTATTGTAGACATGTAGAACATCTTGTTGTACAGGAGATACCGTAATCATGAATGATGAGCAGGATAAAGGCTTAGTCCAGTTGTGAATCAAAGACTTTCTTTCCTAAAACATCAGTAAATCAGCTGTTCTTGCTGCTGCCTCATTATTATTTGGATCTAATCAGCTGGCAGATGAAGAGCATCTCAGCTGATCAGTAGAACCAGTTCACCTCATCCTTTCACTCACCTGTGTGGGACTGGTTTTCTGTTCAGGTTTCCTAAATCTGCGTTGCCTTGAACCAACTAGAATTTCTCCCCACTCTTTAGAGTTCTTCTCTGTGCCACTCACATCATTCAACACATCCCTTCACTTTTCCTGCAGTGATTTGGGGATTTTCTCCATTTTAGAACGGAGAGGTGTGGGAACCAAGAACAAAACCTTGATACAATGTTGGAACTCAGAGCTGCTGTTAGGGTTCCCTGCAGTGGAAGCAATGATGTCAAACTGCTGCTTCCCTTCAAAAAGCTATCTTTTTGCTATAATGAAATTCCTGTGAGCCTTTCAACTGAGATTCAGTTTGGCAAGGGGTCTTGAAATCCCACTCTGGATATAAATGCTAGCACAGTGCCACAAAGCTAATAATTGGAACTAGAGAAAAGTCCTTTTACTTTTTCAAAACCCCTTTTTCTTCCATGTTAAACCTACTGGTGCACAGAGCTGTAGAAGATTTAATTTTGTTTCAGTCTTTTTCATGCGCCTCAACTCAATTAAGGCGAACCCAATTGACTTGATGTAATTTCCCAGGCAGTGGTATAGATTTTGAGCTGTAGGAAAGAATAGGACACTGTGAGCTAGGCAACATAGATCTTAATCTCAGCTCTGCCATTAATTCTGCAGTGCTAAGAAGATTACATGCAAGACCTGTTTAATTTAAAATGGGATACAAGAAGATGATTTTCATATGTCATCTCCAGAAGTGCAGAATGAGTATGAGGATCCCATAGTCTGTTCCACCATGAACAGAGACTGTTTCATTAGTAGCTTTTAACAGAATTCTGGTCTTTTCATACAAATAGTGGGAGCAAAAGGGTAATGTGATGTCTCAATGTGTCCTGAGATGCTAATGTTTAAGGGTCTGATAGCAGCTATTTTTGTTCTCCACAGAAAATGGAAGCCACCTATTACGATAATATCATGGAGCAGCAGCGCTTAGAACCCGAGTTTTTCAGAGTTGGCTTTTATGGTCGGAAATTCCCATTTTTCCTGCGGGTAAGCCAGGCTTATGCAAAATCTGACAAAGCAGCCAGGCTCAGAGCAGCAGTTAAAGGCTGTGTACTTTCGCTGTGGAGATACGGTGTCTGCTACCCAGCTTATGTTTTTTCTCTGCCTGCACAAGTAGAAACAGCTTTCTGGCTGAACTGAAGGATGGGGTCCATTGGAAATGTTCTTGGGAATGGAGAGCAGAAGTTTGAGTCATGCCTGTGTGTATTTTTGACGACCTGCAGATGCAGCACAAACTGCCTCTATATTAAGCAAAACGCTGTACTGCAGCAATGCTGGGTCATTACTCAACTAATTTTCATCATCTCAAATTATCAGGCTTTAAAAAGTCTCACACGACAGAATGATTCTAATACCAGAGTGATGACTCTCTTACACTGTCTGCAAGCAAAAATTGCCTCTTTCAGCAAAAGCCTAGAATCTTCTCTGGCCATGTTCTCACTTTGAGCTTATTGTCTGCTGGTGCAAACAACATCAGCTGGGTCTGCAGTCCATTTTAAAAGTGCAGTTATCTTCTTTTTCTAACGAGGAATCAAAATGGACAGTTGCTCATCCCATGCCTTCTTGTTAGCTCAGAGCAAGGAAGGAATATAATCTGACAACTGCTGCAAGAGCCGTCTACAAATTGATGGTAAATGCCATCTAGCTTGACAGGCCAAGCTAACTTAGAGCGTGCTTTCAAGGACTGGAGGTGCATGTTTTGTGTTCTCTCTAAACAAGTAGCTTGTCAGGAGATGGCACCACTCGAGTTACACAGTAAGAAGCCACAAAAAGCCAAACTGTACCATTTTGAAAACTGTACTCTTTAAATTTCCCTCTGATTTGGGGTTGGTTGGTTTGGGGTTTTGGGATTATTTTTTTTTAACTAGAACTTAAACATTGGTGTTTAATTACAGTTTTTAAATGGAAGCATGGGCAGGGGAAATAAAGGCAAGTTGGAATTAACCAAGGTGAAAACACCAATGGATAAAGAAGTGGCTTCATGTTATTCAAGGGTGAAGAGTGCCATAATGTAGCAGCCTAAATGGGTTTGTGAAACATACCTGCAGAGGAATCTGAAGAAGTGACAGCTGTTACAGTACTGAGCAGTAGCAGCCCTTTGATGACCTCCATACAATCATAGAATCCTAGAATGGTTTGGATTGGAAGGGACCTTAAAGCTCATCCAGTTCCAACCCCTGCCGTGGGCAGGGACACCTTCCACGAGACCAGGTTGCTCCAAGCCCTGTCCAATCTGGCCTTGAACACTGCCAGGGATGGGGCAGCCATAACTTCTCTGGAAAGCCTGAGCCAGTGCCTCACCACTCTCACAGGGAAGAAAACTGACAATTTCTTTTTCATATCTAACAACAGATGTTTCATAAAATGAATGACAACAAAGTCGTTATGGTACATAAGCATTCCTACATTGGAAGTAATATCAGTGAATCTAACTTCTCTTACGATGTTGTGGAAGTTTTCTCTTGCACCCTTGCATGGCTGAGGTGCCCCACACCACACAAGTTTCCAGGGCGCAGCCCTCTGTGGAACAGTCTAACAACATGGGTACCAGGCTGGAGACATTAACAGTGAACATGAGCGTACATAATTATAATCCTTGTTAATTCTGCAATTATATTTGGTAGCAGTACTTCTGATAGCAGATTACTAATGTAGCAATCTCATTAAAAGTCATCCTCCTCCTTTCTCTCTCTAATGATCCATACAGCGCACACATTGCAAAGCACAGCCTAAGCCCATTAGCAATCACATCAGCATGGATCACACTGTAAAGAGATTGGAAGCAGCTATTCTAGAGAAGAAAAAGATTTACATGGATTTAAAATTTTCAAATGGATATGGGAAAATGATTTTAAATGATCAAATAACTCCATGTTCTTTTCTCATTTTTTGTCTATTGCTGTATAGCTTAAGACACAACATAACTTCTTTCTAAATCTGTAAGAACCCTTTGTCTAGAAATGCCATTGTTCATGTTTCTATGGATTCTGCATCTATTTCTAGCCTTCCTACATAAGTAAATTAAAACTGTCCATGTCTTCCACCTACCAGAAGTTCAAGTAAGACCTGACAAGCCACGTTCTGAGATCTTGTGTTGGCAAGTCTATTAAATTTAGCTTTGAGGTGTTTTCAGGGCATTATTTTTAGAATCACAATAACATTATTTATAGGCTTACAGTTTTCTGGATTGCTGCAATCAAAAGCTAAAATAGAGAATGCAACGCCATGAAGAGATTCACCTTCAAATATGGACTCACTCCAAATTTAATAATGGCTGCAGTGTTTGAGCATTACAGACTGAACTGCCAGGATTCATCATGCCATTTGTCTCCCAGTTCGTTGGTTGCTGTGAGTGATGCATACAAAGTGACATATGTCACAGCTGGAACATGAGATCTGCTCCATAAAGTTGAAATGCAAAGCCAAAGATAACTACACTCCTTGGCTGTGTTTCATGATGGGGTTTTGCTGCTTTCTCTTTGATTTTGCTACAAGATCAAGAACTGCTCGGCCAGAACCCTTTTCCAGAGCAATTAACAAAACATGATTGCATATACTGTAGCTTCCACATGCAGGAAATGGAAGGGGAGGAACTCTTCTTTGGTTTATGAAGGTGAAAATTCTTCCTGTACTTCTAGTTACTGCTACAGGTTTGAGAGTTAAAACTAGGGTTAAAGACACTTTAGGACAGACTTTATGACACTGAGGACTTTAGAAATCCTGTGTGTTGCTGTTCAAAGTTTGAGATGGCTCAAAAAGCATCGAGGAACTCTCCACAAGCGGTTTAATGCCTCGCGAGGCATATCTAAGTGAAAGCTTTCCATTACTAGCAGAAACAAAGTTTTGTTCATCAAGAGGGAAGTGCTTTTAGGGCTTTTAGTGAGAATTCTTGGTAAAGCTTTTCCGTATTACTCCAGTACAGACAGGGGAGTTCCTGAGGATGGATTGTTCAGCATGATCAGAGGAGGACTGTATGGCTGTGACAATACAGCAGTGATGAAGCAGTGATTTTTGTGAACAGTTTGTTACGACTCCTCTCTACGTATAACTGATAAATTGGTAAACGTATCTATCTCCCACTGTTCTATGGAATGCTGAGGACGTTTATCCATCTCTGGTGTAAATTGTATTTGACAGCAGCTTTCCCAGCGTAGAGCAGTGAGCTGGTGACTTGGTATTAAGTTTTGATTGATATGTTTCAGTATAGTCCATTTTAAAAAGCATCCCTTTTCAGTTGTCTGAAAAGCAAATAAGAAAAGACAATAGGACTGAATGCTGTGTGTGTATGGACCAGAGGCATCTTCCTGCTGAGAGGTCGCTGGAACAGCCTACTTATTCATCACTTCTTGATGAAATGCATTGTAAAGGAAAAGGAAGGAATTATTGCTGTATCAGCTGTGTTAAATGCACATTTTATTCTCACATTAGCATATTGACACCGTCATTTGTCTTTGGGTTTGAAGCAGCAAAATTTAAAGTGAGATAAAAGCCAACAGAATTTAACTTACTTTTAAGGAGATTAATTTATGCTTGTCCTTCTTGCAGAACAAGGAGTATGTTTGTCGGGGCCACGACTATGAGAGGCTGGAAGCCTTCCAGCAGAGGATGCTAAGCGAGTTCCCACAAGCCATTGCAATGCAGCACCCAAACCACCCGGATGATTCGATACTGCAGTGTGATGCCCAGTGTATCCTTCAATGATACGAGTAGAGCAGCTGTGGTGTTCACAGAGAAGGGTGGTACTGAGAAGGTCATCAACCTGGACACCTCAGTTCCTCAGTGCCTTAGGTATAAAACCATGTCCTATAGACAAACCCACACCCCTGTCTATAGCAGACATTAACTGGCTCATTGTGTTATGTGCTTTTGAAAAGAATGGTCATGTCTGCTTAGTCACATCCTTGTGTTAGCTTTCCGTCAGCATTGCCATAATGTGTGTTTTGTGTCCTTAAAAGTATTCTTGGTATCTTCTCGTGGAGAATATTTTGTTGGGAATGGATAGTCCTTCCAAAGTGTTATTTTCCACTGTGTTTTATTTTTCACATCAGTATTATTATATTTGCAGTCGCCCTTTTCCTTTAAACTGCTGAACCATTTCATACCTAAGGCTTTGAATCTCATTTCCTCTCACTGGTAATCAGCACTGTGATTTGATGCAACCAGTACAATTCTATATACATTTAATGACTGAACCATATAACATTTAATGTGTCTGCAGAGATTTGTGGAGATTTCAGTCATGAGGACGCTGCTTTTTGGCTTGTGTGACAGCAGCAAAGATATTGCACAGGCCTTTAACCATCAGGAAATTGTCATCAAGTGAACTCTCCTGAAATAGGCTGCTGTTTCCCACTTGTCTTTTGTAACACATGCTTTTCACTCTTTGCTGTATGACGCTGGTACTTTCATAGACAGCGGGGTATTGTATTTGTACTTCGGTTGGTTTGTTTATGCTTGCAGAGAGCTTCTCTGTTACGCTGAGGTTAAAGTGGTTCAATTAAACTGTGCTGTAAATTGATGGAATGAGGACACCTTTGGTTTGTAGACAAAGCTGAAGTATCTACGGTGAAATCTGTCAAACAGAAATATTATTTAGATACTTAAGTGCATTGACTGAAGTTTCTGCACAAATGAGGCACCTAGCTCTAATAAAACTGATAGGAACTGGGTATTTTCCCTGCTTTAGGTATTTTGGATGTCTTACTACATACTCTCTGCATCCTCAGTTATTGTCCTCTTTGGCTAATCTGGCTGTGAGGTACTATAACTCTCTAGACTCTCCTAGGACTCTACTCTAGCATTCTGTTGGATCACTTGCAAAGGAAGAGTATTGGAAAATGCAGAGGAGCATGACTTACTGAATTCACCATCCTTTTTGTTCCCACAGCAGGGATAGCTTTTCTGTTTGATGTCCTGTGGCTTTCTTTGACTACCTAATTTACAGATCTACAGATCTATGCAGTGACTCCCATCCCAGACAATATAGATGTGTTGCAAATGGACCGTGTCCCTGATCGCATAAAGAGCTTTTACCGAGTCAACAACATCCGGAAATTCCGTTATGACAGGCCCTTCCACAAAGGCCCAAAGGACAAGGAGAATGAATTTAAGGTAGAAGTAGTGAATAAGCAGTGTTTAAGTGTTTATCTCTTCAAGGCAAATACTGTCTTGTTATTTTATGCTGATACAGCCTTTCAAGTAACCCTGATTTGATGGCCCGAGATGCTGTAGTAACTCAAATAACAAGTAGCTGTTGCATCTAAAGGTTACACACCTGACCTGATAAAAGCATTTAGTTTAAAGGTGAGTTGTTGTAGTGGCAGGAGGAATGCATTTTCAAGCAAGGATGGGGCTTTCTCATTTGGCTGGATTGTTTTTTCTTACTGCCATATCTATGCCCACAATGTCATCTTGGTTCCCTTGACCGACCTTTAAAAATGAATGGAGATCTTGAATGTGTTGCTTTAGAGCATACTGAATTCTGGGGTTGTTGTTCCAAGTGACTTTCAACATGACATTCTGCAAAATGAGTTACTGCTCAGGAGGTTGATGTATTCTTGTGTGAACTTTACCTACTTAGCACCTCTAGTAAGAGTACAGATGATGTGATTGTGATTCACCTGGTACCTCACACCCTCAATTACTCTTTGCAGAGCTTGTGGATTGAACGAACCACTCTGACCTTAACTCACAGCTTGCCTGGGATTTCTCGTTGGTTTGAAGTGGAAAGAAGAGAGCTGGTAACATTCATAGTTACTGTGATTGGGGTTTGAAATGATGAGTTACTGAGAACATGGGATAGGCAGCTTAAAACTCCTGTGGCTGAAATCTTGCAGTTTAAAATGATGAAGTTTACCAATGATTAAGTATGTCCTTTTTCTACCATTTAGTCTAAAAAATTGCTGAACATAACCAGGAGAATCATGTGAGGGAACGTCACAGTATAATGGAGACAGTGCCAAAAAGATGCAATAATTGCACCATTGCCATGTCTTCAGAATACAGAAAGAAGCTGTCACAATTCGGTGACCTGAAACACAGCATTGCCAACAGTAAAGTTTATTATGTAGCTTATTTTGTACAAAGCAGTAAAAACTAAGAGAGATCACTGAACAATCCCAGAGTATCATTTCATTACAAGAAGATAATAAATCTCAGTGAAGTGTCCATGGAATAAACTATATTTTATTGCCTTTGAGGTTGAAGTAAGTCCTTTGGAAAATGCCATTCAAGTGGTTGAGAACAAAAACCAGGAGCTGAGAACACTGATAAGCCAGTACCAGCATAAACAAATGCATGGTAACATTAATCTTCTCAGTATGTGTCTGAATGGAGTGATTGATGCAGCAGTTAATGGGGGAATTGCACGGTACCAGGAGGTAAGCCAGGCTCTGCTTCCATATTTACTATCACCTTTTGTCAATTTTATTTCCACTTCTGTTTCAAAGAGAGTATGATTTAAGAAGATAAGGAATTTTCACCTACATGATCTAAATATGAGGTCAAAACCCCTATTTGATGATTCTGCATCAGTGCATAGCCACATGTCAACAGGAGGATCCAGAGATGGAGCTGGAATATTGCATTACAGTAGGTGCAGTTGACAGTGGAGTTTCTCAAGAATGAAACCTGGCTTAGCTGAAAATCCTCACTTGGCAGGAAAGAGTGAAACAGGTTGTTTGTACTGCTTACATTATACATTTATTTTGCAATACAAGCATGTAATGGGACTTATGGTAATTGAGACTGATTGGGCCTGTAATCAGGAAAACCCACCAATTTGTGTGACTCAGCCCTTATCTTTGGCTAATTTCAGACTCACTGTAACCCTAAAATGATCTTACATGCAGTATGTTAGTGGGCATCATCTTTGGCAAACTGTTACTTAAACTCTGCATTGCAACAGGTAAGTCTAGGGTGAAATACTGCAAAATGGCAGCAGTGGTCCAGGGGTGTGGGACACATCTTCCCTACAGAGCTGTGAAGAGAATGCTCTCCACGCCTTACATTAGTAGCCACTCAATTCCTGTATCTTTAGACAGTTCTGTGAAGGAAACTATATAAAATTCAAATAACTGGATAATACAAGGCTCAGGGTTATTGCTTATCACTGTCACATGGAGAAACCTGGTCAGATCTTCATCTTGGTTGCTAAAACCATACTGCAGTTTTACCCAGATCCCGGAGTGCTGAAAGCTATAAAAATGAGCTGCTGCTGTTAGCTTAATGTATTTAGTTTTCCTTTTCCTCTCATCCTTGACACCAAATTACAATGAATTATCTTCCAGTAAGCAGAAGGCTTTTTTCCCTTTTCCTACAGGCTTTTTTCGATAAAGATTATATCACAAAGCACCCTGGAGATGCAGAGAAGATCACACAGCTCAAGGAACTCATGCAGGAGCAGGTACTGGTTTTCAGATGCAAAAGAACATCACCACAGTGTTTGGGTTCATCAGCAGTCAGTCTAGACATATCAGATCCAACTGATTCATTCAGAAGCAAACAATTTTGATACAGGAGATCTAAAAAATGGGGAAGATAGCCAAGGAGTTTATGAATAAGCCATTCACCTTATGGGATGTGAGGTGAAGCTCAGCTTGAAGTACATTAATTTTGCTGTCTCCATTTATTATCCAGTATGAATCTTGCTACATTCCAAGCTTGCTGTTCATTTTTGGCATTTTGAGTTATGTCTTCCCAATAAATACCAGAGACAGAACAGGTCAGGCTTGTGCTTAAACTGGCAGAGTTGCTTAGGGAGGCTTAATGCCCGTTTATATGCTCTGCAGTTTTATTTTTCTTTAGTGTGTTTGTGACCTATCTTGATAGATAAAGCTAGCTGGATGCTGTGATGGGAGCGAAATCAGAAAATCACATCCCTCATAACTGACAGTGTGGCAAGATATACCCCATTAAACAGTGTGTCCAAGTCTGAACAGAGCTGCCTGGCCTGTTTCTGCAACAAATCACCTAACTGCATTTCAGATTTCCCATCTGTAAAATAAAGATAATGCTTATCTCCCTTCAGTCCTCAAGAGGATGTTTGAAGATTAATTAGTTATTGTTTGTACAGATTTTGGATCATGTAGGGAATTATATACATCTTCAGCCTACTATCATTGCTATTTTCTTTCATCTGAGAGCTTATATAATCTCATTCAACCACTAGAATTGTATGTTTAACCTCCGAAAAAGTGACCTTTGAAAATAGATAATGAGCAACAGAAAGAGTGACTGTGCATTGTCACTGCTGCTGTTCTGCTTGAGTATCAGAAACTCCTTTTAGAAGTCTCTGTTGGCAACTTTGACCCCTTCTCTGACACTGGGTGGAAGGAATTTCCTCTGTGTGAGGATGTAATGCAGTTCACTCCAGAGGAGAGAATCAAGCTGGTAATTTCTTACAGTTCTCTCTTAACGTAATCCAACATGACATAAATGTGCTTGTCTCACAAAGTACTTGCTGAAGTACTGTGAACTTGCCAGGCCTCCTTAGGCTTGCTTCATTACCAGCAGCCTTGTAAATGAACTGTGGCATATTTTACAGTACTCCCTTGCACACTGACAGAGCTGCAGGACAGGCTCTTAGACGCAAGTTATTTGGGTTTGTGATGTGATGTTTTCTTTTTACCAGGTACATGTCTTAGGAGTGGGTCTGGCAGTCCATGAGAAATTTGTACACCCAGAAATGCGTCCCCTGCATAAGAAACTCATAGACCAGTTCCAGATGATGCGATCCAGTCTGTACCACGTAAGCTGACATACTCAGAGTTATGATTTAATGTCTGTTAGTGGCAGTAAAGTTCAGAGTAGAACTGGGCTTGAGTCAGCGTTGCTGAATCTACTGGATTGCCAGATTATCAAAAGAATTCTTGATTTTTGTGCAAGAAGGAAGTCTGTACCTAGTCTGTATGTTAATTTAGCCTTTCATTTAATCTAGAATTTGAAATGTTTGTGTGACCTTGATTGTGCCACAGAACAATTGTAAAGCTTGGGTTTAAATTACTGCCTTACACAGCAGAAAATGATGTAAAGCAGAGGAAAAAAGATTAAAAGAAAGTGTTAGATGTTGAGCTGTTCGAAAGAGCTGCTGCAGTTTGGAGAAGCATGACATGGATTAGGCCCTCCAGAAGTGTTTTTGTGTAGACAGCAACAGAAATTCCTGTTGGAATTCCTCCAAGAATGGTACCTTTCCTTCTATGTGTGCTCTGCTGTACTTAAGTATTCTGAGACAACTATACTCGAGACATCTTTCCCAGATGGGTCTCAGACATCTGCAGCGCATTCTCCTCTTCTTGGTACAGTGAAATCTTTAGGAATACCTAGATGCAATCTTGACCATTATCACAATCAAACTAAAGGGTATCTTTCTATAATGTGAAAGAATTATCTTAAATATGTCTGTTAGCACTTTACTTTCAATGTATTTTCCACGACAGCTTCTAACTTGAAGGCTTTCTCCTCCACTTTTAGAAGTGAACACTGTGTAAGGAGGGCCAGAAATAACAGCACCAGAATTTTACAGTGTGGCCTTTCTCTTTCAAAGCAGATAAGATCTGCAGAGGTCACAGATGACAGTTTTTGTTCACTACCTTTCTTGAGAGTTTGGGCATGATCTGTATTGTTGAGTGCACATTCCTTTGTTTTGGAAAATGCAGGTGGCTATAATTTTGGCCACATTATGCCTCTATTTTTCTCCTTAATTCCTGAAGCAGTGGCTAGAAAGGGTTATTGGAAATAAACAGAATGGGGTTTTAAAGCACTACAGCTCTTTATCCTGTGGAAATAAGGACATGGAAACAGGTAAGGACTTCTCTGAGAAGAAAACTCGTAATTTTCCATGACCAACTTAGCTAAAGTATGTTTCCTTTGTAGGAGTTACCAGGTTTGGATAAGCTGAGTCCGGCCTGTTCTGGCACTAGTACACCACGCAGCAATGTTCTGGTTTCACACGGCCCTATGAGCCCAGAGAGCATAAAGCTGGTGCATCGACACAGGTACCTTGGTTTTCTTTGACTGAAATATCCAGGATCTCTGCACGCTGTTAAGACTCAAGGATCCGAGAACTGGCTGTAACAGTACTGCAAGAGGAGAATGAGTTTTGGCAGAAGTTCCTTGTGTCTTCATTCAGTGCTAATTATTAAAGTTTGAGGAGTGGAATAAAAAAGTTGAGAAATCCAATTTGCAGTAAATGCTACTCCATCACTTACTATAGAAGCAGAAACAGACATCTGCTACTCAGACCTTCAGATTCAATCTGACTTTGGAGGTTCCACCTTCTCTTAAGCGAACATCAAATAAATAGGTCCTTACAAAAAGAGTATTTTATTGCTTGATTTAGAACCCAGCTCAATATGTGCCCATTTTTAAGGATCAAAGAATGTTCCTATCGTTGTTCTTTGTAATTCTGATCAAATCAGAACCCAAATATAAGAAAGGCTGCTGAGATGTTTTGCATAGAATGCCACAGAATGGCTCAGCCTTCACAGAAACATCTGAAAACGTGTATGCTTATTCAAACTGAATACCATCTATGAAAACTGAGATCATGATGGAGGATAAAAATTGGGATTTTCAGGGCAAAACAGTGGTTTTGTATCCAGCCAAAACTGATTATTTGGAGTTGTTCCTATCCATGCCAGTATGACAAACAGTGATGGGAATGTCACTGAAGCTATACAACTTTAATTGTACTTCAGGTTGGATTTCTCTTGGTGGTCTTCCATGGCTTAGCTTGTTTCAAAGCCTGGCATGAAAAGCTGTGGAAGCTTGGTCTTGACACCATCCAGGATGGTGTCATTCTTTTTGCTATTAAAATTGAGTAGCTCTTACCCTTTAGTGACTTGGCAGCTGACAGCTGTCTCTGAAATTTTCTTCTCCAAAATTCCTCACTCTGTAAAGCCTTTTTCAGTTCTCAGAGCAAACAAGGGAGATTCTCTAGTGTACACAATATGTATTTGTGTGTGTGGTGACAAAGAAAATTTGATTTCCTGAGTGAGATGAGGGTGCAGCCTGCACACCAGCTGGGCTGTATTAATTTACTGTCAGCTACAGAGTTGCCTTCAACTTGCTGAGGCCCAGCAGATGCAAGAAGGAAAACTGTATTTTGACCTGTGTGTCTTGTGTTTGGCTTCCTTTGGCATGTGTTTTTGAAGCTGCTCCCACTCATCATGCATCAGCATTAAAAATGAGAGTGCTTTCAGAAAGCTCTGTTATAAACAAATATGCACCCAGCATCATGATGGGTGGCTTTTATTCCAAATTCTGCATCCTATGTTGTCTTACATATGACCTTATCATCACTTACTTCACATTTACGGATTTGTTTAAGCTTACTTGGCCTGATTTTTAAAAGCATCTGACACCTAGAGGTGACCTAAAGCATCAGGTAACTGTAGGTACTTACAGCTTGTAAAACACAGGTTCAAAAAATAGGCCTTTGTTCTGTCTCTGGTTTTGTTCCAGCCCACTGAACTTGCTTGGTTCAGTCCGACACTCGTCATCCTCTCTGTCATCCCACACCTCCAGTGAGACAGGAAACCTGGTTATCCTAACAGACAGCTCTGTGGGGGAGACTGCTGAAGACATGTACCACATGCAGGTACAGCTCCAGCACAGGCAGCAGCGGCTGTCAGAGACGACACAGAACATGCTCTGGAGGGTTATGGTTAGGAGGAGTACACTTCACCTACACACATACATTGGATCTGCCCTGTGATGTTTTTTTCAAAGGGCTGAACAGGTAGAATCTAACATTGGTCAAAAAAGGTAACACAATAACTCAGTTACGTTTGCTTTGGGGGGAAACACTATGCAGATCTGGTGGTCCAAGATCATACTGTTGCCCTCAGAAAGTGAGATTTTAGTTGGCATGTTATTTATCTGACCTGTTCTTATGCAGTTAGGATTCCTCTTGGTTTGTGGGAGGGTGAAATAAGTCCCATAGTCCTGAGTGCTAATCGGTGGCCTGCACCAAAGCTGTTTCCTAGACAGAGGATGCACTGGGTGATCGGAGGCAGGTAAATATCTAATGCACTGATCCACTCAGTCCTCTCTCGATGATTCCTCTGCCTCCTGCAGCTTGTTTACCCTAACTCCAGGTACCAAAGCTCAGTCACCAACGACTCTGTTTTGTCCCCATCCCAGGCTAGCCCTTCCACCTCAAGCCTGAGCTCCACTCACTCGGCACCGTCCCAGATGATCAACTCTGCCCCTTCCAGTGCTCGAGGTAAGAACGGATGGGTCCAAGTGAAGGGTTAAGTGTCTCTGCAGGCATTCCCTGAACTTGGCAGCAACAGCCAAAGACCACCTACACTGAGATACACTGCTGTTTCTCTTTTGGAGCTGTAAATGCCTCTTCAAAAACTGTTTCTTAAAAATTGCTTTTCATTCTCCAGAAATGAATTTAATGATTTATTATTTTTTTTCAGCAGTATTTTGGAATGTATCTTTAATACATGCTGGTTTCAGGCAGTCAAATTTCATAATGATTTCCATTGTTCCGCCACAGCACTGTGCAGGCAGTCAGGAGGAAAATAAGAATAGTCTTTGGTACAGTAATTAAAAGAAAGAGAGAGATCATGAACACAAAGGAAAAAAAAAAATCATTTTCTGCATTTAATGAAATTATGGCACAAAATAGAACTTGAGACAGTTTAGCCAGAAATATGTGTATACAAAAGCATAGGTATACAATGAATGTTGAAAGATAGGAATTTTAACTACTGCCATTAAAGAAGGGCTTCCCCGCTGGGAAATTCTTGAAGAAAGGAAAAATGCAAAAACAGACTCCAGGGGTACTCATAATGGTTCTGCTGTTACAGTAGCTGGGCTTGATACTGCTCATCATTTTCTTCCCAAGGCTCAGAGCTGAAGCAAAACCATTCTGTGCAACTGCCTGACTTTGGTAACTTCCGTTCAAGTTTTGTTTCCTCTCATTTCCGATTCTCAACTGCAGGTTCGCAAATTTCTCACCACTTTCCACAGGCATCTGAGGAAGGTATCCAGGATATAGACAGAGATATAGGCTGATATATAAATCTTACCCGTTTTTTCCATGCAGGAGAACTGTATGTCTCCTTATGGACAGAGAATACAGAGAAGGGCCCTTTCTCTCAGGCCAGCTCAATCTTACACTGAAATCTTAATTGACTGGCTGTTGTTACGACACAAATGCATCAAAGCGATTTAATTTATGGCTCAGATGGAGTATGAAGGTGAGAAGTGGACATCCTCAGGTAGAGGCAAATAGCTTCACAAATTACCAAGGGCTAGAAGGAAAATGATGGCAATTCATATAGTGAAGTAACCAGATGAAACTGGCACAAACAGGAAAGGGAAAAGGGGACTGAGTACAGGGCTGTCATGTCAGGAAGATGTCCTTAAATGGATGTGCCTCAGCTGGCATGTGAGGTCTGAATCTTTAGGGGTTTGGTGCTCACAGTGACAGGCTGTGACAGCCTTTCTGAGCTTGACGACCTCACAGCATCACCAGCTTCCCTCTTCACTGTATTCTTTGTTCTTGCTTAGAAAACAATGCTGAACGCTACAAAGGGTATAGTGCTGATGAATGAGCCAACAGCACCTCCCAGAGATGAGAACTAGACACTGTAAATGACCACAAAGAGAAAGCAATAAGAGAAGTAATGATTTTTAAAACTAGTTCAATATATGTATCTATTTTATTCTTCACTCTTACTAACTTGTTTTGCTAGCCTATGATACGACATTTCTTCTCTGCTCGTTTTGTTCACTTTTAAGTTAGGTGAGCACAGCATTCAGACGTTACCCACTGACAGTGGGATTTCATGTCCAGTAAAGTCCCAGATGCTGTGTTTCACACTGTGCGAGTTTACTACTGTGGTTATTACAACACCACTGTCTGGAATGGAGTTGTCTGTAACAAGATAAAACCCTTACACCTAAGTTCCACTGTGGTAATAGAGCTTTGTTTTTCTCCTTGGTGATTTTTCCTTTTGTTTTGTTTTTCAATTGGGTGAATTTAATGGTTGTGAAAATGAGAGACCAGTATCATAGGCTGGAGCAAGGTACTTCAGAAACCTTACATGTGCAGCTCTGTCAATGCACCTCTATCCTTTCTTTTTTCTTTTTCTTTTTTTTTTTTTCCTTTTTTTTGGTATTTATTTATATTCTTTTTAATTTAGTGCTGGTGAAAGGTGCTGGATTGACACCACTGGAGGCTGAAGCCCTCTATTTACCCACAGAGCAGATACAGCATGGGCGGCAGCCGTGCAAGTTTCCCCACGCTGCCCCCACCAATGTGCCTCATCTCTGTCCTGGAGGGACCACCTCTAGAGGTGAGAGGATAGTTCAGTCACCATGACCCATCCAATCCTTGGCCTTTCTGCTGAGACTGCCAACAAAGCTACGATAGTCACGATGCTGCAGCTAAACCGCATTTCACATGGGAAATATACGAAGGCCCAATGATTTATTTTGTACAGGCCACCTAAATTTACTGACTTGGCATCTTTGTCACCTGTGGCTTTAACTTGAGCATGGTTAAGTAGGGTTTCTAGGTTTTTTGTCAGGTGCTTAAATGCTTCTCTCATTGATTCAAACATTAGAGATGAAACCCGACTATCCTTTTATCCAGATATTTATACCACCTTCTCTGTTTAACTACAGAGTCCTTTCTGGAGCTCGGCTACTAGCACTATTCTGAGGGTATCTTTATAATACAGATTAGTTCTATAAGTCACCAAAGGAAGCCATGGCTGTTTGTAATAAGAATCCAGCAGATATTTAAATCATACTTCCAATTCTTCATTTCCAAAACATGACCCTTTCACTGATGTTTAAAACAGCAACACAGCAAATGATTTGGCCAGTCCAAAGAAAATAATAAAGCCATTAATCCAAAATTTTTAAAGGATACTTATCCAGACAGCAGATTAATGACTTGATATCACTGAACAGCAGATTAAAGCAGCAAACCTTACATTTGTTGTAATGCGCACAAGTTAGAGCAAAATTCTTAAACAGAATTGTAATCAGAATACAGTAAGAACTTTCTAACCGTGCTAATGATAAAGGCATTACTAGTTACTGTTTCAGATGAACAAACTTCTTCCCTGTTAAGAAAGCAACAAAGGTTTTGAATGGAGAATCAATAAGAAATTCAGAGTTTGGTTTGGCTTCATTTGAGGTGACTCATAAGGCAGTGCTCTAACCTTACTGCAGTTAAAAGATTGCATAAGCTCATGTTTGTTAAGCAGAAATTGTAATACAAAGCAGCCTGGCAAGAGCTAGGAATTGGTATGGGGGTTTTCAGTAACTTCATTTAAAATATGGCTGGGACTCCTCCAGTTGCTCTAAAAGCACTTCCCACTTGACACTAGATGACTCGCCTCTTAAAGCATTCCTACTCCTTCCTCAACACAGGCCCCTTTTCAAGGTGTAGGAAGAGTCCTGGTGTCTTACTCAGCACTTTGTAAGAACCCATGTGCTTACATTAAAAACTTCCTTCTTAAAGCAAAAAAAGTTATGATTTGGTGCAGGAGAGAACTGTTTTCATAACAGTAATGAAAATGATGCATCAGGAGAAGGGATTCATTGATTTTGGAGTTTAACTACATTGAGTTTCAGTTCTATTCCTTAGAACTGATACTTGTCACAATTAGATTAGCATTTTCATAATTAAAAAAGAAAAACTACCTCTGCTTCACATAGGTTTTTCTCTCATTAATAGTACATTCAGTGCAGCATGCATGCAGTGTACCAAGCTACAAGCTAAAAGGAATAAGCCCTGATACGTGCTGCAGTGTCTTATATGGCCACTGGCTGCTCTGGAAACTTTTAAAAGCTTTTTTGACTTTGTTTTTTAAGTCCAACAGTCTGTGAGAGGAGCCATGGTAGTTGTGCTCACTTTCTGGGCAAAGAAGCAGGCCTGATTATTAATAAAAGCTTCAGTTATAGCCACTCCTCTCGTGGCCCACAATTCAAAAGTATCAGTACTTCATTTTGGTTGCAGACTGGATACTTGGCATAATCTGTTACACTCCTATAGCTATAGTTATTTCAAATTTAGGGTACCAAACAGCAGAGCTGTTTTGTAAACTAGACTGCCACCTTACTTAGCACATACGGGATTTTTCAGGTCATGCAGAGCAAGGTCTGTGGAAACTATAATCCCATACAAACTGATGGCACATAAAGGTGGTTTGCATCTTAGATATAAAAGAACAAAGGATATCAAGATAAAAAGGAAAAGTTTACAGTGTAGGTTGTGCTGTGACATAGTTCTGGGCACACCTAAATGTTCAGCATCCTTACATTGGTCATGCAGAAACAGGACTATCTGTGATGTGTGAGTAAAAGAGACTCAGCATAAAGCGTTAACACTGTGTTTTCCAAGCTGATGTTGTATATAAGAGCAAATAATGTTGTCTAATTATGTTTCTGTTTTATGTCTGGGGAGAAAATGAGTTCGGAACTAGAATGCAGATAATCTGCGGCTGTTCATGTCGGAGTGGGGGTGTAGATTAATCTGGGATCTGCCACCCCTGATGGAATTGTTGCAATTGTAGGACCTTATCCTGCATTCTGCTGGACACATTGTTCCTTCCACTGTGTGCTGAGTATCAGTCCCCAAAACTGCATGTTTGCTTTTGCTGGGGTAAAAGCTGCATTAACCAGCACCAATGCCTTTGCTCATACGTTGGAGTGCTGCGCAGGTAATGCGTGTGGTTGTGGAAAGTTTGCAAAGCAGGCATGTATTCCCAACAGCTGGCATGGCTCTGTAATGCGCTGTGTGCTGCCATCTGTTAAGTGCGTGTCTGTGACGCAATGAAATTAGCAGTGCAAATTAAAGCTCGCTCCAGCAGCTTCAGAACATCAATTCCTGCCTAATACTGTGCATCCCAAGGGATGCATGTATCAGTAATATCAGAATTCAGGAAGTCACTAATGAGAATCATTCTCTTGGGAAAAATCCATTGTCAGCTGTTGCATATCAGAAGGCATATTGTTACATGACACTTACCTTGAAGGACGCAAGTCCCAGGTAATTCCACATGCCAGGAAGCTTACATTAAATACCCCAACATTTTAAATGGCAACTATACAGATAACTAAGAGTTAAGTCAAGTATATTCCTACTAGCTAACTCTAAGCACTGGTAAACGTCCTGCTGTCATAAAATGGCTCAGATACCAACATGCTCAGCAGTACTCAAATGTTACCCAGCAGCATTGTAAGCAAAGCGCCACCCACATTTATAGACAATTCTGTTTACTGCTGGGTTTTGTTTTGCTGTAACAAAGAGGAAGCTGGCCAAGGTATCACCACCTAAATGGTAACACCTCAGACTATCTCTACGAGAACTGAGGAATGAAGTAGCTTCCTGTAACTTCCTGCATCTACAGCTTTTATCCCTTTCTCCCACATTCAGTCCTAAAATGCACAATTTTATGGAGTTCTGTAACTCTGCAACACTTTATGGAGCAAGGGAGTATTAGGCATTGTACAGCAGCTGATTCCACACAGGTGCCCACTTTTTTTTTTGTCATTTAAGAGGAAACACTTTCCAACAGACAGCTAGGGACACATGCATCTTATACCCTTCATGTGGTATGTCTTTAGTTGTATATAACAAGCCAGTTGTTACCTCATCCTCGTGCTATGCACCCCACCAACAGTTAGCTGCTTAGTGGGCTCAGCACCATGTTTTCTTGAGTCCTGTAAGATCATCCGTGTGAACAAAGTGCAAGGAGGAGTAGATCCCTGGGCATGCGGAGACCTGGCTGTTGTTTGTCACGTGTACGTGATTGCTCTCACTTGTTTACAGGCTCTCCCTCTCTACCAGATAAGTACCGCCACTCTCGGGAGATGATGATGTTGCTGCCAGCCCATCGGGACCGACCCAGCAGCGCCATGTATCCCGCAGCTATTATGGAAAACGGACAGGTAGCAGATCTCATTTCTGTCAGTTCAACCCCTGAAACTGTGACTTTTACTCTCTCTGACCACCTTAAAGCTTCCCTTTTTATTTCTGGAAAGCACACCACCTAGCTTAGGATCATTTTGCAGAGGCAATGCAACTTTTCATCCCCTAGAGCCGCACCCTTTTGTAGTCAAGTGCTACAAATTGTAATGACTGAAAACTGCAAATACATCCTGTGAAAATGGACTCTTCTTACTTCCCAACTTTATCCTGTGAGCCCTGATCTACTGCAGGTAGTCACACCATTTTATTGATTAATTTTTCTAGAACCATGGCCATCCTTTGCAGTCTAGCCTCAAAGTTGATTCTGAATAGCTTTATCCTGGTTTCCAGAGGCTGAAATAATATGCTGATATAAGGTTTCCAAACAGTCTGTGCCTGTATCTACTACTTTCTCTGGACAAGCTGAAAAATTAAAAAGTGCCTGCATGTAAGCATTTTAACTTAGCCCTGGCGTGCACTTTTGAAGGGAATCACTTCAGTTCATATCAGAGAACTCCCTCACAGCATGCAAACCTCAGAGCATGCACACTCAGTTCTTTCAAATGATACCAAAGCAAAAGGTGAGCTCCATAAGGGCACATAATGCATTCGAGCTAATAATGGGCACGAGACCAGGCCAAACCTAGTTTGAAGTAACCCCTCCAGAGAAAACAAGCGTCATGGCACATGGGTCCTCGGCACTGTTACACTCTCTAGATGCACTAGTGTTGCACTGCAGTACCTGCTAAGGTAGACACAGCCTAAGGCTCCCATGAATATTTTAGTTAAGAAACTTTGTTTAAAAGAAGCCTCAGGGTTCTGCACAGCTGGGCTGTAACTGGTTTCCTTTTTATTTTACTTTTCTTTGCTAACTTTGTTCTCCCTTAGCCTCCAAACTTCCAGCGCGCCTTGATCCAACAGATGATTGGACCATGCAAACCGTGCAGTGATCCCAACCTGTCTGTGGCTGAGAAAGGTACTCTTTGTCCTAGTTGGCATGCATGCTTTCTAAAATACTATTCCTCTGTTCACGCTACAGCAAGTAATGAATGGGCTTTTGCATCTCCTGGCAGAGTGCGTTCTTTCACATTGTTTTAATTAACAGTTTAATTAACTGGGCCTTCTGCCAACCTCTGGTCATTTCAGATCATTCACACAAGGGTGGAGTTGCACAAACCTCTTTATTTCAGAAAGCTTGTTACTGAAACAAATCCTGCAGCCTTTCTCCAGCAAAACTTCCAAAGCAGCACATGAGAAGCTGTCTGCAAGAAGAGTGCAAGATTTGGACTGTACTTTAAAATCATGAGAGATACTGCTTTTTTAAATACGCATTTATTTTCCCAAATATTAACATCTCCTGGAATGCCTTTCTGGGGTAGTTTTATGTGTATTGAAGTTTATTATTAGGAATGTAAACTTTCTTATCTCATTGCTTTGAAAAAAACAGGCAGAGCCCCCGCAGAGAAAGAAATGTGAAAGAAGACCAAGAGTTGGTTTGTTTGGGGCCAGAGAAAAAGAGGAAGCTTGTGAAAGGGGTGGCATGGACAAAGTGATAGGCTCAAAAAAAATTACCTAAAAAGCAGAAAAGAGCAAAAATTCCTGAGTCAAAATCTGAGGCCAGAAGGCTGCCCCAGCAGGCAACAGTCTCATGTATTGCTGGGAAAAATGGTACCTTACAAGGTCTCTAAGGCCAGGAAAAACCATCGCAGCTCTCTAGTCTGACCTACAGAATGCACTCCTCCATGAGACTTTTATCAGTAGTTTGGTTTCAGTGACTGTGCCTGAGCTGAATTGAAAGAAAAATTGAAAACAAAAATCCAAATTTTATTTTAGGATTTCTAAAAACTCAGCATCCACAACTTCACCGGTGTCACAGCCTTATGGAGCAGTCCAGCCTGAAGCCAAGAGCCAGCCTACAGTTCTGACGAAATGGCAGAACGATGGCTTGATGACAATAATAAATGATGACAACGGAGTTCAGAGTAGGGGGTTAGGGGTGAAGAGCTCCATCTTAGCTCAAGTGTTAGTTTGAACTGAACATACAACAGAAATCTTTTTACTGGACAGGAGAAAGATCTAGAAAAGGAAGTAAGTATTTATTAGCTCTCTGGGAAGAACACTTAAATTTGTATTTGTGGGCAATCCTATGCAAGAGTGTAGTATACAGTGCAAAAAGAAGGGGATCAAAGGCAGAATCCCCTCCAGAAGCCCAAAGAAACCATGAAAGACACCAGTGATGTTCAGTAAGTGTTCGTAGGGAACGGTGTGATGGGAATCCCAGCTCTTCAGCCAGGTTGGTAGCATCAATGCAGCTACAGGCATCATCATTCTAAGTCAGGATGCCATGTGTCTTGGGTTTTGTTAACAGTCATTCCCTGTGAATTCACCCACCCCCTTCCTTGCCATGTCAGAAGCTCAGCTCACTAATTCTCACTGACAGCAGGGTGACATCAGTCGCCTGGAGCAGAATGGTTCAAATGCAGCTTCCCTACTAATTAAACTCAGCCACTGAACAGTTATGGAGAGAGAGATGGGCTAGGACAGAGCACTGGGAGCTCCCTGCTTAGGTTCCTCCATGAAGCATTTTAGATAAAACACTGGTTTTAACAGGCAGCAGTCACTCTCCAACAGCACCTAACCTTAGGATTTCCAGCACTCCTAAATAGGACTAAAAAGGGTATGAATGAGGGAATACTGGGAAAGTATAAATGGATTATGCACTGGGGTGCCAGGTTCTCTTCTTCACATTCTTCTTCTGCATCTCAGTGTTCAAAAAACCAAAACAAAAGCCAAGCACACCACTCACTTCACAGGCCAAGCCACTGAGGTTTTGTTCTGCCCTTTTCACTTGCTGCTGGTAAACTGCAGGGGGTTGTTATGCATCTTGTCCCTCTGTTTTAGCTGACACCTAATGGAGTAGTGCAGAGGAGAGCACTCTGGCATGTGTACAGGGTGCTCAGAAAATTCACCTGAAGCCACATTACTTGTCTTGAGATGTAGCCCTTGGTTTGAACCTGTTCTCTGTCAAGATTCTTACTGTCTTCTTTGTGTGCCTTTCTCAGTTTGAGGGTCTCTCTTTAAAAACATTTACTTCATGGGGTTTCTTCTGTCTTATGAAGCTGTCACTTTGCAATCTTTTTTGCTGTAGGGAGTTTTAGGTCTCAGGCAGCCTGTGTTCATGTCAACTCATGAACTAAGGAGAAAAAAATAACACCAAAGCAACCTTTCAGAGTCATTTTAGAAAAGAAACATGCCAAAACATGGCTGCAGGGATTTTAATTAAGGAGAAATCTTCTTCAACTGTCAAATTCCCTGTTCATTTCTCGAGGCTTCCATTTTCCAAATGGAAGATGGAAACAGCTGTTCTTATCTCAGTTTTCTTTGGTAGGCCTCACTGAGTTATTTTGTTTTCCTTTTTTCTTTGCTAATCTGAAGAACTCATTTATTGTTTTTAAATACACATAACCATTATTGCCTGTCTGTCTTCTCAGAACTAATTAGGTCTTGCAGTGTGTTTGGAAGAAAGGAAGGTGCATTTTAATGTTTAAAGTTGACAGAATTCTCAAGATCTTGAAAACTGTTCATGTTAGAAGCAGCTTTTATTTCTGTAAAAAAAACGGACTCACAAAAATCATACTCAGTATCTGTTGCATGAGCAAAGCCTTCCTCTCTCTATACTTCCTGATTAACAAAGACATGATCTCTTCAGGTGACTAATACGAGGAGTCTGAACTGCTGTCTCTCTTGAACTCTGATCAAAATTCTTGATCAACTCTGTAGCTTAGTAAATCAGGGCTTTAAAGTCATGATTTCTTTCATAACAACAGACTGAGGTGTGACTTCCCTCATGTCCTTTATTCAGTGTTCACTTAGCCACTGTAGTGTAGCAACAGGCCTTCCTGTGTTTCATGTGGGTTCTGCCACATGTTCCTTTCTGCTCTGTCGTCACTTACCACCAAGCAGAGATCTAAGTGCTGTTCCATCAGTGAGATTTCATTTCTGCTTTGTCAGTGGTTTGCAAGAAAAAAAAACCCTAGCAGGCTTCTACTGCTCTTCAGACCTGAGAGAAATGAGCCAAGGGGTCATGGCAGGGAGATGGGCAGACTAACACTACAATCATCTAACTCTTGCTTCCTTAACTAAGCAACCTATAAACTTACTTAACAGACTGTAGACTAGACAATGTCTTTGTATGCTTTCAGTCCTCCTGTTCAAGTCCCTACGATCTGTCTCTCTACTGCTGACGAGCCCACTGGAAAGCCAGTCCCTTCTGGCCAGCCCCACAACCCCCCTGTTATATTTCCCAAGTTAAATCTGTTTCAATCCTTCAGCTGTGCCAGCAGCGCCCAGTAGCTGGAGCCTAGACAGCGGAACCAGAGAGACCCTGCCATTCCTGTCTGCCCACGTTGGGAGCATCTTGGCCCTACCAGTGCCTCCCCGAAGCCTGCCCCATGGTAAGGAAATGCCCAGTAGGCCTGCTGCATAAATCCTGTGGAGAGAAATCTACACCATCTGAAAGCTGACCGTAGCCTTTTTCCCCCCCCACCACATGAAAACGAATCAGAAACAAAACCCCAAAGTCTTTCCTGGTCTGCTCTGTTTGCACTGGACAAAGTTTTCAGTTCTTTTTCTCAAAATCTTCAAATCTGTTGCAGTCCGCACGGTAATAATGGACTAGTGTATCTTTTCGCAGTAGAATTAGGTGTGTGAGTGTGAAACTTGGCCTGGCTTCGTGACCATATTTAGTAGTAATTTAAGGTTACAAAGCTATTAAATGAAACCTCAAAAGTTCATTGTTTTATGAGCCTGTTGCCTTGCCATGAGATCCTTGATAACAGGGGTGGGTGGAAATATCACCGTGCTTCTCGTTAGCATTTTGTGTATGACAGATGCACTCTACAATACTTGTCAGAAAGGAAACTCTAGGTTGGAGTTACCAGCATTTGGAGCTGTAACCTGGCATTACAGAGCCTAAACCCCAGCTCTTTGGCTGCAGTGGGGCACATCAGTCTGCATTTCTGATCCTTGTCTCATTCCAGGACACTACTCACTGCACTTTGATGCCTTCCATCACCAGCTCAGTGATGCTCCTCCGGCACTGCCTGCACGAACGTTGCGCAAGGTAAAAAGCAGGAAAGCAGAGAGGGGTGTAGAGGAAAAATAACAAACTCCTGAAGGAGTCCCCCTATTCTGCCCCCTCCAAGCAGCTTTTGAATACAGAAACATTGTTTTTAACATGCTAGTAACTTACATATAAGAAAATCCACTGAAAGCTCATGACCTATTCCAGAGTTGAATTCTATAGAAATAACTTACACATGTTCTAGGCTCTTTCACTTTCCTTCTTTGCATCATATACCGTGACGCAGGCACCCCGGTTTTCTCCTCAACTACTGTTTAACAGCTCTGGTGGCGGTAAATGCACTTGTCTGCCCACAAGAGGTAATTTCATACAAGTCAGGGGAGGGCACATGTAATGCAATCAATCATCACTGACATTCTGAACACAAACAGAACTGCACCATTGTTAACATCACTGTCAAAAGCTGCAATGTGGAACAAGGTGCATCACTGCCTCCTTTTGTCAATTGTAACCTGGTTTTGTTTTTCTCCGGCAGTCCCCACTTCATCCTATCCCTGCATCACCCACCAGTCCGCAGTCTGGTCTAGATGGAAGTAACTCCACTTTATCCGGTAGTGCCAGCAGTGGTGTTTCTTCCTTGAGTGAAAGCAATTTTGGACATTCTTCTGAACCACCTCCTCGCACAGACACCATGGATTCTGTCCCCAGCCAGGCCTGGAACACTGATGAAGATCTAGAGACACCCTACCTCCCTGTCAGGTACAGTCTCTCTGAGCCTGATGTCCTAGAGTCACTCAAGTCCCAGCCATGCCGAAGCCACTCTGCTCCAACTGGAGTCATTCCTCAGGACACCATGGACCCTCCTGCTCTACCCCCCAAACCTTACCACTCCCGGCTGCCAAACATGGAGAACGAGGAGGGGATGATCATTGAAGATGATGACAAACACCGCCCACTGCATCGTAAAGTGTCCCAACCAGTGAGTGGTGGAAAGGAAGAGCAGGCCAGGGTAGCATGGGAGCATGGCATCAGCGAGCAGTAGGGACAACTCCTGGTAAGCAGCCTGCATCATCATTCCAGGTCTGACTACAAAGCAGAGAGAGGAGGACTCGGAGAACAGCAAACCAATTTTCTACTGCCGCAAGTTTATGTCTGGAGCCCCAGAGCAATCGGGCCAGCATGGGAGGTTGCTGCTTTCCTTTTTAATTTGTTTTTACACCTTTCCATTATGTTTTTTAACTTTCTGTGCAGTGGACAGTTTACTCCTTCTGCAGTTTCTTAACCACATCGTATGGCAGATGAGCCATAGAGACTGGTAGAAGCTGAAAAATATACTTTCAAGCAGAGGGGGAAAAAAGGGGGAATGTGGCAAGTTGATTTTGAAACTGCTTTCCTCCTGGTTCTGAGACGCACACAAGTAGAAGCAGTTGCACTAGGGACCTATTTCTTTGCTGTACAGAAGTGAAAGCTCATTGCTGAAATCAGGGATTCTATGAACTGTCAGGCTGGAAGGTGCATGAGCTGCAGGCTGTGGAAAGATAGAAATTCTAAGAAGAAATTGGCTCTTTTGAGAGCAGGATTGTACATATCTGTGCAGTGATCTCCCTGCGTTGGTTCATAGGTGCTGAGGCAATCTAACCAGTGCTGATGCACTGATTTCCAAGATATCATTTCCAACAAACTCTGCCTCCTTTGTTTTTTTATGTACTGTTTGATTTCTTAAATTTGGCTTTCACTGGCTAAACCAACCTGCTTTCTCATTGGAACCATGTGCTATTCATCTGTGCTACAGAATGAGAGGGGGTTAGTAGCCATTGGAGCTGCAACCTAATTGTAGGCCTTTCCCATGCCCAGGTTTGGGCAGGCTGTTGACACCAGCATTTCTATTCCAGTTAAAAAAATAAAAAAAAAAAAATAAAGAAAAACACAACCAAATTGAGTTTCTTATGCCACAAGCTGGTTGATTGACCCAGCCAGGAAAGTTAAGGTGGCTTACATGCATCACATCCAACAATCCTTGCCTCAGGGCTGAACATCACAGTTCTCACCAACTTCCATCCCCCAGGAGCTGAGATTTATTCCCTGTTATCATAATGTCCTCGGTCCCCCCAAAAACCTCACTGCAGCTGGTGTGCAGAAAGAATCTCCATCCCTCAGAGTAGACAGAGAACACCAACATTCAAGAACTGCCCAGTATATAGTGTACACCCTAGAGTCAGGGATCTTAAAGGCAACCTGTAAAGAAGAAATGTTGCTTTCCTCTTTTGCTTCTTTAGAACATATAAAGAAGCTTTAAGAGCTTCTTCTCTATTCTGGAAGGTCGATTTCTTTTGTCCTCAGGCAGCAATACAGCCTTCCCCCAACCCCTCCATCACCACCTTTGTTTTTAAGAGCTTCTTCTTTTTAAGATTCTTCTTTACTAGCTTCTTCTCTATTCTAGAAGGTTGATTTCTTTTGTCCTCAGGCAGCAATACAGCCTTCCCCGAACCCTTCCATCACCGCCTTTGTTTTTATTGACAGATTCCGGAACAAACCCAAGAAACAGAGCTATGCAGAGGTGAAGACAGTACAAGCCTATGAACACCAAACAAGCCTTTTAATCAGTATTTGCTTAGTTCAAGTACATGACAAACCAGGAAAAAATTCTGTGGGTAACAGAACCAAGGTCTGTTCTTTGAAAAGAACACCAAGAAATCTTTTCATTCCTGTTTTCCTAAATTTTTTCAAGAAACTTTAATTGAGAGTATCAAATACTTATTTAGATAAGCAACGTTCCTTCCCCTGACCATGCCCATCTCAGCCTTCCTTAGAACCCCCTTCACCACCGACTCCAAAGCATGCTCCAGAGGATGCGAACCTACCACCCTCTTTCTTACCACTGAAAAATCTGAAGCAAATTCAGGTCAGAGACTTACCTCCACTATAGAAATTAGTGTCAGAAACAGGAATAGCACTCAATTTTTATACTGAATTCTTGCCCTAACCACAGAGTTTCTCATGCCACAAACAGCATAAAGAAGCAAAAAAGGATTATTATAAATCTTTTACAGGTCACCTTTAGCACTACCTCTAAATACAGGACTGGGCAGAGTACATTGCTTCTGAACTCTCCTAAAGATGGTCTGTTTGTACAAAGCCTGGACTCGGCGGTTGTATGAAGGGGATTTTAAGAGGATTTGTTTATTTTCTTTCTCAAGCTCTAGCCCATGCAAAACTACTAAGTTATGAATTTGTTTCTTAAATGGCCTGTTTGGCTGGAACAAAGTCTCTCTTGCTTCCTCTATTTTGTTACTAACACAGGCTGCTTGTAATCATTATATCCTTCACAATTAAGACAACAATAATAAAACCTGGCCTATAGTGGGTGTTTCATCTCCACCAGGAAGGAGTTTTTCAATGCTAGGACAGTCCTAACCATTAAAGAACCAAGCTGGATCTCTGATATAGAACACATGTGAAAACTCAACTCAAAATCATGTTTTTGGTGAAGGTAAGTCAAGATAATTCCTCAGAAGTGAGTGAAATATGTTCATATATGCTATTCTCCAGTCTGACTGAGACTCTTCAAGTGAAGGTTTCAAGAGAACTAAGTATTCAATTCCATCTCCCCTGCCCCTAATGGTTTTTTTTGGGTTTGTTTGTTTGGTTTTTGTTATTGTTTGGCAGGAAGATTAACAGCAGTAAATGTAGTGACTTACTGAGCTTCCTTATTGCAAAAACCCAGCAGGTCTTGCAGATAAAACCAAGAATGCAACTAACATGGGACTAAGTCCCAGTCAGCTGGAAAACCTGCCCACTAGAGCTCTAATCAGTCTCCCAAAACATACCATCCTGCTCTGATGAAAGACATAGTACTACAGCAGTGAGTCCATTTTGGGAGTCTGACATTACTATGTATTTGTAAGGGTTTGAAGATCAATCAGATCATGTATATAAATGCCTTGTTAATGGCAGTGCCACACAGAGAAGGACAGAATAAATCGCTGAATTTACCAAATTTAAGCTTCTGTGGAGTTAAATTTCTGTTACTGTTCTGGTATCTACCATGTGTTCTGTCTCCCTTTTCAGTGCTTGCCTTAAAGGGGACAGAAGATAGAAAGACTTAATTAAGATTTTGGGAATGTCGGAACTAATACTTCTTGGAACTAATACTTCTCTGTAGGGTGAGGTGTCTTACAGCATAGTACAACTCCAACACCAAGCTCAGTTCTGGAGTAGGAGGAAGCAACAGCAGCTGTTGCACTTGCCCAGCAGGACTGAAGATTCCTTGTATAAACCACAGCAACAGGATGTTTTGAACAGGACCTTGTCATTCTATATCTAACTGTAATTCAAACTTAATATGTACTTGCCTTCATTGGGTTTTCTTTGCGTAACAAAATAGCATGTGTACTCCTGAGAAAATTGGTGGAATTCTGCTACAAATCTCTCACTGGCCCCATCTGAAACAAAAATGAGAAGGAACTACAGTAGTAGAAGAAAAGCAATTAAAACAATTTCTCTGAATCCCACAGTTTTTCTCCAGTGGTTGGGTCGGGTTTATTACTATGTGCAAGACCAAGATTCTTTTCCTCCTTTTGGTTTTTAGCTTACTTACCCTTTCTTAGGTAAGGGATATTGCATATCCCTTCTGTGGGAGAATCAGCCAAAACTGGGGAGGCTGGAGAGAGCAAGAGCCTTTGGGAAACAAATTACGTGATATTTAAAATTTCCTCTGATCATGCTTCTTTGTAAATACCCCCATTTGAATGCTGTGTATTTGTACAGGAAATTGAGCAAAAAATGTATAGATTGTGATGTCTGACTGGTATTCTGCCCTGTAAATGTGTTTTTAACCTCTGGCATTCTGTGCTTATTTAAAAAAAGGCAAAGACCTCTAACCACTTCTCTTTTGTGTATTCATGTTTAAAATAAAATGAAAACAGCTATCTTATCTATAATGGAAATCCAATTTAAAAGGAAACAAAATAATTTGTACAAGTGTCCTAAAGGTACTTCATTGTATATATTGTGATAGCATGTTTCCAGAACCAACAAATAAGTGGTGTGAATTTTAGATGTAAATATCTACCATTTGTTTTGGGTTTCTTTCCCTTACCCATTCACTCGACTGCTGTGATGTGGAATTAAAGATTAATACCTGACATTAAAACGGTAGAGCTGTATGTTCATTGTTGTCTTCCAGCTAGGGTTATCCTCAGGCTAAACCCTCAGGTTCACAAGGAATGTGGGAACAGCCATCGCTTCCCATTTTTGTGTCAGTGAGGAAAATGGGGGTGGCCAAAAGGGCCTTGTGGCTGTTAAGCGTTGTGAGGAAACAGCTTCCACATTATTCTCTTAGCTGACAGTATACTATTCTATTTAATATCAACTTCTTAAAGCAAGCACCAGGCACATCCACCAGCCAGTCCAGTCAGGTGGATTTACATTTACACCTGGAACAGCTGGAGACACAGCCTCGAAGCAATACTTTCAGAGATGAGCTGAATCAGCGATTAGCTCTCCTGTATGTAAGTCAATGCACAGGTCGTTACTTGATGAGTGACACATCACTTCTTTTATTGCAATAGCAAGACATTTTGGGAGTGATGTAATTTCTCAATCTTAGGTATTTAAATACCAATCATTTTAACAGAATAGGTGAGGAAGAATAGTAATCATACACACAGAAACACAGCTTTTGGGAATTAAAGGCCACAGTGACTTCCACACACAGGTAACCTCAAAGATGAGCATTTTCTTCTGTTACCACTAATTAAGCATGTCAAGGAACATGAGACAGAAAAAGTAAGCTCTCCCATCCTGTCTTGAGGAACCAATTAAAAAAAAACAAAACTTGCACCAAAAGACATTTAGCAGTAAGATCTAGTAACAGCTGCCCACAGGGTGTACACAAACTGCCAGACCACCCTTGTCATTAAGTCCATGCCACATACAAATAATATAATGAGAAGAGAAAAACTGTAACAAAGTACTTCAAAGCGCATCTAAAGTACCAAAGTGTGGCTTAGCTAAAGTGTTCCCCTGACACCTGAAAAACAGCTGTATAAATCAGATCCAAGCGCAGGAATCGAAAACTTTATTTGGCACAACAAAAGATACGTGAAGCCTTCAGTTTTAAACAAGAGTGAAGAAAAAATATCTACTTTCTGTTAAAACCAGAATCTTTTTCAGTGCAAGTCAAATACTTAAATAAATTATTAATTTATTTATTAAAATAAAATTGAACCACTAAGTGACAGGTGAGGTCAAGGATATCATGGGGGCGGGCTAGGGTGCCTGTGATTCAGCCCTGTACCCAATGTGGAGTATTTTCACAGCCCAGTGGAACCCGAGTGATTTCCATAACGTTGAGGACATGACATGAAGGGTAAGGAATGAAAGATTGACTGAGGCTGGGAGGGAACCTGCTTGAGATCTCTAGAACATCCAATTCAAAGCAAAGTCATACCAGGTTGCTCACAGTTTTATCCAAATGGGTTTATGGCATGACTCAAGCCCAGCTGGTAACTCAGAACCATGCTACCACTCACTCACCATCCCCCCACTTTCTCCCCCCTGCTCCTGGAGGGATGGGGAAGAGAACTGAAAGACTGTAAACCCCACGGGTTGAGTTAACAGTCCAGTAACTAAAGTACAATGCAATACAAAACTACTGCTGCTACCACCAATAATAATGATAAGGGAAATAACACGGGGAGAAAATATAAAGCTAAAAAAGGAAAAGAAAAAAAAAACTAACAAACCAACAACAACAAACACAAGTGATGCACAACACAACTGCTCACCACCTGCTGACCAACACCCAGCCTGACCCAAGCAGCCATATGCCCTGCAGGGTGACTCCCCCCAGTTAATATACTGGGCATGATGTGCTGTGGTATGGAATACCTCTTTGGCTAGTTTGGGTAAGGTGTCCTGTCTCTGCTCCCTCCTGGCTTCCCGTGCCCCTCCTCACCGGCAGAAAGCATGAGACTGAAGTCCTTGATCGGACTAAGCATTATTTAGCAACAACTAAAACACTGGTGTGTTACCAGACTAAACTTGAAAACACAGCACTGCACCAGACACATACTAAGGAGAAAAATTACTGTTACATCTGAGCTCAGGACATTATGAAAAACTTCCATCCCCGGCAGTACACACACCTTGGGAAACAGCTTCCCATGTCCGAGTCACATTATAGCCAAAGCTTCTCTTTCTACTGAGCCTGACCCCAATGTTTGAGGCCACTGCCTCATACGGTGCTCCTGTCTTGCACCATAGTGTCATGGAAACCTCACCATAGGCAGTACAAATCTGTTACATCCTCCCTGCAAAGCCCTCCATCGTCTAGGCTGAACAAGCCCAGCTCCATCAGCCTCTGCTAAGAGGAGAAGTGCTCCAACCCAAACCATCTCCGTGGCCCTACACTGAATTTCTGTCACTTGCAAATGTATCTCTGGCATTGTGGAGCACCAAAACCCGGACAAGTAGTGTGGATATGGTGTAACAAGAGGTGAGCAGGATATAATGATTTCCCCTAGCTGTGCTCCTGCTCATACAGCCTGTCGTGGTTTAAACCCAGTCAGGCAACTTGCTCACTCACTCCCAGTAAGTGGTGCCGAGCTGACAACAATCGAGGGCCGCCGCCCCCCCCCACCGGGGCTCTCCCCTTCCCCGCTCCTGGAGGAACGGGGAGGAGGATCAAGAGAGTGCAACTCCCACAGGTTGA